GCTCTGTTATACACTCAGACACATTACTGGGAGTATTATTACTGTGGGGCTCTGTTATACAATCAGACACATTACTGGGAGTATTATTGCTGTGGAGCTCTGTTATACACTCACACACACATTACTGGGAGTATTATTGCTGTGGAGCTCTGCTATACATTCAGACACATTACTGGGAGTATTATTGCCGTGGAGCTCTGTTATACACTCAGACACATTACTGGGAGTATTATTGCTGTGGAGCTCTGTTATACACTGAGACACATTACTGGGAGTATTATTGCTGTGGAGCTCTGTTATACACTCAGACACATTACTGGGAGTATTATTGCTGTGGAGCTCTGTTATACACTAAGATACATTACTGGGAGTATTATTACTGTGGAGCTCTGTTATACACTCAGACACATTACTGGGAGTATTATTCTTGTGGAGCTCTGTTATACATTCAGACACATTACTGGGAGTATTATTGTGGAGCTCTGTTATACACTCAGACACATTACTGTGAGTACTATTGCTGTGGAGATCCATTATACACATTACTGGGAGTACTATTGCTGTGGAGCTCTGTTATAACACATTACTGTAAGTATTATTGCTGTGGAGCTCCATTATACACATTACTCTGAGTATTATTGCTGTGGAGCTCCATTATACACATTAGTGGGAGTATTATTGCTGTGGAGCTCTGTTATACACTCAGACACATTACTGGGAGTATTATTGCTGTGGAGCTCTGTTATTCACTCAGACACATTACTGGGAGTATTATTGCTGTAGGGCTCTGTTATACACTCAGACACATTACTGGGAATATTATTGCTGTGGACCTTTGTTATACACTAAGACACATTACTGGGAGTATTATTGCCATGGGGCTCTGTTATACACTAAGACACATTACTGGGAGTATTATTGCCATGGGGCTCTGTTATACACTAAGACACATTACTGGGAGTATTATTGCTGTGGAGCTCTGTTATACACTCAGACACATTACTGGGAGTATTATTGCTGTGGGGCTCTGTTATACACTAAGACACATTACTTGGAGTATTATTGCTGTGGAGCTCTGTTATACACTCAGACACATTACTGGGAGTATTATTACCGTGGAGCTCTGTTATACACTCAGGCACATTACTGGGAGTATTATTGATGTGGTGCTCTGTTATACACTCAGACACATTACTGGGAGTATTATCACCGTGGAGCTCTGTTATACACTCAGACACATTACTGGGAGTATTATTGCAATTGGGGCTCTGTTATACTCTAAGACACTTTACTGTAGTATTTTTGCTGTGGAGCTCTGTTATACACTCAGTCACATTACTGGGAGTATTATTGCTGTGGAGCTCTGTTATACACTCAGACACATTACTGGGAGTATTATTGCTGTGGAGCTCTGTTATAACACATTACTGGGAGTATTATTGCTGTGGAGCTCCATTATACACATTACTGGGAGTATTATTGCTGTGGAGCTCTGTTATACACTCAGACATATTACTGGGAGTATTATTGCTGTGGAGCTCTGTTATAACACATTACTGGGAGTATTATTGCTGTGGAGCTCCATTATTCACATTACTGGGAGTACTATTGCTGTGGAGCTCTGTTATAACACATTACTGTGAGTATTATTGCTGTGGAGCTCCATTTTACACATTACTGTGAGTATTATTGCTGTGGAGCTCCATTATACACATTACTGGGAGTATTATTGCTGTGGAGCTCTGTTATACACTCAGACATATTACTGGGAGTATTTTTACTGTGGAGCTCTGTTATACACTCAGACGCATTACTGGGAGTATTATTGCTGTAGAGCTCTGTAATACACTCAGACACATTACTGGGAGTATTATTGCTGTGGAGCTCTGTTATACACTCAGACACATTACTGGGAGTATTATTACCGTGGAGCTCTGTTATACACTCAGGCACATTACTGGGAGTATTATTGATGTGGTGCTCTGTTATACACTCAGACACATTACTGGGAGTATTATTACCGTGGAGCTCTGTTATACACTCAGACACATTACTGGGAGAATAATTGCTGTGGGGCTCTGTTATACACTAAGACACATTACTGGGAGTATTTTTGCTGTGGAGCTTTGTTATACACTCAGACACATTACTGGGAGTATTATTGCCGTGGGACTCTGTTATACACTAAGACACATTACTGGGAGTATTATTGCTGTGGAGCTCTGTTATACACACAGACACATTACTGGGAGTATTATTACCGTGGAGCTCTGTTATACACTCAGACACATTACTGGGAGTATTATTACCGTGGAGCTCTGTTATACACTCAGACACATTACTGGGAGTATTATTGCTGTGGAGCTCTGTGATACACTCAGACACATTATTGGGAGTATTATTACTGTGGAGCTCTGTTATACACTCAGACACATTACTGGGAGTATTATTGCTGTGGAGCTCTGTTATACACATTACTGGGAGTACTATTGCTGTGGAGCTCTGTTATAACACATTACTGTGAGTATTATTACTGTGGAGCTCCATTATACACATTACTGGGAGTACTATTGCTGTGGAGCTCTGTTATAACACATTACTGTGATTATTATTGCTATGGAGCTCCATTATACACATTACTGTGAGTATTATTGCTGTGGAGCTCCATTATACACATTACTGGGAGTATTATTGCTGTGGAGCTCTGTTATTCACATAGACACATTACTGGGAGTATTATTGCTGTGAGGCTCTGTTATACACTCAGACACATTACTGGGAGTATTATTGCTGTGGAGCTCTGTTATACACTCAGACACATTACTGGGAGTATTATTGCTGTGTAGCTCTGTGATATACTCAGACACATTATTGGGAGTATTATTACTGTGGAGCTCTGTTATACACTCAGACACATTACTGGGAGTATTATTACTGTGTAGCTCTGTTATACTCTCAGACACATTACTGGGAGTATTATTATTGTGGAGCTCTGTTATACACTCAGACACATCACTGGGAGTATTATTCTTGTGGAGCTCTGTTATACATTCAGACACATTATTGTGAGTATTATTGTGGAGCTCTGTTATACACTCAGACACATTACTGGGAGTATTATTGCTGTGGAGCTCTGTTATACACTCAGACACATTACTGGGAGTACTATTGCTGTGGAGCTCTGTTATTACACATTACTGTGAGTATTATTGCTGTGGAGCTCCATTATACACATTACTGGGAGTATTATTGCTGTGGAGCTCCATTATACACGTTACTGGGAGTATTATTGCTGTGGAGCTCTGTTATACACTCAGACACATTACTGGGAGTATTATTGCTGTAGAGCTCTGTAATACACTCAGACACATTACTGGGAGTATTATTGCTGTGGAGCTCTGTTATACACTCAGACACCTTACTGGGAGTATTATTGCTGTGGAGCTCTGTTATACACTCAGACACATTACTGGGAGTATTATTGCTGTGTAGCTCTGTGATACACTCAGACACATTACTGGGAGTATTATTGCTGTGGAGCTCTGTTATACACTCAGACAAATTACTGGGAGTACTATTGCTGTGGAGCTCTGTTATAACACATTACTGGGAGTATTATTGCTGTGGAGCTCTGTGATACTCTCAGACACTCAAACAATAAGGAACTCCTAGAAAAGAGGGACCAATGGATTTGGGCCCCAAATAGGGACTGTAGCCCCTTAATAAGGACACTTGGGAGGTATGGTGATATTGGCCCAGGATAATATCATGAGATAGGAACAGGGTGGCATTTAAAGAATGCGACTTCATGGCCCCATGGATTAAATTACAGTGCTCAAAAGTTAATTTTTTTTTTAATGACATTTCTTATTCAAAAGGAGATTTGGCCATTCTGTCCCCGGGCACCGTCTCCAGTAATGAAAAAGACACAAATTCTACTTAGATCAAATTCAATATTTTGCTATTAGTTTGTTTCTATAATGTTATAATTCTTAATCAAATTAATTCTCTCTCCCCAAAATTTCTTCCATACTTTGTGTGAAGTCTCCCGTTTTACTCAGACACAGTCCCAGTATTAAAGCCTCTGTTTGTCTCACATATTTCTGAAATTAATTCATATCAGATTGAGTCACTCTGATCATCATTTGAGATGTCCTGAAATTAACCAAAATTAATTTTGTGTCGCTGGAAACATTTATGAACTTTCTTTTTGTTACTTCAAGGCTTATTGATCATTCTTAAGGCAAGTGACAACACAATTAATTACCAACAAAATATTACACACAATTCTATAAACATGTTTCTGGCATTTAGACCCCACACTTTCATGCTCCAAACTGTCTGATCTGGCGACCTCCTGAAAGAATGACAGAATAGAATGCCCATAGCCTTTAGCATTGCAGAGGAATGCCCACAGACTGTAACAGGGCAGAGGAATGCCCACAGCCTTAAACAGGGTAGTGGAATGCCCACAGACTGTAACAGGGAAGAGGAATGCCCACAGCCTTAAACAGGGTAGTGGAATGCCCATAGCCTTTAGCATTGCAGTGGAATACCCACAGACTGTAACAGGGCAGAGGAATACCCACAGACTGTAACAGGGCAGAGGAATGCCCACAGCCTTAAACAGGGTAGTGGAATGCCCATAGATTTTAACAGGGCAGTGGAATGCCCAAAGACTGTAACATGGCAGTGGAATGCCCATTACCTATAACAGGGTAGTGGAATGACTATAGACTGTAACAGGGTAGTGGAATGCCCATAGATTTAAACAGGGTAGTGGAATGCCCATAGACTGTAACAGGGTAGTGGAATGCCCATTACCTATAACAGGGTAGTGGAATGCCCATAGATTTAAACAGGGTAGTGGAATGCCCATAGATTTGAACAGGGTAGTGGAACGCCCTGTCCCATTACAGATTTTCTAATTGCTGTTGTCTTTTGTGACAATGTCCTTGTAACCTGCCTCTGTGCGTGACATTTCTCCTCCAGTGGCCTATGTCAGATACTGTGGGTGTGGTGTCACTCTAGAAATAGTTGAATTTCCAGTTCTTTTTGTTGTCTAAAGGGGTTTGTAAGAGGCAGGGAAACAGACCTGTACAGGTGACAGGAAGACTGCATGATTCTGGTGAGTCCCTCTAATATTTGAAAGTCCCTGTTGGGGTCTTGAGTCCTTGTTGTTTTGTATCCATGTTTTGGGTCTTTGGACAGTGTGTATACTGTTTGTATTTGTGTCTTGTCCAGAATGTGTTTGTGTATAGCTACAATGTGTATACTGTTTGTATTTGTGTCTAGGTACCATGAGTATGAGATTATACAGTATTTTTATATATTTGTAACTATAGTCTATCAGTGACCCCATGGTGCTGGCCATGGGCCAGAGCTGGGTTTTCGGTTATAATAGCTGATATCAGTGAGCATGATATTCTGTCTAATCCATACTCTGGGACAATACTTGGATATCTGAGCAGGAGACTATTGTGTATTCTTACTGAAACTTCAGGTAATATTTACAAAAAAACAAACAATGAATTGGTCTTTACTGGATCAGAATACAGAGTTCTAAGAGACATGAAGAGATCCAATCTATGTCAAACGAACATGTCTTCTAATATCTGGGGTGGGACAGCCTATCTCTGGGAGAGAACTTGCAATGTTTGATTAATCCATTGAATCCCATGTTATGATAATAGATTATCTGCAGTACCTGGAAGTCAGGTTAGACAGTTCATCCATTGAGTTCCTGATCTGAAATCCAGCACATTCAATTTTATAGTGATCAAAGTTTATTCGCTGGTGAATTTAGAATTTTAGCCCAATGTAGCAAAACTGGAATAAATTGACCCCAAGTCAGCAATTTCAGATTGTCTGCTTTGGCCTGAAATGTAAATTGTACTTTCAGTTCACTTTTAATCCCAGACAATACACACTTTAGTAATTAACCCGAAATCAGACTTAGCCAATTTCCAAATTCTCTTCTATTTAATTATTAGTATTTATATAATTCTCACCTCTTTACAACAATACATTGGGGATGTAAAACAACAAGTATTGACATACAACGTAGTGTTGACAGACAAGAGGTGAAGAGGGATCACGATATAGTCCTGTCGATCACACTATGGAATATGCTAGTCCTTAATAAATGATATTGAGTCTTCCATTATATGTGTATTTATACTCAGGGCTGTACGACACTATTTGGAAAGGGTACAAGAACTGTGATAGCAATCACCTCAATTTTATTGATTCCATCATCTATGTGTGTTGTTACAAGATACAATGTCAGGTCCCAGCAACCTCTGTCTCTGTTAGATCATCGATTAAGGAGGGCTGGAAGGAGGTCTGGGTCATCAAATTTCTTATGATCCCCTCAGATAGACCCCCATGGCTGCAAGCCCAGAGGACCTCAGGGAGATGAAATAGTAGTATTATAATTGAAGAGGTATCCCAAAATATTCCCATACACCTCCCCCATAACTCCTTGTTCTTCAAGTGTGCATGTACAGGAGTACAGGATTTGTTACTGTATTGCATTTGACATAATTATTTTTAAGCTTAAAAAAATAAATAATTTTTTTATTTTTTTTTAAATTAACTCACGCTCTTATGCATGTAATCCAGAGAGTCTGGTTTCTGTCTGTGTGTATATAGGGGTGTTAAAAGTAAATGTGTGCATAGTGTTAATACATGAATGGAATATATCTAAGGTATATATGTGTTCAGGGTGTGTACTCCATGCAGAGCGCATACTTTATCGGAGTACACTGAATATGGATTTGTGTGTTTGTAACTCTGGGTGAATTTGTATTGTGTAAACAAAAAAATTTGTTCTGAATACGTAATAAAATATTTTTATTTTATTTATGTATTATTTTATATTTGATTTATGTATTAATTTCTGTTATAACAACTATATTGTGGTTGTTAAAACACAGATTTATTTATAGATCTGTGAGACAAAGACTGTTGATCACAGAATACGATAATGGAATTCCTACGCCTATAGCAGATGCCATTGTTATTTGTGTTTGTGAATAGCAACTTCTGATAAGTTCTCTACAAGCTCCATCCTCCATGTTACACGTGGACTTTCTACCCTTTCAGTCTTGAATTAGAAATAGTATTTTCCTAAATCTCCTCCTGAGCCTCTTACTTCAAGGTCTAAGCCAAGGTTCCCCAAACTCCGGCCCTCCAGATGTTGCTGGACTACAACTCCCATGATTCTATGAATAAAATAGATAGGCTGAGAATCATGGGAGTTGTAGTCCAGCAACATCTGGAGGGCTGGAGTTTGGGGAAGCCTGGTCTAAGCACCTGATGACCTGAGGACCGAGCCACATAGAGAATACACACTAATTAAATGTTAAATAATATTTCTTATTGAAAGCTTAGTTCTTGCAATAAACAGATATGTGCTAATTCCTGAGTTCCCCATTAAAGGGAAACTATGATTTTTGATTATTCCACCCCCCAAAAAACCCCATTCATTTTCACTGCAAAATATCGTTAATAGCTAAAAATGCGATGCCTAAAGCGCAGTGCCAAGATTAATAATCCTTAGCAAAATCGTTTCTCCAAAAATGGGAGATATGGACTCAGAATGAGTTCAACAATGGATGCCCCATTCTCCTCCTGCCATCCTTATATTTCTGCATTGAATAAGGAGGAGGAGAGACAGACAGGCTCTGGCACTTGTCCATCACAGGAGAAGCATGGTTCTGCAAACTTCAGAGTGCCAAGGGGAAGGGATACACCAGAGCCAGCAGGAAGATATATGCTAATGGAAAGTGCCTTCTCTGCTGCCTAGGATACTTATCTTGTGTGCAAAAATACATGACTTAGACTGTGAGCATGCATTAACTATCTTATGGACATTATTTACCAAATCGTGCACAATGTGGCCAGGATTTTACATTTTTTTTTTTAAATTTCACATGCCACCTCCGGGGTCCAAGGATTATATCCTCCTCCACGGAAATATTTGTTAAAAGTTGTAGGGAATTTTCTATGCTGACTGACAGATGCAAAGACTGTTATTTTCTAAGTGATATAAAAGGAGATGTTAGCCATGACAGACAGGGAGCCATGACGGACAGGGAGCCATGACGGACAGGGAGCTATGATGGAGCCATGACGGACAGGGAGCCATGACGGACAGGGAGCCATGACGGACAGGGAACTATGATTGAGCCATGACGGACAGGGAGCCATGATGGACAGGGAGCTATGATGGAGCCATGATGGACAGAGAGCCATGATGGACAGGGAGCCATGACGGACAGGGAGCCATGACGGACAGGGAACTATGATTGAGCCATGACGGACAGGGAGCCATGACGGACAGAGAGCTATGATTGAGCCATGATGGACAGAGAGCCATGACGGACAGGGAGCCATGACGGACAGGGAACTATGATTGAGCCATGACGGGCAGGGAGCCATGACGGACAGAGAGCTATGATTGAGCCATGATGGACAGAGAGCCATGACGGACAGGGAGCCGTGACGGACAGGGAGCCGTGACGGACAGGGAGCCGTGACGGACAGGGAGCCGTGACGGACAGGGAGCCGTGACGGAGTTCCAAGATAGTGATAAATACTGTCCTGTCGATTTCTGCATTTCAGTTTATTACAAAACACATATTAGCTAAACATCGGGATTTGTAAACGTGAATTTCCATATCTTTACTCTGTATTTTTGCAAACATTTTCTGTGAGAACCAAGGGAACTGAAATGACATGACTTTTTAAGCAGAACTGAAATAGAGAAAATAAAGCCGACATTCTTACAAGAGGGGAGTATTCAAGTAATTGTTTTATTGGTTCCATTAGCCAGTTAACTAAATAAAAAGAAATCACCAAAAACATTGTATGAGACACCTTTATTGGCTGACAAAAGATCATTTCTAAGATTTCAGGACACTTCAAGTCCGTCATCAGGCCTGTTTGTTCGGTAAAACTGAGACGTATTTGTATGTAGCATCCATGAAAAGGAAAAAAAATGCACAAGTGATATTAGGATGAAACATTTTTTTGTGATGAACATTAAACGGCACAGTTTCACCCTCATATTGTTTGTGTTTTTGTGTGTTTTTCATTTTCCTGTAAACCATGTACACAAATATCTGGGCTTCACCCAACAAACTTGCCAGATAAAAGGGATTTCATATTGTTTCCATAAAGGTGAACGGCCAGGCCAAACAGGGCATTAAAATGCAGCACGACCCGTCAAACAGCTTCAGTTAATGTCCAGCGTTCTAACAAGATCCGTAAATACACAGAATTCTTGTTGGACTCGACTTCTGATGGTTTTATACTGCCATTATGGAATAACCTCAGGGACACAGTCATATCTTCATTCAATCTAAAATCTTTTAAGAGATCTATGGCCATATACCTCAGCCCAGAATGCATCTGTCATGGTAAACTATATTTATCACCGGTTCTGTGTTAAATTTATATAAGTGTGTACAAGTAGAGATTGTAGCCATATTAGTCCAGTGATGTCGTTGTAAAAAACAGATACAATTTGTATCTTGTAATATCTTTTTAATTGGACTAACAGAATTTTGTAATAACAAGCTTTTGGGAGAACTTCCCTTTCTCAAGTCTGAAGCATTTCTGAGCAAAGACGACATAGAATTCAAGATTTTCCTAGTCTTGACGTCTGAAAATATAGATTTTATTAAAGACAGGAGGCGAGTATTATGCATTAACTTTCTTTACTTAACTCCAGCAGCAAAGACATTTTTTCAATAAAGTTTAGTGAATAAAAAAGGTAAAACAACAGAGTAACTGAAATGGAACGTTGGTAGCCAATCAGCATCCAGTATAGTCCATAGAGTGAATGATCCCCAATATTCTCCCTCTTTTGAGCTGCGAATGTAGAAGAAGTGTCTAATAGAGTAGCTCCAAGGATAGAATGATGAAACTCCAAACAGGATTAAGCTGAAATATAAATAACAGGGTGGGTTAATGGGAGGGATAATACTCGCCTCCTGTCTTTAATAAAATCTATATTTTCTGACGTTAAGACTAGGAAAATCTTGAATTTTATAACAAGACAGGAGGCTCGTATTATGCATGTTCAAAGCTATGTAGTCATAATATAACATACATCGGAAGTTATTACAATATTATTTTGAAACATGCAGGCTAGGTCTAAAATAAAACTGTTTAAATGTAGATTCTGAAGACCAATCTGCCGTTTTTAACAGATCTGATAAAGAGCCTCCTGTTTGAAACACTTTAGTAGTCATAGTAGTGAGCTCCAAACATTGAAATATTAATACCTGCCATAGACATCTAGCTAAAGATGTAGAGGAGACAGGTAGAAAAGGTTTACGAAAGGAGATTTGCAATTGTGAGAAATTAGAATTTCGAATCAAAGAGGTTTTAAACTCTTATGTTTGAAGACAACTAACAACACCTAGAAGAGGATGGTCAGAAAATGAAGGATAGAATACAGTACGGAGATTAGTTTTGGTACGTCTCACAATAGGAAAATTAACACCATCAGGAGTATATTGTCTATTATTTAAGTCTAAAGCCTTAATGTCAGAAACTCTTTTGAAAGAGATGAGACACAGTAAAGTGGTAAGCTTAAGCGAAAGCAATTTTAAGGATAATGAATCATTGGCCCCCCATGATTCTATCAACTGGAGTAAAATTCAATAGAATCGTGATTCGCTGAGATAGCGGATCTATAGACATTAATGGTGCGATAAGCTTTCCCTGAATCAAAAGAGGCTGACCAAAAATTTAGAATGTTTGCTAAATCTGAATGTATGGGATCCACTGCCCGTTCCATGCACCAATTAAGCCAAATTTTCCAGGCTGATCTGTAATTTGCACGGGTTCCCGGTGCCCATGCTTCTGAGAGAATGTTTCTAGTAGTGTTTGAAAATTCACTATGAGATTCGAATGGCCCGAAATGAGGGATGCAATCAGGGGTAATTGGCCCAACAGTACTACAGGATGCAAAGATGTCGTATTGAAATGGACCCCACAGGGCAAGTATTTGTTGGAAGATGTTGGGATCCAACATCCAGTTGCTGTAATCCACTAGGAAGCGGGAATTCCAATCTGCTACAGTATTGGAAAGGCCGGGAAGGTATTCTGCTCGTAACGTTATGTTTCGATCGAGGCAAAAATGCCATAATTCTTTGGCAATGTCGGCCAGTTGCTTGGATTTTGTACCTCCTAAGCGATTTATATATTGGACTGCTGATATGTTGTCCATCTTGAGAAGGATACAACAATGGGATTTGTGTTTCGCAAAACTGCGTAGAGCGAAAAACCCTGCCATGAGTTCCAGGCAGTTTATATGCATATTCGTCTCTTCTAGAGACCATTTGCCTCCTGTGGAATTGCCTCCACAATGAGCTCCCCAGCCTAAATGACTTGCGTCGGATTCTATAGTTAGGTCTGGGAATGACGTGAAAATGGCTTTCCCGTTCCAAATTTGAACGTGATCTAACCACCAGGAAAGTTCTATTCTTGTCTCTGAAGTTAGAGAAATCTCGTCTGAATAAAGGAGACCATTGTTTAGATGTTCTCTTTTCAATCTTTGAAGAGCCCGATAGTGAAGGGGGGCTGGAAATATAGCCTGGATCGAGGCTGATAAAAGTCTTACAATCCTTGCTAACGACCTGATGGAAATTAATTCCTTCTTTAGAACTGACCTGATCTCTTTTCGAATTGTTTTCAACTTCCGTGATGGAAGGCTGAGAGTGGCTAAATTGGAATTTACTAGAAATCCTAAAAATTCTATCTCCTGAGAGGGAGTTAAAATCGATTTTTCGTAATTTATTTCAAAGCCAAGGCTTGTTAACAGATTCAATGTCCATTGAGAATGTGGTTGAAGAGTTTGCACACTCTGTGACATAATCAATATGTCGTCTAGATATATTATCATTCTTATTCCCTGCTTCGAAGTAGGGATATTACTGGTTTCAGTAATTTGGTGAAACACCAAGGCGCAGAGGATAAACCAAATGGCAATGATTTGAATTGCCATTTCTTCCCTTGCCATAGGAATTGTAAATATTTCTGACATGAATGGTGGATAGGTACCGTAAGGTATGCATCCTTCAAATCTATTTTGATCAACCAGTCGTTGAACATCAATAGGTCTTTGAGGTAATAAATTCCCTCCATTTTGAAATGGTGGTATCTGACAAAATTGTTTAAGTATTTCAAGTTTATGACTGGTCTGTGACCAGAATCTTTCTTTTTCACCAAGAATAAATTGCTTATGAAGCCTGGGCTGTTCATGGGCACCTGTATGATGGCATTTTTTGAATATAAATGTAATATTTCTTGATGCACCAGGGCCTGGTCTTGGGCCGAAAATTTTATCGGGAAAGGCATGTTTCTTTGGACGGGGAATGATATAAAATCTATTTTGTAACCTAGAACCGTGTCTAGTATCCAAGAGTCGTTTGTAACCTGACTCCAGACATGGAAAAAACAAGTGAGTCTGCCCCCTAACCTTACTGGGAAAGAATGGGGAGTTGTCATACTCACCGGATGAAGATCTGAAGCGAGACATCCCTCGATGGCCTCTCGATCTCCAAGGTCTGCCACGTAGTGGAAAGAAAGGAGTTGATTGTTGGGTGTCATATGAGGATCTGGAGGGTTGAAAAGTGTTCATTGGAACCTGTCTATGCTGAAAGGAACGGCTGGAAGAATGGTTCCTTCCTCCTCCAGCCCTTCCGAAAACCTTAGGGTTGAAAGCTTTCTTCAGGGATAACTGAGCCTTATTAAGGGAACTAAATAGATTGACATATTTATTAATGTCTTTAATAAAGGATTCTCCGAATAGGAGACCTTCCACAGCTGGACCAGGTTCGGAAGTAGCTAGATTTGACAGTTGAGGGTCAATTTTCATTAAAATAGACCTGCGGCGTTCACTGGTCAGCACTGCATTAGCATTCCCCAAAAGACATATAATGCGTTGGGTCCAGCCTCTCAAAGTATCAATGCTGGGAGGATTCCCAGAAGCTGCCGCCTATTCCAAAGTTTCAAACATTTTAGTCACAGGACCAGAAATGTCCATTAATTTATCTTGACAAGATTTCAGTGACCTGTCAAGGCCTTTATTAGGGTTCTTCCCTGATTTTGATAAAAATTGTACAATAGTAGGATCTAGATCAGAGGTCTGTGCGACTTTCTTTGATAAGGTCCGTCTCGGGCATTCAGCCCTTAGTTTATTTCTAGTCGCTTGGTCAAGTGGTTTCCTTAACCAGTGTTCAAGATATTTGGCTACATGAGCCATAGGGACCCATTCGGCTGACCTGGGGTGTTTAATATGGTCTGGGTCAAATAATGGTTTACCATTAAAATCCAAAATAATGTTTTCATTGTCAGATTTAGAAATAAGCTCAGGTGTCTCTGAGATATATGAACAAATTGAGGCAGAATCAGAGTCAGATTTTTCATCCTCTGAGATTGAAGATGATTCACTATCTGAGGAGGTTTTATAGGAATCAGGTTTGTTCCTGTGAATGGCCTTCCGAGCCCGTTTAACTTCCTCACGAGCAGAGGGTCTTTTGAGTGATTGATTACACTCTTCAGTTTTGCGTGAAGCACGCATTGTATTCTTGTCTTGGTCCTTCCCTCTCTTAACTTGCTTAGAGCCGTTAGGGGATTCTGCAGGACATTCAAAGCAATGTTTGCGTTTCTGGGTGGCCTTCCCAGACCTCCTAAAACCTTGAGCTAGGTTTTGTTCAGACTCCACAGATGACCAGAATTGGTCTGAAGGAGTATTAATTAAATGAGTCTTCTCACTGGGTTTTGAGTTATTTATGGCTTGAGCCACAGACTTTGCAATTGCCTCTTGCATTGAGGACATTGCAGTATAAATAGCAGAGGAAACTGACTTTTGAACGGATAAATCCACAATATTATGTAAAGAATCCTCAGTGAGGATTTCACAGTCATGAGAAACACCAGGTTTTGGTGATTCAATCTGTCTGATCTCCTTAGAGTTCATAATTTCAAAATTGCAACAAATAGTAATTGTATCTACTATTCGTAGAATAGTTAAATAGTAAGTAAATGTTGCCAGTTATGATGGGAAATACTGACAGGAATTCAAATAGTTCAAATTATAATAATTACCATTAGAGAGTAACAAGTTGTGAGGAAAGCGCTGTACTGAGGTAAAGTGGGCGGGAAAGTTACCGCCCATAAACATCATCAATGTATAAGGGACTAACTGACAGAAAACGCGCGTGCAACGGTTCGTGTAGAAACTGCCGAAATGACTGAACAGTTTAAAGACAAAAAACTATAAGAAACATAGAATTACTTCAGAAAAGCATATATTCCAGTGAATAAATACATATGTCAAACATATAATCAAACTAGAAGGTATGTTTAGAAAGCAGTAGCATAAGTGAATATACGAGATACGTATCTCTACTGGAGCAGCAAAGAAAGAGGGAGAATATTGGGGATCATTCACTATATGGACTATACTGGATGCTGATTGGCTACCAACGTTCCATTTCAGTTACTCTGTTGTTTTACCTTTTTTATTCACTAAACTTTATTGAAAAAATGTCTTTGCTGCTGGAGTTAAGTAAAGAAAGTTAATGCATAATATGAGCCTCCTGTCTTGCTATAAAATTCAAAGTTGATTTGTGATACAGAGGTTAAAGCGACCTGAGTGCAGATAAGGCACAGGTTTGATAGAACGTAGACAGCATTCTTGCAGAGGGTCGTAAATATCTTATGTGAAGCTCACAGAGTGAGGGGGGAGAGAGAGAAAAAACCCCACAAGTGAATAGTGCAGAAGATGGTGCTAGAAGGGGGGAGTATTCAGGGCCGCCTTTAACGGGGGGGGGGGGGCAAAAAGGGGGGGCTGCCCAGGGACCAGTTACTCCTGGGGGCCCAAGGCACCTTTCCCGTGGGCCCCCTGCCCTCAACTACTTATTCCCCACCAATAACACATATATTGTTTGTGTATTGTATTTTTGTAATGTTGTATCCCATTGTAACAATGCAATGTTTGTGGACCCAGGACATACTTGAAAACGAGAGAAATCTCAATGTATCCATCCTGGTAAAATATTTTATAAATAAATAAATATCCTTATGTCACAAGCAGTGGTTCAAAGGTAACCTGTTTGGCCCTGTGCAGTCAAATTTATTCTCCCCATCCCATTGCTAATTCTACTTTTACAATTGTGATGTTGGGGTGCTGGTAATCCGGGGTGTCTTAAAATGGTACTGAGGGGGTCCAGCCCTGAATGTGAGGCCGTATAGCCCCAAATCTGTTGTGCTTCTCCTTGCCTGCGTCCGGTCTCCTCTGTGACTTTAGAAATCACCCAGGAGCGGAGGCAGGTCAATGACAGAGACACAGGGATTCTAACAGAGAGTCCTATTAAAGAGTCACATTAGAGAATAGTCATATTAGAGAGTGACATTCGAGAGTCATATTCCCTGTGTGTCTGCTGCTTCCGTCTCTAGCTGAGCCTCACTGAGCAGCTGTACGCAGAGAGAAAAAGGCCACCTGTCAGCAGAGAGGACCAGGGAAACCGATGCCGAGGGCTAGACGCATGCTGCCTGTTCTCCTACATGAAGCTTGTGGTCGATAGCCCTGAAACAGTGGCTGGCCACCTGCCTTCTCCTCAACCATCCATCATTGGATCATAAGGCCTAAATGGGCACCCGTGGGCGGATACTACAGATCCTGATACTTATTGTATATTTATGTTTGTCTTTATGCCACTAGCATTACACTAATAACAGGTGGAGATTACACTGTGACAGCTTTATAACTAGTATTTTATGGTGTTCACACTTTGGTGTGCTAACCTTGCTGGTTTGGGAGCCTTTTATCTAAGATGTTGGAGAAACACTTTATTTATACAGCCTCCTGCACACTGTATACTTTTAGGAAGCACCAGCACACTTTTTGTTGTTCTTTGTAATGTGTGTGTGTGTGTGTATCTTTGTGTCTGTGAGTAACTCTGCGTGTGCTAAGAGGCGTATTCAGAGATGGAGTTAGAGAGGGACATGGGCAGAGTTTGAGGAGCAGTCAGGTGTGTAGCATTAGGAAATTGTGTTTTTGACCCTGGCAACTTCCCTGTTGGTAATGCATACAATTCCTTTCTCTCCCTACTTGTTCTGTTTGTCAGTAATGGATAAAGACACAATTGTGCAGGGAATTCTGAATGGAGAGTTGGGCAGGCTAATGGAGGCAGGCAAAGGAGAAGTCATAAAAGGGACAAAACTGCCCTAAAATGATGGAATGGACAGTTGCAGTTCCAGGCCCCATTCATGGTTCTTATTCTTACATGGACTCAATACCTGGAGATCTTTGTCACATTGCCTGACAAGTAAAAAATTCTAGGCATACCAGAAAGAAAATCTGTAAGGTGGGATGGGAGCCCAAATCAGGACTGTGGGGAGGTAGGACTGTGATATGGGTTTACTTCAGGGAGATCATGCCAAACTAATCTTATTGATTTTTTTGATTGTGTAACTAAAATTATAGATCAGGGTGGTGCAGTAGACATTGCTTACCTAGATTTCAGTAAGGCTTTTGACACTGTTGCACATAGAAGGCTTATCAATAAACTGCAATCTTTTAAGTTTGGATTCCAATATTGTTGAATGGGTAAGGCAGTGGCTGAGTGACAGGCAACAGAGGGTTGTAGTTAATGGAATATATTCTAAGCTTGGACTTGTCACCAGTGGGGTACCTCAGGGATCTGTACTTGGACCCATTCTCTTTAATATTTTTATTAGTGATATTTCAGAAGGTCTTGATGGTAAGGTATGTCTTTTTGCTGATGATACTAAGATATGTAACAGGGTTGATGTTCCAGGAGGGATAAGCCAAATGGCAAATGATTTAGGTAAAACTAGAAAAATGGTCAGAATTGTGGCAACTGACATTTAATGTGGATAAGTGCAAGATAATGCATCTTGGACGTAAAAACCCAAGGGCAGAGTACAGAATATTTGATAGAGTCCTAACCTCAACATATGAGGAAAGGGATTTAGGGGTGATTATTTCTGATGATTTAAAGGTAGAAAAAGAAAAAAGCCGGTGGCCAAAGACAACCAGCCTATAAGTGTGTCAGGGGAATCCTGAGAGGGGGTAACCCTTACATACGTTTGAGGAAAAATACAAAGATAGGAAGATCTAGGCAGAGAGGAGGAAACTCCTCGTCCCTACACTAAGTCAACCAAAAGAGGAAACCCCATCCTTGATGTAATGCTAAAAATAAAACTTAACCTTTATTGATAAAAAATAAAATAATGCAAACACACAAAAAATAGATAAAGATAAAAAGTATAAGGAGTGCCACCGCAATCACTGTGGGTGTGGACAATAAAAATGAATCATATTATGTCCTCCAGAACCACTTATGGATAGGTATCAAACAAGGAGACTAGTTACTAAATAGGGTAGGATATGGAGAGGAGAGAGAAAAAGAAAATTAAATAAATAGAGGAATTCCTCTGAGTCACTATAAACAACTCCTAGAAAGGAAAGTGAGAACCTAATAGGCACTGTGGCAGACAGTAACAAGATATCTAGTGCAAGTAGAAACTAAATTGCACCTGTAACAGTAACCCCTATAATGTGGGATAATAAACTGGATATTGCCTCAAAAATGCATACCAGAGGGCTTTATTGAGTTATAGAGGAGACCTTCTAAGAGACAAAGAGGCTCCAACAAAACAAGAACACATTCGCTGTGTAGCCACGTTTGATTCTGGATGAGACCAGACCAAACGGATACTAGGCAGATTCTGGCCTCTGATCTCCCAAGATCCTCAACTCAAAGGAGTTGTGACTCCATTTGTTTCCCTCACTGCACGAAGAGGCAGAAATTTAAAAGAAGTTTTGGTCCCCAGCCATTTGTCCACTAAGTGTGTCAGTACAAACTGGCTTTCCGTGCAGGGCACCTACCAATGTGGCAGGTGCGTGGCCTGTCAGTACATGATGAAAAATTCAAAAGTCCTTTTAGATTTGACTGATAAATCAATGTGTCAGATTAAACAATTTTTCAATTGTAATACGAAGGGGATTATATATTTGCTGAAATGTTTATGTGGCCTTAGATATGTGGGGAAAACCATCCGCCCCTTTAAGAGGCGTGTTATGGAACACATACACTCAGTCAAAAATTTCAGAGATACCCCGGTTTCTAGACACATTAGAAATGATCATCATGGTGACACGCGAGGGATCAAATTTGCAGGTATCGAAAAGGTGCAATTGGGTCGTAGAGGAGGTGACCTGGACCGTACCCTCCTCAAAAGAGAATGCTTTTGGATCTATAAATTCAATACATTGGCCCCCAATGGATTAAATGAAGGATTTACGTTTACTCCCTTTATTGAATAATGAGTTACACAGTGAATAATATTTAACATCTTTAATAATGCAATATTACTTGATTTATATATATATATATATCATTTTTGTAAATACTTTTGTTATTTGTTGATTAAAAATTGACTGTAATGTCTTGTTCCCTCTTATATTATATATGAAACTTATGTGAAACTTAAGCGTTGTCACCTGATCAAAACATTATTGTTTAACTATAATATCTGTATATTATCCCACTATGAGTGATTAGGACCAAAAGATTTCTAATAGCTAGTCACACTAACGCTTTATGTACTAGCAAAAACATGTCTTTTTCATCCTTTGTTTATTTAACTAACAAGCACATAATTTCTGTAAATATGTCACTTTGTTTCATTTTATCTGGTTACTTTGATTGATCATATAACAAATGAATATTTTACTGACTTTATACATCTGTTTCTTTAACACCATATGAATGACCAGGTTAATGTTTAGGCAATGGTTCACTAGGGGCACATTTGCATACCCTGTCAATCACTCACACAAGGGGAAGGTACCTGTTTGAACGCCGTTTCGGCGCGAACAGGTTTGACACGCCCACATAGTTTTGCCGATTCGGTACACTTATATAAGAGCCGGGCAGGGGATAGACGGTTGCTTTACCTCTGACGAAGGCGCATTAGAAGCGCTGAAACGTGCGTTAGGTAGTCTAGTTTGGAGTTGCCACGAGTGTTAGGTTTTAGCAAGCTGTTACTAGCATAAGGGATTTGGGGATACGTGAGGAGGGAAGGAGTTTGCTTGTTCACGATATGAGTCTTTTTCTATTTTGGCAGTCTCCATTTATGCTGCAGTGGCTCTTTTGGTAACAATATCCAGTTTCTTATCCCACATTATAGGGGTTACTGTTACAGGTGCAATTTAGTTTCTACTTGCACTAGATATTTTGTTACTATCTGCCACAGTGCCTATTAGGTTCTCACTTTCCTTTCTAGGAGTTGTTTATAGTGACTCAGAGGAATTCCTCTATTTATTTAATTTTGTTTTTCTCTCTCCTCTCCATATCCTACCCTATTTAGTAACTAGTCTCCTTGTTTGATACCTATCCATAAGTGGTTCTGGAGGACATAATATGATTCATTTTTATTGTCCACACCCACAGTGATTGCGGTGGCACTCCTTATACTTTTTATCTTTATCTATTTTTTGTGTGTTTGCATTATTTTATTTTTTATCAATAAAGGTTAAGTTTTATTTTTAGCATTACATCAAGGATGGGGTTTCCTCTTTTGGTTGACTTAGTGTAGGGACGAGGAGTTTCCTCCTCTCTGCCTAGATCTTCCTATCTTTGTATTTTTGATTTAAAGGTAGGCAGACAATGTAATAGAGCAGCAGGAAATGCTAGCAGAATGCTTGGTTGTATAGGGAGAGGTATTAGCAGTAGAAAGAGGGAAGTGCTCATGCCATTGTACAGAACACTGGTGAGACCTCACTTGGAGTATTGTACACAGTACTGGACACCGTATCTTCAGAAGGATATTGATACTTTGGAGAGAGTTCACAGAAGCACTACTAAACTTGTTCATGGATTGCGGGATAAAACTTACCAGGAAAGGTTAAAGGATCTTAACATGTATAGCTTGGAGGAAAGACGAGACGGGGGGATATGATAGAAACATTTAAATATATAAAGGGAATCAACACAGTAAAGGAGGAGACTATATTTAAAAGAAGAAAAACTACCACAACAAGAGAACATAGTCTTAAATTAGAGGGACAAAGGTTTAAAAATAATATCAGGAAGTATTACTTTACTGAGAGGGTAGTGGATGCATGGAATAGCTTTCCAGCTGAAGTGGTAGAGGTTAACACAGTAAAGGAGTTTAAGCATGCGTGGGATAGGCATAAGGCTATCCTAACTATAAGATAAGGCCAGGGACTAATGAAAGTTTTTAGAAAATTGGGCAGACTAGATGGGCCGAATGGTTCTTATCTGCCGTCACATTCTATGTTTCTATGTCTATCAAATGTCTCTAAAGAACCACCACAAATAAAGTTACACCTCTCTCTCCGTATTTTCCTGGGTAACATCTCCAAGCATTGTTTGACAGAATACAGAGTAAAAAATATGTCAACCTGGCATATATACTTAGAGTTTAGAGGAGGCCATAACACTATCACATGGATCATTTTGGAGTCAAACAGTCTTTCTGGCAGAACACAAATCTTCAATGTTCTTGACTTTTCAGCTGATTAATACTGTAAATGTTGTATAAAATATATTTAGATGTAAACCTTAGTAGCGGCTTTAAGCTTTGAGTAAATAAGCGGTGTAGCATCAGGAAATGTGTGAGCTGCTGCTTTAAAATAGATAGTCAAAGAACGGTTGAGACTCTAGGACACTATATGCCTATAGGCAGGGCCGGACTGGCCCACTGGGATACCGGGAATTTCCCGGTGGGCCGTCGGCACCTGGGGCCGGGCAGGCAGCTGGCTCTTCTGGCGGCCGCATGGGGGAGCTCCTTTGGCGGCCGCAGGGGGAGCTGGCTGTTCTGTCTCTGCTCCCCCTCCCCTGCGCACTGCTTAATGAGACCGGGGCCGGAATATGACGTCAGCCAGCTCCCCCTGCGGCCGCCAATGGAGCTCCCCCATGCGGCCGCCAGAAGAGCTCCCCACAGGTAGAAATTGTGTGTGTCAGTGTGAGTGTATGTGTGTGTGTCTGTGTCATTTGTGTGCGTCTGTCTGTGTCATGGTGTGTGTGTGTGTGTGTCTGTGTCATGGTGTGTGTCTGTGTCATGGTGTGTGTCTGTGTCATGGTGTGTGTGTGTCTGTCTGTGTCATGGTGTGTGTCTTTGTCATGGTGTGTGTGTGTCTGTCTGTGTCATGGTGTGTGTGTCTGTGTCATGGTGTGTGTGTCTGTGTCATTGTGTGTGTCTGTGTCATGTTGTGTGTGTGTCTCTGTCATGGTGTGTGTGTGTCTATCTGTGTCATGCAATGTGTGTCTGTGTCATGGTGTGTGTCTGTGTCATGGTGTGTGTGTCTGTCTGTGTCATGGTGTGTGTCTGTGTCTGTCTGTGTCATGGCGTGTGTGTCTGTGTCATTGTGTGTGTCTCTGTCATGGTGTGTGTATGTGTCATGGTGTGTGTGTATTTGTCATTGTGTGTGTGTATGTGTCATGGTGTGTGTGTGTTTGTCATGGTGTGTGTGTGTCTGTTTGTCATGGTGTGTGTGTCTGTCTGTGTCATGTAATGTGTGTCTGTCTGTGTCACGGTCTCTCTGTGTCGTGGTGTGTGTGTGTCTGTGTGTCATGGTGTGTGTGTCTGTGTTGTGTGTGTGTGTGTCTGTGTCACGGTCTGTCTGTGTTATGGTGTGTGTGTGTGTCAAGGTGTGTGTGTCTTTTTTAAGGTGTGTGTCTGTCATGGTATGTGTGTGTCTCTGTCATGGTGTGTGTGTGTCTGTCTGTGTCATGGTGTGTCTGTCTGTCACGGTGTGTGTGTGTTTCTGTCTGTGTCACGGTGTGTGTCTGTGTCATGGTCTGTCTGTGTCATGGTGTGTGTCTGTCATGGTATGTGTATGTGTATGTGTGTTTTTACTCACCTTTTTTTTTCCCCACGTCGTGCTGGTCTCCCCTCGACTGGCCCTGCCTCTACGACTGAGATCATCAAGCTTGATGATGTCAGCCAATCCGCACTGATACAGGAAGCACCTCTAGTGACCGTCTGAGTGTCTGTCACTAGGAAGCAATGTAAACACTGCCTTTTCTCTAAAAAGTCAGTGTTTACATTGAAAAGCCTGCAGGGACAGGATATAGACACCAGAGCCACTACATGAAGCTGTGTGTGTGTGCGCGCCTGCTAGTGAGTGGGCTTGCTTGTGTGTGTGTGCCTGCTACTGAGTGAGCTTGTGTTTTTATGTCAATGACCTTATGTATATCAGTGAGATTGTTTGTCTATGAGTCTGTGTATCAATGAGCTTGTGTGTGTCAGTGAGATTGTCTGTGTCTGCATGTGAGTATGCTTACTGTATAATTAAAAATTTTACTCTGAAAGGACCAATATTTTATATTGGAAAAAGATATATATATCATCTAGGGTTGCAAGACATAGCCTTAAATTTTACATGCGACAATATATGGCGCAATCACTTATGGGGCTGGCATAGATTTTTTTTTCCAGGGCTGCTTTGGAATCCCCAGTCCGGCCCTGCCTATAGGGAAGATAATCTCACTTGTACAAATAAGATAAGAACACAGACAGTGACAAGGATATATGTAAGGATATCAAAGACTTTTCAGTAAGTTCTTGTGATCTCTCATATTTTCTTTCATTGTTTTCTTTTTAAAGGATCACGCTTATATTATAAATAGATATATTTATTAGAGTGTTTTTGTCACTCATTACATTTTTACCACCCCTGACTAAAGTAAAATAAAAGTTAGACTCTCTCACTTTTATCCAGCATTGTCTTGGTCTCACCACGGCAGCCAATCATCCTCTTCTGAGCTTGTCATTACTGATGATCTCTGACCAATCCAATGCTTCTAGAGTGGTGATAGCCAGAGGCTTTGTTCTCATAGAGACACATTAAATCCAATGTAATCTATTAGAGGCATTAACAGTGTTCAGCGATACCGAATGTGAAGACGCAAAATAACTCAAAGTCTTCTATAAGAACATGCAGATGACGGCTGACTGACAAATATAAACATTACAGTTTCTCACAAACAGCAATATTTACATTTATCGGATTTTATTAAAGGACCACTATAGTGCCAGGAAAACATACTCGTTTTCCTGGCACTATAGTGCCCTGAGGGTGCCCCCACCCTCAAGGACCCCCTCCCGCCGGGCTGGATGCTTTCCTATGGACGCTTGCTTCTTCTCACTGTGATTTTCACAGTGAGAATCACGCAAGCACCTCTAGCGGCTGTCAATGAGACAGCCACTAGAGGATTTAGAGGCTGGATTAACCCATTTATAAACATAGCAGTTTCTCTGAAACTGCTATGTTTATAAAAAACAAGGGTTAATCCTAGAGGGACCTGGCACCCAGACCACTTCAATAAACTATCTCCTAATTGGTCTTCCCAATAGCCGTATTGCCCCGCTACAGTCTGTCCTCTCACACCTCACCCCTCTGTCATTCCTTACATTGGCTTCCTGTATCCTATAGGAGTAAATTCACGGTACTAACGTATACCTATATAGCACTGACCAATTCTAGCCCCTCTTATATCTCCTCACAGATCTATAGGTATGCCCCTTCTCGATCTCTCTGCTCTGCCCGTGACCTTCTCCTGTCCGCTAATCGCACCCGTACAGCCAACTCGTGCTTGCAGGACTTCTCGCGGGCGGCTCCCTTCCTGTGGAATATCCTGCCTACCGCCATCAGACTCTCCCCTACTCTTGAATCTTTTAAGGAATCTTTAGGAAAGCTTATGGCCTCCCAGAGTAACCTCTACCATGCATACCTGTCTCTTGCTCTCTCCTATAGGGCAGCACTCTACTCTCTCCTCCAGCTCTGCTTCACTCCCAACTATTTTGATTGCTACCTCCTGTCCTATTGTGTTTTACACCCCATCTCCTATAGACTGTAAGCTCGTTGGAGCAGGGTCCTTAACCCAGCTCCTGAGTGGCTTATTGCTCTGTCACTGACCCTGTAACTCCTTATTACAGTAACCCAGCTCCTGAGTGCTTTATTGCTCTATCACTGACCCTGCTGTTTCTAAGTGTCTAGTTGGAGATATTCTGGAGGTAACCTGGAGGTAATCTGAGGTATTCAGGAGGATAAAGGAAAAAAGTTAAGATTTGTTAGATTTAAATTATTCTCATAATTGGAATGGCAGGCTTAGTTCAGTGTAACAATTGCTATGCATTTGTTTCACGTTCCACTTTTTGGAGGTTTGGTTGTTGTCTTATCTGTAGACAGTTCTCTATCTTGCGGCAGGAGATTGTATTTTTTGAAGTCTGAGATTTGTAAATTATCTGGTGTAGAAACTCAGACTGGAACTGCTGCAAAGCCACTGCCGCAGAGACATGCTAGGAAAGGCAGATGGATTACTGTAGGATCTGGTAGACTTAGAGTTGTGGATAAAAGGCATTTTGTACAGTCTGTTGCTCTTCATAATTCATTTTCTGCACTTTCAGAGTGTAATGGTGTTGTGGAGAGAGGCACTGAGGCTAGTGGTGTTGTGGAGAGAGGCACTAAGACTAGTGGTGTTGTAGAGAGAGTCACTGAGGATAGTGGTGTTGTGGAGAGAGGCACTGAGGCTAGTGGTGTTGTGGAGACCGGCTTGGTGAGGCCTAATAGAAAGCAGTTGTTGTTGGGTGATTCCATTATAAGAGGTATGGAGATGGACAATGGTGGTCTTGTGAGGTGTCTTCCCGGAGCTACTGCTCACAGAGACAGGAGACGTATCTGTAATATTGTTAAGCAAGCAAAGCAGGAAGGGGAATTGGATGTACTTGTCCATCTAGGGACAAATGACTTGGCTTGCAATGAAGTTTCAGAGGTTAAGGAAGTTTTTAGGGTTTTTGCCAATGATATACGGCAGGTTGCTTCCACACTGCATAACACTCAGAACGACAGGCGGATGCGTATTAGGGACTTTAATTTGTGGCTTGGTAAATGCTGTCGGGAGCAAGGATTTGGCTTTATTTATCATGGTAGCTCTGTTTGGAATGGAGATAAGCTGTACAAAAAAGATGGTTTGCATCTTTCTCAAAGGGGAACAAATGTTCTCAGTGAGCAGTTCAGAGGTTTTGCTAGGATGTATTTAAACTAGGAGGGGGGGCAAAAGGGTAATAAAACATCAATCCAATTGTCCCCCAAAACAAGGACAGAAGGTGCCTGTAGCAAGTGTGTTAAAAAATTATAAGCTTAGAGTCATGTCTACAAATGCTCGCAGTTTAGGGAATAAGATCCATGAACTTGTGGCAATAATGGCAACCGATAGTGTAGATTTAGTCGCTGTTACTGAGACATGGTATAATGAGAAAAATGACTGGGACATAGCAATACCAGGGTACTCTTTATATAGAAAAGATAGGGAAGGCAAGAAAGGGGAGGGGTGGCCCTGTATGTGAAGGATAGCATAAAATCTAGCCTAATAAAAGTTAGTGAGGCGAACATAGAGTCCGTTTGGGTTACGTTAGAATTTGGTAATCACACAGTAATTTATGTAGGTGTGATTTATAAGCCCCCAGGACAAATTGAAGAGTTAGATAATCTACTAGTTGAGGAAATAGCTAAAATGACAATGAAGGGGGAAGTTATCATCATGGGTGACTTTAATCTTCCTGATGTAAATTGGAAAACAAAATTAGCTACTTGTGCCAGGAGCACACATATTCTAAACTCCCTACTGGGATTGTCTCAAAAACAAGTTGTTGAGGAGCCAACTCGTAAAGAGGCCATACTAGATTTAGTGTTAACAAATGGAGATTTGGTATCAGATGTTACTGTAGGTGAAAGTTTAGGATCCAGTGATCATCAGTCAGTGTGGTTTAATATAAGAACAGTGACTGAGTCACACCACACAAAAACAAAAGTTTTAGACTTTAGAAAACAGACTTTTCTAAAATTAGAATATGGGTAGAGGAGTCATTATCAGACTGGAGCAATTTAAATGGAGTCCAAGAGAAATGGGATTATTTAAAGTTGCACTATTGAAGGCAACAGAAAATTGCATTAGGCTTGTCAGTAAAAGCAAAAAATTCAAGAAACCACTGTGGTACTCCGCAGATGTGGCCAAAATAGTTAAAAACAAAAAGTTAGCATTTAGGAATTATAAAAAAACCTAGAGTGAGGAAGACAAAATGATCTATAAGATTAGGCAGAAAGAGGCTAAGCAAGTTATAAGAGCTTCCAAATCACACACAGAAGAGAAAATAGCACAGTCAGTAAAAAGGGGGGATAAAACATTTTTTAGATACATAAATGAGAAAAGAAAAGTAAAACAAGGATTAGTTAGATTAAAACAAAAGAAGGAAGGTATGTAGAAGAGGATAAAGGTCAGGCTGACTGCCTCAATGAATATTTTTGTTCTGTATTTACAGAAGAAAATGAAGGAAAGGGACCTCAGTTGAGAAAAAGGATAAATGAGTCATCTATTACACGTGAGTTTACAGAGGAAGAGGTTCTATTTCAACTGTCAAAAGTAAAGACAAATAAGTCAATGGGACCTGATGGAATACACCCAAAGCTATTAAAAGAGCTTAGTGGTGTACTAGCAAAACCATTAACAGATTTATTTAACCAATCATTGTTAACAGGAGTAGTCCCAGAAGATTGGAAATTAGCGAATGTTGTGCCCATTTACAAGAAAGGTAATAGGGAAGAGTCGGGCAACTATAGGCCAGTAAGCCTTACTTCAGTAGTGGGGAAAGTGATGGAAACCAAGTTAAAGGATAGGATTGATGAACATCTAAAAACACATGGATTTCAAGATCAGAGACAACATGGGTTTACTTCAGGGAGATCATGCCAAACTAATCTTATTGATTTTTGATTGGGTAACTAAAATTATAGATCAGGGTGGTGCAGTAGACATTGCTTACCTAGATTTCAGTAAGGCTTTTGACACTGTTGCACATAGAAGGCTTATCAATAAACTGCAATCTTTAAGTTTGGATTCCAATATTGTTGAATGGGTAAGGCAGTGGCTGAGTGACAGGCAACAGAGGGTTGTAGTTAATGGAATATATTCGAAGCTTGGACTTGTCACCAGTGGGGTACCTCAGGGATCTGTACTTGGACCCATTCTCTTTAATATTTTTAATAGTGATATTGCAGAAGGTCTTAATGGTAAGGTATGTCTTTTTGCTGATGATACTAAGATATGTAACAGGGTTGATGTTCCAGGAGGGATAAGCCAAATGGCAAATGATTTAGGTAAACTAGAAAAATAGTCAGAGTTGTGGCAACTGACATTTAATGTGGATAAGTGCAAGATAATGCATCTTGGACGTAAAAACCCAAGGGCAGATTACAGAATATTTGATAGGTTCTAACCTCAACTTGTATGAGGAAAGGGATTTAGGGGTGATTATTTCTGATGACTTAAAGGGTAGGCCAGACAATGTAATAGAGCAGCAGGAAATGCTAGCAAGTACTTGGTTGTATGAGTATTATGAGCTGAAGGGAAGTACTCATTATACCTTCTGAACACTGGGTGGAACACCTAACGGGTATTACAGTACGGTCGTCTGCTCGCACAAATTACAGAGAGGGTTCAGAAGGGCTACTAAACTGGTTCATGGATTGCGGGATAAAACTTACCAGGAAAGGTTAAAGGATCTTAACATGTATAGCTTGGAGGAAAGACGAGACAGGGGGGGATATGATAGAAACATTTAAATATATAAAGGGAATCAACACAGTAAAGGAGGAGACTATATTTAAAAGAAGAAAAACTACCACAACAAGAGGACATAGTCTTAATCCCTTAAGGACACAACTTCTGGAATAAAAGGGAATCTTGACGGAATATTTCCGTCATGTGTCCTTAAGGGGTTAAATTAGAGGGACAAAGGTTTAAAAATAATATCAGGAAGTATTACTTTACTGAGAGGGTAGTGGATGCATGGAATAGCCTTCCAGCTGAAGTGGTAGAGGTTAACACAGTAAAGGAGTTTAAGCATGCATGGGATAGGCATAAGGCTATCCTAACTATAAGATAAGGCTAGGGACTAATGAAAGTTTTTAGAAAATTGGGAAGACTAGATGGGCCGAATGGTTCTTATCTGCCGTCACATTCTATGTTTCTATGTTTCTATGTTTCTATTGCTCTGTCACTGACCCTGTAACTCCTTATTACAGTAACCCGGCTCCTGAGTGCCTTATTGCTCTGTCACTGACCCTGTGACATCTTATTACAGTAACCCAGCTCCTGAGTGCCTTATTGCTCTATCACTGACCCTGTAACTCCTTATTACAATAACCCGGCTCCTGAGTGCCTTATTGCTCTGTCACTGATCCTGTAACTCCTTATTACAGTAACCCAGCTCCTGAGTGCTTTATTGCTCTATCACTGACCTTGTAACTCCTTATTACAGTAACCCAGCTCCTGAGTGCCTTATTGCTCTGTCACTGACCCTGTAACTCCTTATTACAGTAACCCAGCTCCTGAGTGCCTTATTGCTCTGTCACTGACCTTGTAACTCCTTATTACAGTAACCCGGCTCCTGAGTGCCTTATTGCTCTGTCACTGACCCTGTAACTCCTTATTACAGTAACCCAGCTCCTGAGTGCCTTATTGCTCTATCACTGACCCTGTAACTCCTTAGTACAGTAACCCAGCTCCTGAGTGCCTTATTGCTCTATCACTGACCCTGTAACTCCTTAGTACAGTAACCCAGCTCCTGAGTGCCTTATTGCTCTGTCACTGACCCTGTAACTCCTTATTACAGTAACCCAGCTCCTGAGTGCCTTATTGCTCTATCACTGACCCTGTAACTCCTTATTACAGTAACCCAGCTCCTGAGTGCCTTATTGCTCTATCACTGACCCTGTAACTCCTTATTACAGTAACCCAGCTCCTGAGTGCCTTATTGCTCTGTCACTGACCCTGTAACACCTTATTACAGTAACCCAGCTCCTGAGTGCCTTATTGCTCTGTCACTGACCCTGTAACTCCTTATTACAGTAACCCAGCTCCTGAGTGCCTTATTGCTCTGTAACCTCACTGACCCTGTAACTCCTTATTACAGTAACCCAGCTCCTGAATGCCTTATTGCTCTATCACTGACCCTGTAACTCCTTATTACAGTAACCCGGCTCCTGAGTGCCTTATTGCTCTATCACTGACCCTGTAACTCCTTATTACAGTAACCCGGCTCCTGAGTGCCTTATTGCTCTATCACTGACCCTGTAACATCGTATTACAGTAATCCAGCTCCTGAGTGCCTTATTGCTCAATTAATAACCCTGTAACTCCTTATTACAGTAACCCGGCTCCTGAGTGCCTTATTGCTCTGTCACTGACCTTGTAACTCCTTATTACAATAACCCAGCTCTGAGTGCCTTATTGCTCTATCACTGACCCTGTAACGCCTTATTACAGTAACCCGGCTCCTGAGTGCCTTATTGCTCTATCACTGACCCTGTAACACCTTATTACAGTAACCCAGCTCCTGAGTGCCTTATTGTTCTATCACTGACCCTGTAACACCTTATTACAGTAACCCAGCTCCTGAGTGCCTTATTGCTCTGTCACTGACCCTGTAACTGCTCCTGAGTGCCTTATTGTTCTATCACTGACCCTGTAACACCTTATTACAGTAACCCAGCTCCTGAGTGCCTTATTGCTCTATCACTGACCCTGTAACTCCTTATTACAGTAACCCGCTCCCGAGTGCCTTATTGCTCTATCACTGACCCTGTAACACCTTATTACAGTAACCCGGCTCCTGAGTGCCTTATTGCTCCATCACTGACCCTGTAACTCCTTATTACAGTAACCCGGCTCCTGAGTGCCTTATTGTTCTATCACTGACCCTGTAACTCCTTATTACAGTAACCCAGCTCCTGAGTGCCTTTTTGCTCTATCACTGACCCTGTAACATCGTATTACAGTAATCCAGCTCCTGAGTGCCTTATTGCTCAATTAATAACCCTGTAACTCCTTATTACAGTAACCCGGCTCCTGAGTGCCTTATTGCTCTATCACTGACCCTGTAACATCGTATTACAGTAATCCAGCTCCTGAGTGCCTTATTGCTCAATTAATAACCCTGTAACTCCTTATTACAGTAACCCAGCTCCTGAGTGCCTTATTGCTCTGTCACTGACCTTGTAACTCCTTATTACAATAACCCAGCTCCTGAGTGCCTTATTGCTCTATCACTGACCCTGTAACTCCTTATTACAGTAACCCGGCTCCTGAGTGCCTTATTGCTCTATCACTGACCCTGTAACTCCTTATTACAGTAACCCAGCTCCTGAGTGCCTTATTGCTCTATCACTGACCCTGTAACACCTTATTACAGTAACCCAGCTCCTGAGTGCCTTATTGCTCTATCACTGACCCTGTAACACCTTATTACAGTAACCCGGCTCCTGAGGGCCTTATTGCTCTATCACTGACCCTGTAACACCTTATTACAGTAACCCAGCTCCTGAGTGCCTTATTGCTCTATCACTGACCCTGTAACACCTTATTACAGTAACCCGGCTCCTGAGTGCCTTATTGCTCTATCACTGACCCTGTAACACCTTATTACAGTAACCCAGCTCCTGAGGGCCTTATTGCTCTATCACTGACCCTGTAACACCTTATTACAGTAACCCAGCTCCTGAGTGCCTTATTGCTCCATCACTGACCCTGTAACACCTTATTACAGTAACCCAGCTCCTGAGGGCCTTATTGCTCTATCACTGACCCTGTAACACCTTATTACATTACCCAAGATCCTGAGTGTCTTATTGCTCTATCACTAGCCTTGTAACACCTTATTACAGTAACCAAGCTCCTGAGTGCCTTATTGCTCTATCACTGACCCGTAACTCCTTATTACAGTAACCCAGCTCCTGAGTGCCTTATTGCTCTATCACTGACCCTGTAACACCTTATTACAGTAACCCAGCTCCTGAGTGCCTTATTGCTCTATCACTGACCCTGTGACACCTTATTACAGTAACCCAGCTCCTGAGTGCCTTATTGCTCTATCACTGACCCTGTAACACCTTATTACAGTAACCCGGCTCCTGAGTGCCTTATTGCTCTGTCACTGACCCTGTAACTCCTTATCACAGTAACCTGGCTCCTGAGTGCCTTATTGCTCTGTCACTGACCCTGTAACACCTTATTACAGTAACCCAGCTCCTGAGTGCCTTATTGCTCTGTCACTTACCCTGTAACACCTTATTACATTACCCAAGCTCCTGAGTGCCTTATTGCTCTATCACTGGCCTTGTAACACCTTATTACAGTAACCAATTTCTGAGTGCCTTATTGCTCTATCACTGACCCTGTAACACCTTATTACAGTAACCCAGCTCCTGAGTGCCTTATTGCTCTATCACTGACCCTGTGACACCTTATTACAGTAACCCAGCTCCTGAGTGCCTTATTGCTCTATCACTGACCCTGTAACACCTTATTACAGTAACCCGGCTCCTGAGTGCCTTATTGCTCTGTCACTGACCCTGTAACTCCTTATTACAGTAACCTGGCTCCTGAGTGCCTTATTGCTCTGTCACTGACCCTGTAACACCTTATTACAGTAACCCGGCTCCTGAGTGCCTTATTGCTCTGTCACTTACCCTGTAACACCTTATTACATTACCCAAGCTCCTGAGTGCCTTATTGCTCTATCACTGGTCTTGTAACACCTTATTACAGTAACCAAGCTCCTGAGTGCCTTATTGCTCTATCACTGACCCGTAACTCCTTATTACAGTAACCCAGCTCCTGAGTGCCTTATTGCTCTATCACTGACCCTGTAACACCTTATTACAGTAACCCAGCTCCTGAGTGCCTTATTGCTCTATCACTGACCCTGTGACACCTTATTACAGTAACCCAGCTCCTGAGTGCCTCATTGCTCTATCACTGACCCTGTGACACCTTATTACAGTAACCCGGCTCCTGAGTGCCTTATTGCTCTGTCACTGACCCTGTAACTCCTTATTACAGTAACCCAGCTCCTGAGTGCCTTATTGCTCTATCACTGACCCTGTAACACCTTATTACAGTAACCCAGCTCCTGAGGGCCCTATTGCTCTATCACTGACTTTTTTTTAACTTAATGAGCATCTCATTAATTTGTTTCTTGATCACTGACCCTATATCCGCTCAACACTATAACTTTTGAGCTCTGAAACCTGTTTTCAGGATTAGAAACAGAAATTCCTGCTAGTCTCTCATCCTTGTGATCATTTAGCCGGTTGTTTGAAAGGTAGGTTCATCAATGATGACTAAGGGAAGCACACAAAGGATAGGAAATAGTAAGAGAGGAATGTGTTAATTCTTGTAAAACAAGCCCTTGCAGGGTGTGAGAGGGCAGAACTTGCAGAGTACAGTAAGGTGTGAATATTTATTAAACACCATAGAAGAGAGCTGCGTCACAGTTCTGCAACTGAAGAGCAATGTAAAATTTGTTCAATAAACAGTGAATTGTATCATTCTGATTTGTTAATATAAACCAAAACATCCAAGTTGGAAAATGCAGTAAATATACAATTAGTCTAATAAAAAATATAAATATATATAAAAAAATAGCCAAGCTATAAAAATTCCCCATCTCAGCTAGACCAGATATCCGCTATTTTGGCCAAAAATGGACAATTTCCCAATCCGTTCTCTACAACTCCCAAATTAGGGAATATTATGTCATTTATAAACATTTGTCCATATTACACATCATGGTGAGTTTTATTATGCATGCCACACATTGCTGTGAGATTCTGTGATATAATTACTGCACATTTTGTTGCTATAATGCTATGTGATATAATTATACGGAGAGCTTTATTCCACGAGAGCTGTGATATGCATGTCATCTCCTTAGGAAAGCTTATGGCCTCCTAGGGTAACCTCTACCTCACATACCTCACATACCTGTCTCTTGCTCTCTCCTATAGGGCAGCACTCTACTCTCTCCTCCATCTCTGCTTCACTCCCACCTTATTTGATTGCTATTCCCTGTCCTGTTGTGTTTTACACCCCCCCCTATAGACTGTAAGCTTGTTTCAGCAGGGTCCTCTTCAACCTGTCATTCCTGTAAGTTCTCTTGTAATTGTCCCTGTGGCGAAACCGACCTCGCCACTGGGCATTGGAGAAGACTGATTGCCAGCCTCCTGCCCTGTGACTATGGCCCCTGGGATGTATTACCCTTTAAAGACATTATTTGGACATATTGTATTTTATTATGCTGCTGCTGGCCCTTTAAGAACTATGTGGGGACATATTGTGGAGTTACTGGGTGGCCACCATTTCATGTATCAGAGGCACATGGTGAGAGCAATGGATGGAGCACATGGTGAGAACAATGGATGGCGGCCATTTTAACTCACAGACACTGTTTGGACTTTTCAACACGGTGCCATCTCGCCAGTATTTGGTGCACAAAGACATCGTGCAGTGGTTTTAAACTATACAACAGGGGACACATTATACAGTAATTATTTTTCATATAGCTTGTAAATGTTATGCAGAATCTGCATTAAACCGTATCTTCCAAATTACTGAAAGGATCTGGGTGAATTTTGGATATGTAGTTCACCCAGATCCCCCGGTTCCGAGGATTTCTATGAGGTTATTGCATGTTTTGGGGTCCCTGTGATATGTTTTATAATACTGTATTTCTCTGCCTGTGATAATTAGATCAACCATTGTGTTCAGTAATCATATCACAGGCAGAGGGGAGGATTTTGTGTGGGAGTGTCTGTGTGTAATGTACGTGTGTTATTGGTTGTTCTGTAAAACCCTGTGGACAGTACTAAGTTTGTGGATTGGGAATAAAAGAGTCTGTATGTGCCAGTACAGTCAGTTCTGCTTGACCCTCAAAACGAAGTGTCGTCTCATTATTTGGGGAATTTGATTGTATGATGATTACCAGGAGTGTAAGCTGATTGTTTGTTTTTCCTGTTCAGCTGCTTACAGCATTCATATGCTTGAGAGCATTCGTATGATTCTCCGGTTCGGTGGTTGTGGTGTCTGCTGCAGTGCTTGGAGTCCTTAGGAAGCGCTAGGAGCATCCTTTAACGGAGGTACCCAGTCGGGGTGCCAGGTGATCCGTTACAGTTCCATTTATAGTTAAATCCCCCCTCTCATAATATTGTAAAGCGCTACGGAATCTGTTGGCGCTATATAAATGGCAATAATAATAATAATAATAATAATATCATCCACACCACAACTGCATGGGAGTTTTATTGCTATGGAGCTCTGTGAGACACTCATACACATAGCACAGCACCGAGGTTCATTCAAAGAAAACTCGAATCTAAGCATTCAAATAAAGGTAGAAAAGAAACAGCCAAATGGATCACGGTCCTAAAGACAGACACAAACACACTTAGTAGCTCAAAGGGCAAAGGCACAACAAAACAAACCTATCTTTTCCAAAGGGAGTTTTTAACCTCAAAAAAAATTGGATTTTGTCTCTTTAACAATTCCTGGTATGTTGTTGGACAACAGAATAATAACGTAAATTGCAAGGCAGCCTTTAGTCCTTCATTTAACCAGCTTATTGATAATGGCCGGATGATGGTTTCTAATTAGTATGTTGTGATTAGTCCCTTCCCCTCATTTATTGAAAGCTGGAGATGCTGCTATGAGGTGCATCATTTAATCATGGTAAGATTTCGGGATATTTTTAAAAACCAAAAAATGTCCATCCTCTAGATAATTAGATATAGGTCCCTCAGACATTCTTAATCTGTTCTAATTCTGATATCATCCATTGACTTTGTATTGGGCCATCAGATCAGACAGGCCCTCTTATGGAAAGAGCTCAACAATTCAAAAATGATGTCCCAGTATTTCATGTTTTTGCAAGTATTTGTATAGGGGCTTTATTTCATCAATAATTATTTAAGAAACAAAAATCAAATACTTATTCTCCCTTCCCTGCTGTTACCGTGCATGGAGGAGGGCATGCTGATCTCTATTGGTCCATTGTGCTGGGAATCTGGTCTGCTCCCCCGCCTCTGTGTTATGTGCTGTTTGTTAAGGGTGTATTAACTTTATGTGATATATGTGTGTATTGACTATGTGTAATATTTGTGATGGGTATTTAATTCAGATCATGTAGGCCCATGTGTGAATGCTGGTGTGTATTTTTGCAGTGTCACATTCACAATTACACAGCCACACAGTTGCAGACAGTCACACAGTTACAGGGAGACACTCACACAAACACACACAGAAAGTCACAAGCAGAGAAAGGCAGAAAGTCACTAACACACAGTTACATGCAGCCAGACACACAAACAGATACAGGCAGACAATCAAACACACACACAGTTACAGCAAGACAGTCACATGTGTACACAGTTACAGGCAGAGTCACACACACAGGCAGTGGCTGAACTACCGCGGTCGCTGGGCTTGCACCTGCGACTGGGCCCGTCACTCCGGGAGTGTCAGCTGGCTTTGTAAGCCAGCTTCAACCAGAGCACATCCATGCTGTTAGGGCCCGCCGATGGCAATGAATTTACAGAGGGCCCAGTCGCACTATTAAAGCGCCGCAGCGCTGACCGAGCCCCCCTGGAAATTCATTGCCATCGGGTGGACCCGATGAGCCCCTGAAACTCTCCATGGAGTGACGATGTCGTAACGAGGAGGAAGTGACTGCCCTGGTCACTTCCTCCAAGCAATCATAGAGAGCCGCAAGGGAGAAGGAAGGAGAGGAGGGAGTCAGAGTGGGAACTCTGACTCCCATCAGCCTGAGCCACTGGAACCCAGGGAAAGTTTCCCTACTGCACCTAAAAGGTAAGAGATAATAGGAGATTGACTAAAACATTTTGCATATATATGTATGTGTGTGTTTGTCCATGTGTGTCTTTATATATGTTTCTCTGTATGTGTGTGCATGTCTGTATATATGTCTCTGTATATGTGTGTGTGCCCAATTGTGTGTCTGCATGTCTATCTGTTTGCATGTGTGAGGGGGGCTCTATGGGTGGGGGGGGTTGACATATGTGAGGGCCCCAGGGCAATTTTCGCACAGAGGCTCTGTGGTTTCTAGTTACGCCTCTGCACACAGGTACTGGCAGACAGTCACACACGCACACACACATAGTTACAGGTAGACAGTCACACACAAACACACGCACAGTTACAGGCAGACAGTCAGTTCCATTTTTCCATTATGGACACTGGGGGAGGGAGTGGAAAAACCCGCAGTTCCTAGGGTTTACTTGTTGGGAAGCAAGGACTCTTTCCTGTGTTCTGCAGTAGTAACTGGGCAGTGGCTTAAGGCCACATTTAACTCCACCCCTGCTGCCAGTTTACCTTAGTCCGTGGTATATTTAGCTCCTGCCCCGCTTCCCATACTTGCAGAAGCTTTTCAAACTCTACTTCTGCGTATGCAAACTATGTCAGCCGCTCAGCTCCCCTGCTGTTAGGGCATCCATGCAGCAACACAGCTCACACACCCCTAAGGCCACCCTGGTAGTAGGTGTAGTAGTGTGAGTGGAAAGGTACATCCTGGGACAGCAGAGACAGTAACGTGCACTTTAAAGTGAAATTATACTGCCACTAAAAATCATTTTCCTGTCACAATAGCTTCCCTCTCTGTCAAGGCCCCCTCCAGCGGGTGGTGAAGGGGTTAATACCTGGTTCTAGCGCTGATGTCCCTTGGCGCTGGTTAAGCTTCACCCACGCTCCTCTTCCCCACCAAAGTCTGCCAGCGGGAGAGACCTAATGCGCATGCACGGCAATGGCTTTAAAATTATGACCACAGTAACTTATTCAGATACAGCAGTAGTAGTCTTTTGCTCAGCTGGTCATTTTTTAACTCAGCTGAGGTAGATGTTAGGGGAGTGAACGTCAGGTCTAAGATAGCTGAGATAGATGTTAGGGGAGTGAACTTCAGGTCTGAGACAGCTGAGGTAGATGTTTGGACAATGAATGTCTGTTTTGAGACAGCTGAGGTAGATGTTTGGGCAGTGAATGTCATTTCTGAGACAGCTTGTGAAGGAATACCCCATCACCTTTGGCTATTTCTGTTCGTCTGGATTCATGTCCCAGTTTTGTTTAATTTATTTTGTTTGGTTCCCGAACCGAGACCACCCCAGAGACTCATTAGAACGTTATGTATCTTGTAAGAAAACCGCAAAGGAAATAATTAATAGAATGCTCCACTTGGTGGCCGCCATTTTGTACATGCGAACGCACGTGGTTGGGACCCGAACGCTGGCAGCGGGACTTGGTCGTCGAGTGCCTGGAACTTATTTCAGCCAGGCACTCCTGCGAACACTGGTCACCATGGACCGACGGCTCGTTCCAGTTCACCTAGAGAAGCGGTGTTTGGGAGTTACAGAATACCGAACACAGGGAGCATTCTACACGAACCAGCTTTACTATACCTTATGTGGTTTTTATACAAAACCCCACGAATGGAGACCGGCTCTTGCCACAATTTCCATGGAACTATTCTGGTGCCCTAACTCATGGCAGACCGGTCAGAACTTCTCTGCGATGGGGATCCAAAACTACCAAACGGATCTGGGTGATTTTTGTATATATTGCTCAGCCAGATCCAGGCTATCCAGGCTATTTGTGGGCTTCCCATGTATTTTGGGGGTACTTTTGGGGTGTATTAAAATGGTTAGTTTTTTCTGAGCGTGGAGATAATTGAGTGTCCAAAAGACATATCCTTGATGTTACTGACTCTCATGATGTTTTGACAGCCTTTAGAATGTGAATCATCGTATCTAGGGATCTACCTTCTGTGCTCCCCTGTTCTAGACATTAGGAAAAGGAACTTGTAGTGTTCGTGTGCCAGGATCCTAAACATGTTTCATTTTCTTCTGTTATTATTTCATTCAATACGTGTTTCTCAACTCTAGTGGCCTCCCTAGCCACTAGTCTCATCAGTCACCTTATTATCCTCACCTGCTTGGACTAATGAAGAGGCTTCATAAGGCTACACCCTGCTCACACCAGGGCCTTTACATTGAGAGAGAAGTGTGTTCTGCTCCTGGCTCTTACTGAGATTTGTTATAATCTGATACTGATAAAGACCTGTTTGTGATTCAACTGAATCCTGACAACCTGCTCCACCCTTACTCACCTTCAACCATCCCGATTCATCCCATACAACCCTGCTTTATTTCTAAACCGGACTTTGGTTACATAATGATTTCCTCCCAACCTGCCTGGGTATTACTGACTGTGACAGACCCATCCGTATGAACTAGGATTGCTGTGTTCGTCTGTTTTGCCGTTTGCATGAATTTACCCATTTGTATGCCTTGTTTAAGGGAATGTACTTTTCTGTCGAACGGAACTGCCGAACGGACGGCCACCCAGAAGAGAAGTGTGCTGCTGGTTAACCTATTGATCCCAATTAGAACGTTGCGGTTAACCACAGACACTTCTCAATTAAAACCGAATACAGGGTGATCGTCGTTCGTTTGTCGACCACGAGGCGGCGGCCATTTTAACCATGCGAAAGACCAGCGGTGTTCGACGGTTATTTCATGGAACTGAAAACTGACACTTTTTCAACCGAACACCGCTGAAGCTGTCGACCTCCCTTCTCAATCGACAGAAGTGTGCGAACACCGGCCATTCGGGAGATGTAAAGACACGAATGGACTTACCCCAGATAGCCGTCCCATGGAGTCAATCGCATACCGAAGAACTGTAACAGACTTTGACTCCATGGCGATTGAACTGTGCGTATGGGATCTGATCGCTATTCGCCAATAATATGCACTCAGATCCAGGCTATCTGGGGATGTGTTACACGAATGTTATATGTTCGGCAGTTATAAAGTTATATATTTTTATGTGTTTTGTGACTTGTATTTAAAATGGCGATTTGCCTCTGCTCTGGGAGATAATTGAATTACTTCTCAATTATCTCCCAAGCAGAGGGGAGGAAACTGTGATGTATGCTGGGAATATTGTGGGATTGTATGTCTGAAATGTCCCCATTTCCATCTGCTATTCCAGTCTCCCATTTGGTCCCCTAGGGGAGTGTCCACCAAGTGGGAGACCTGCATAAATACGGGCAGGTAGCCCACAGTAAACTCCGTTCGTGTTTTACCCTCAAAGCGGAGCTTGGTCTCGTTATTGGGGGGGATTTTATTACCGGTGACTAGAGACTGCTCTTTGGAATTATTTGCCGCTTGGAAGATATTGGCGTTCGGCTGATATTGGCAGTTCGTGAACTTGTGGCTCGTGAAGGGAAGGAGCCGTACGGGTACCGTTCGGGAGTTTGGAGTGTTCCCTGGCTGGCGGTTCGCATGGTTGTATTGCATACGCTACCAGATAACATAAGATAACTAAACGGTGGTTTGTACATTTATTACTGAAGGTACCGTAATACTGACTTTATCATTTTGCAAGTATACTCATCCACCCTGAATCTAAAGTTCTGTTTTCCAACCAAAGCGGCTGATCCCCCTCAATTGTTACTTTTACCTTTTTTACTTTATCCTTTATATTCCTGTTTAGTTTTAACTAATTGTTTCCCCATTTATTGTATTCCTGTTTTGCGGCATATTGCCTAAACGTCTATTTTCTTACTCACCTGTAATTCTGTTTTCCCCTTTTTATCTTTATCATCCCTTTTCTGTTTCTTGTTATTCATATTGTTTCCGGAACCATGCAAAATAATTCAAATAAACTACCTGAAGTAAACCCCAGCATAAGTCTCTTGTCTGACCTGATCAGATCCATGACCTCATGTTCTACTAACGAGAGAAATGTCAGGAATTCAAAGACAGCCTAGCTGAAGTGGAAGCATAATCAGCTTGGAGAGCTTCAAGAGTTTGCATGATGTAGTTGTGGTGCCGAAAGGGTTAAAGTTCACTATTTGTCTGCACTAGCCCATAAATAATGAAACAAATCCCTCTTAACACCACCCACACTTAAACATAATAATAATAATATAATTATTATTATTTTAACGCTGCCACCACCAAGATAATTTATAAATGGGGTGCCTTGGTCCCCCAGGTAAATCAATAATAAAACCCACCAAATATTACTTAGCACAATATTTAAGGAATTATAAAAATACTAACTAGTCTCTTCAGGTAACGTGATTCTTAACCAGACAAAGGCAAAACTTAATAAATGAATGTTTATTATGAGTAAAAGATAGTCACAGTGCATATAAAAATATATGATAAACAAATTATTTACACCAACAACAGGTAAAAACAAAAGGGATAAAATACAGAAGTCCTAATTACTCACTTAGGTTTTCAAAGTACAACTTCTGTCCAGGGGGTCTCTGGCAAGGAAAGATGGTGACTCACTCAAAATTAGATCTTGGCCCCAAGCAAGTACACCAACACCCCTCCAAATCATTGGATATATACCCTGTGGATTATCAAGTCTCGCCCAGGGGTGGAGTTAAGGCGTACCTGTAGAAATAATAAGTGACCACCTCCTTTGTTCCAGACCAACCTCAATCCAAATGGAAACATTTGGCTCTACCTTCTCTTATGTAAATGCCACAGAAATAATAATTGCATCTATGAATTTGTTATTATTTTCCCAAACCAATGTAACATTCCTTACTCACGATCCAACATGGCGAACATCCCAATTCCCTCCCCCATGGTCTAGCCATGCCACTCATGTTTGGACTTGTTTAGAAGATGGCGCTTGTCACTTTCCAAATGTAACAAAAATGAGGCTTAATTATTCTTCTGTGTGGTAAATATGAATGTTTTTTCCTTCCTTTGGATATGATACTGGCACAAGGCTAATGTCTATTATCATATCAAAAGAGATTGCCTCATCAATTACAAGGTACATGCCAAATTGACAAAGAGACATTCAGACTTTTTCCAAGTTTAGAACCTCATACCTTGCAGAGCATTGATAAATTCGCATCCATATGGTAAAATCCTTTTCTCATCCTTTCAAACTACCCCCTTCTACCCCTGCTAAATAAAGATATAACAAAAGAGGAAGTAATGGAAATAATAAATAATTTAGCCAGCTTTAAAACTCCAGGACCAGATGGTTTTAGTAATATGTTTTATAAAGTTTTGAAAAGCATAATAGCGGAACCATTAACTAGAACTTTTAATGAAGCCATAAAAAAGAATCGTATCCACAAGAGATGTTAAGAGCAAATATTGTTCCAATATTAAAACCAGGAAAAATACCAACAGATGTGAAAAGTTATAGACGATCTCTTTAATAAATGTTGATGTTAAGATTTTCGCTTCAATCATAGCAAAGAGACTAAAAATAGTTCTGTCTGAAATTATTAACTCAGGCCAGGTCGGTTTTGTTCTGGGGAGAAATGCAGGAAATAATATAAGAAGACTGATAGACTCAATTGATCTGTCTGATAAGAGTGAGAGTCCCCTTCTGATCCTGTCATTAGATGCAGAGAAAGCGTTTGACAGGGTCAGTTGGGGATTCATGTTCAAGGCTCTGAAGGCCTTCAATATATCGGGACGGATATTGGAAGCGAAAGGGGCTTTGTATAAGAAACCTGCAGCAAGGTCCATAGGTCAGAATATATGCTCAGACCGGTTTGAGCTGGGAAACGGAACCAGACAAGGGTGCCCTCTGTCGCCAATTTTATATATCCTTACAGTATAAATATTTGCATCAAAAATAAGACAAAACAGGTTAATGACGGGCCTTCCTACTACTAAGGGAGACCTAAAGATTTCATTGTAAGCAGATGACACCCTTCTATATATAGCAGAACCAGAAGAATCATGGATTCAAGTAATGGCAGAAATTGACCAATATAGCATGGTATCAAATTATAAATTAAATTTGGATAAGTCTATAGCAATGTACAAAAATATAGATTCGGATATAATAAAAAAAACTCCAAGATAAATATAAGTTTTTTCAATCAGCTGAAATTATTTATTTGGGAATTGGAATAAATAAAACCCCAGAAAGGTTAATGGAAACAAATTTTTTACATCTTTTGAAAAACACTAACAAAGATCTAAAGGAGTGGCGCCAATTAGATATATCATGGTGGGGTAGAGTGAATACTCTGAGGTCATACGTTCTCCCAAAGTGGATCTATCTCTTCAGGATGATACCACTAATAATCCCCATACCATGGTTAAAAATGATAAAGTCTTCTTTTGCTAATTTTGTATGGAGGGGTAAAAAGCCTAGAATAAAATCAGAAATATTAAGTTGTAATATAAATAAAGCAGAGTAGGCTTTCCAGATATAGAGAAATATTATGAAGCTGGGATAATCGCCCATACCGCAATGCTACAGAAAGAGGGATGGTATTGGATAGAATCAGATCTTTGCCATACTAAAAACCTAACCGATGTAGTATGGTGTAGTAAAGTCTGTGACTACTCATCATCATTTGTAATGAAACAATTAATACCTACATGGGAAAAAAAATAAAGAAGAAATTAGAAATTAAAAATAAGATGTTAGGTTTTCAAAGCATAGATTGCATTAAATTAGATATACACAATATCTCTTTAAAAAAAAATGGAAAGAAGTAAATATTATACACATCGAAAATCTAATAATGAATAATAAAATGAAAGACTTTCAAACATTAACAAGGTTAATGTCCCTGCCAACTAAGGAGGCTTTTACATATTTAAGAGTCAAAAACTATCTGAAGAATCAAACACCTCTGTTGAATGGAGATATATATAATTCACTGAAACTGATACTCGATAAGAAGGAAACAAAAAAACTATTCTCCAGGTGTTTTAAACTAATAGACACGAGAAAATCAGATAAACAACCGTCGGCAATTAAAAGTTGGGAACAAACCTTAGAGTTACATATAGAGATAGAAGAATGGTTTGAGGCATTGGCCAAGACAAATAAATATGTGCATAACCTTTTATTACTGGAGACACACTACAAGGTGATTAATAAATGGTATTTAGTTCCCTCTACAATGACTAGAATTTCACAAGATAATAGCGAATTATGTTGGACATGTGGTGAATTAAAGGGTGATTACCTCCACATATGGTGGAATTGTAAAATAGTGACTCCTCTATGGCGACTGGTTAAAGCATTATTGTACAAATTAATAGATAGAAACTTAGATAACAGACCAGAACTTATGGTGCTGCACTTAAGATGGCCAAGCCTGACCAGAATGAAACAGGCGATGATGATACATTGCCTAATAGCGGCAAAACTCATAATAGCCAGAAATTGGAAGAAGACACAGTTATTCACCAACATACAGCTTATTGAACAAGTGCAATACCAGATACGAATGGAATGGGGGGTGATTCAAATTAAAACCCAAAATAAGGACCAGGAAACATGGGGCAAATGGCTAAAAATATTAGAGCAAGAAGAACTGGCACAATTATCTAAATGTAACAAAAATTAAAGAGAAATTAGATTGAAAGAAGTGCAGCTATTTCCCATCTTTAATGGAAGGATTACTAGGGGCCCTACTGTACAGAAAGATGCGAATGGAGGTATGAATGGTGTAAATGTTGTCTGTCTTTTTCTTTTTGTTGTGTTTTTGGTTAGCTCTCCTCTTCCGATTTCCTTCTTTCTCTGGTTAAGGATATCCCTTTGTTAGAAGCATTAATAAACATGATGCCCTTTTAGGGGAAATGAAGGTAGTTTTTAATAAATAAAGTAAGTATAGGGAAGGGAGGAGAGATCAAAATATTTATGATGACTAATTTATCAGCCATAAACAATGCAGTATGTGAAATTCTTAAGAGGTTGATATAGTCTGAAATATATATAAAAAAAACATAAAAAAACTATTCCTTCTGTCATCTGACCTCGGTAGGGGGAGGTGGGGGGGGGGGGGCAGATCGAACCTCTTTTGGCCTCCATACAGTGAAATGAACCCCTTTTGACACTGACAATTCCGTCTCTGCCAGGCCAGGAGGTCCTTAATGCACTGCACAAATTACATTAAAGGACAGTATTTCACAGTGCAATAATAAATGACGCACCCTTGCCGTGACATTGCCTACTTTGGTCTCAAATATAAAATTCACTTCAAGTTCCTGTCAGTTCATACTTTGGTAAATAGGAGATGTGTTGCAGGACTAATGGGACAGTCGTAAGCTGTGAGATACAGTATTCATAGGACAAATAACTGAGGGTGTTTTTAAGTGGTGTGGCACTGTGTACAGTCATGGTATATGAATCTGGACGTTACTGATTAACAAAGGATGCTGGCGCAGGATTTAATTGGAGGTTCCTGTCTCTTAATCTGCAAGGAAGTCATTTCCTTCCTCTCTGTTTAACACAAATTCCATACGTTACTGAAATAACTACTTACCCCTAAAGAACAGACACTCAGCTTGTCCCTCTAACATGGTGACTCTTACATCTGTTTATATTATTAATAATTCCAGACTCCATTTGGTTGGATTATTAATTTGCGTTATAGTTATAATGGTGTCGATTCACTCGATCGCGTGTTGTGATGACCCACTTCTATAATTCAGATTAACACCTCCTTTGGCAGAATTATACATACTTGCTGTTTAGTGAATAGACTCTAGAATTGTAACCAGGTATATAATCCTTAGAAAAGAATTTCCTACAAAACAGATTTACAGTATGTTTTTAGATAGTTACAAATGTAATACTGTGATCATTTTTCTTTCAGTTGCTTCTGCGTACTGGAAGGGGAATCCCTCCTCTCTCCAAGAACGAAAATGGTGAAAAATACAACAGCCCCAACAGTTACCACAACATTTAGTTTTACTACAGCTGAACCGGAATCCTGGATAGAAAGTCTACTGAACAAAATCCCACGTGAGTACTTTAACGGATGCGTGAAGTGGTGGTGGTACCACAGACTGACAGAGAATGTAGGTCATTAAAATGACATGGTGACAAAGGCCACACTTGGGACCTAATCACAATTAGAGAACTGTGGGAAAGTAGATCTGGAGAAGCACAGTGCCCTAACATTTACCATTTACTGAGTAATTAAGTAAACATTGAGTGTGCCTTGAGTGTACATTGAGTGTGCCTTGAGTGTACATTGGGTGTGCATTCGGTATACATTGGGTATGCATTCGGTATACATTGGGTGTGCATTCGGTATACGTTGGGTATGCATTCGGTATACGTTGGGTATGCATTCGGTATACGTTGGGTGTGCATTCGGTATACGTTGGGTGTGCATTCGGTATACGTTGGGTATGCATTGAGTATACGTTGGGTATGCATTGAGTATACGTTGGGTGTGCATTGAGTATACGTTGGGTGTGCATTGAGTATACGTTGGGTGTGCATTGAGTATACATTGGGTGTGCATTGTGGATACATTGAGTGTGCATTGAGTGTGCATTAAATATACATTGAATATGCATTGAGTTTACATTGAGTATACGTTGGGTGTGCATTGAGTGTACGTTGGGTATGCATTGAGGATACATTGAGTGTGCATTAAATATACATTGAATATGCATTGAGTTTACATTGAGTATACGTTGAGTGACCAGTTTTGCATGTATTCTCACAAGAAATGTTGTATTCTGTAAAACATCTTTGCTTTAAATCTTTCTGTGTGCTTGAGTCTTCATTCAGTTTAGGGAGCAGATACAGCAGACAGGGTGAGGGGTTTTCCATATAAAAGCTAACTGTCCATATAATGACATGATTCAGTGACCGGTTTAAAATTAATATTTCATTGGTTTGGGCAATAGTCACAGTATAACATTGCAAGTTGGACATCAGTAGCAGATTTTGTTGTTAATGATTGTAGTGAATCCTTTCGTATTAATGTATACCTCCCAAGTGTCCTTGTTTAGGATGTACAGCCCCTATTTTCTGCTCTGTTCTAGGAGCTTCATATTGTTGGTGTGTGATTGTACAGCAGAGCTCCACGGCAAAAATACTCCCAGTAATGTGTCTGAGTGTATAACAGAGCTCCACAGCAATAATACTCCCAGTAATGAGTCTGAGTGTATAACAGAGCTCCACAGCAATAATACTCCCAGTAATGTGTCTAAGTGTATAACAGAGCCCCACAGCAATAATACTCCCAGTAATGTGTCTGAGTGTATAACAGAGCTCCACCGCAATAATACTCCCAGTAATGGGTCTGAATGTATAACAGAGCTCCACAGCAATAATACTCCCAGTAATGTGTCTGAGTGTATAACAGAGCTCCACAGCAATAATACTCCCAGTAATGTGTCTGAGTGTATAACAGAGCTCCACAGCAATAATACTCCCAGTAATGTGTCTGAGTGTATAACAGAGCTCCACAGCAATAATACTCCCAGTAATGTGTCTGAGTGTATAACAGAGCTCCACAGCAATAATACTCCCAGTAATGTGTCTGAGTGTATAACTGAGCTCCACAGCAATAATACTCCCAGTAATGTGTCTGAGTGTATAACAGAGCTCCACAGCAATAATACTCCCAGTAATGTGTGAGTGTATAACAGAGCTCCACAGAATAATACTGCCAGTAATGTGTCTGAGTGTATAACAGAGCTCCACAGCAATAATACTCCCAGTAATGTGTCTGAGTGTATAACAGAGCTCCACAGCAATAATACTCCCAGTAATGTGTCTGAGTGTATAACAGAGCTCCACAGCAATAATACTCCCAGTAATGTGTCTGAGTGTATAACAGAGCTCCACAGAAATAATACTCCCAGTAATGTGTCTGAGTGTATAACAGAGCTCCACAGCAATAATACTCCCAGTAATGTGTCTGAGTGTATAACAGAGCTCCACAGCAATAATACTCCCAGTAATGTGTCTGAGTGTATAACAGAGCTCCACAGCAATAATACTCCCAGTAATGTGTCTGAGTGTATAACAGAGCTCCACAGCAATAATACTCCCAGTAATGAGTCTGAGTGTATAACAGAGCTCCACAGCAATAATACTCCCAGTAATGTGTCTGAGTGTATAACAGAGCTCCACAGCAATAATACTCCCAGTAATGTGTCTGAGTGTATAACAGAGCTCCACAGCAATAATACTCCCAGTAATGTGTCTGAGTGTATAACAGAGCTCCACAGCAATAATACTCCCAGTAATGTGTCTGAGTGTATAACAGAGCTCCACAGCAATAATACTCCCAGTAATGTGTCTGAGTGTATAACAGAGCTCCACAGCAATAATACTCCCAGTAATGTGTCTGAGTGTATAACAGAGCTCCACAGCAATAATACTCCCAGTAATGTGTCTGAGTGTATAACAGAGCTCCACAGCAATAATACTCCCAGTAATGTGTCTGAGTGTATAACAGAGCTCCACAGCAATAATACTCCCAGTAATGTGTCTGAGTGTATAACAGAGCTCCACATCAATGATACTCCCAGTAATGTGTCTGAGTGTATAACAGAGCCCCACAGCAACAATACTCCCAGTAATGTGTCTGAGTGTATAACAGAGCTCCACAGCAATAATACTCCCAGTAATGTGTCTGAGTGTATAACAGAGCTCCACAGCAATAATACTCCCAGTAATGTGTCTGAGTGTATAACAGAGCTCCACAGCAATAATACTCCCAGTAATGTGTTGAGTGTAAAACAGAGCTCCACAGCAATAATACTCCCAGTAATGTGTCTGAGTGTATAACAGAGCTCCACAGCAATAATACTCCCAGTAATGTGTCTTTAAACTGCAATAAATGTGTTTTAAAATCAGTCTGTGTATATAAGATACAATGTTCTTGTTATAAATTACACTTTAGTTCTATAAATTTCTATTAGTAAGTCACCTAACATTTCTTAGTACAGTTTTGCCTCTGGCCACACCCAGACTCCTTCCCTAAAATTAAAGGGTCCTTCTTTGTCCATCTGAAATGCTGGAAGGCATGTTACTGTCTGCTGACCATATCTTCATATTTGGGGTTTATTCACTAAACTCTGAATATTATTAAAAGGAAACTCAATTGCAAAATTTAGGCAACAAAAGCGGATTTGGAAAAAAAATCTCCAACGTCAGCTAGAGTAATAATGTTAAACCATCGCAATTCAGTGTTTTTGTTTTTTTTGTAATAAACCTCATAGTGTTTGTAAATATTAATACTTTATTAGCATGACAGAATTGAACAGATTAAAGCTGCAAAATATGGGTCTTCTAAAATCCGATCAGTGCTGTTAAAGGAGAGCCATGCGCCACCTGGTGGGAACAATGAGTCATAGACAAATACTGCATCAATTTTACAATATTTTGAAGCATTTTGGGCAAAAAAACTAACAAACTATATTCTAAACTGACTGCAAAAGTAAATTGACGAGATAGCAGATAAAGCTAATTATTTTTAGATGGATATAATCCTTGGTTTCACATAGCAGTACAGTGTTCAGCATTAAACTGCAACTTGTAGCCAATAGAAACCCAAGCGAAATTGAGGGCAGAATTGTCCAGCTGTGGTTATAGTCAAGTTGGAGAATTTTTTCAAAGTAGCTTTTATATTGAAGTTTGTGTTTCAGATTTCATTGGATTTATTGAATTTATTGAATAACTCTGCTAATGTTTACAGGAGCTGACAGTCTGTGCTATATTTACTAAAAAAGAAAATAATTGTAATAGATTGAAAATTGAATATAGGAGAAATTCTTCAACTCCACTATTAGTAACAGCTCTCTTACTATTCATTTTGTTATTCACTTTGGAATTCGCTTAAATTTGCTAAAATTTGGACTTTAGTGAAAAACCCTTTATAATCACTATGTTGCTTTTCTTTAAATTAAAGATCACTTGCATTGACTTTGTCTTGTAAACTCCCAGTGAGCTGTCTAATCCCCTTCATCTTAGATGACGATGTTGTACATTTACATAAAACAGTGACTGTACATTTGCTTTTATTTTCTATTCATAGCAACTGTGGCTAATTTTACTAAGTGGTCGGATTGTTAAAGTTTATCAAGGGATTGACTATAATGAATGTTCAAGACGTCACAATCTTGTCACTGTTCTTTCTTACCATATCCTGGAGATATCATTATCCTAAAACGTTACTCTTTCCACTTTCTAACCTGCCCAAACCAGTGCCGGTCAGTTTTGTAATGGTGAATGGAAATGTCATAAAGAATTACAAAATACTGTCAAAAAGAATATGTACGATTCTCTGTACAATCTACTAAATACATGGAGAACTAGCTGAGCCAATAAGAAAATAAATATAACATATTGTGATACAGCCTGTAACTAAATAAAACATAACACAGTGTGATACAGCCTGTAACTAAATAAATCATAACACAGTGTGATACAGCCTGTAACTAAATAAATCATAACACAGTGTGATACAGCCTGTAACTAAATAAATCATAACACAGTGTGATACAGCCTGTAACTAAATAAATCATAACACAGTGTGATACAGCCTGTAACTAAATAAATCATAACACAGTGTGATACAGCCTGTAACTAAATAAATCATAACACAGTGTGATACAGCCTGTAACTAAATAAATCATAACACAGTGTGACACAGCCTGTAACTAAATAAATCATAACACAGTGTGACACAGCCTGTAACTAAATAAATCATAACACAGCGTGATACAGCCTGTAACTAAATAAATCATAACACAGTGTGATACAGCCTGTAACTAAATAAATCATAACACAGAGTGATACAGCCTGTAACTAAATAAATCATAACACAGTGTGATACAGCCTGTAACTAAATAAATCATAACACAGTGTGATACAGCCTGTAACTAAATAAATCATAACACAGCGTGATACAGCCTGTAACTAAATAAATCATAACACAGTGTGACACAGCCTGTAACTAAATAAATCATAACACAGTGTGATACAGCCTGTAACTAAATAAATCATAACACAGCGTGATACAGCCTGTAACTAAATAAATCATAACACAGTGTGATACAGCCTGTAACTAAATAAATCATAACACAGTGTGATACAGCCTGTAACTAAATAAATCATAACACAGTGTGATACAGCCTGTAACTAAATAAATCATAACACAGTGTGATACAGCCTGTAACTAAATAAATCATAACACAGTGTGACACAGCCTGTAACTAAATAAATCATAACACAGTGTGACACAGCCTGTAACTAAATAAATCATAACACAGTGTGATACAGCCTGTAACTAAATAAATCATAACACAGTGTGATACAGCCTGTAACTAAATAAATCATAACACAGCGTGATACAGCCTGTAACTAAATAAATCATAACACAGTGTGATACAGCCTGTAACTAAATAAATCATAACACAGCGTGATACAGCCTGTAACTAAATAAATCATAACACAGTGTGATACAGCCTGTAACTAAATAAATCATAACACAGTGTGATACAGCCTGTAACTAAATAAATCATAACACAGTGTGATACAGCCTGTAACTAAATAAATCATAACACAGCGTGATACAGCCTGTAACTAAATAAATCATAACACAGTGTGATACAGCCTGTAACTAAATAAATCATAACACAGTGTGATACAGCCTGTAACTAAATAAATCATAACACAGCGTGACACAGCCTGTAACTAAATAAATCATAACACAGCGTGACACAGCCTGTAACTAAATAAATCATAACACAGCGTGATACAGCCTGTAACTAAATAAATCATAACACAGTGTGATACAACCTGTAACTAAATAAATCATAACACAGTGTGACACAGCCTGTAACTAAATAAATCATAACACAGCGTGATACAGCCTGTAACTAAATAAATCATAACACAGTGTGATACAGCCTGTAACTAAATAAATCATAACACAGTGTGACACAGCCTGTAACTAAATAAATCATAACACAGTGTGACACAGCCTGTAACTAAATAAATCATAACACAGTGTGATACAGCCTGTAACTAAATAAAACATAACACAGTGTGACACAGCCTGTAACTAAATACATCATAACACAGTGTGATACAGCCTGTAACTAAATAAATCATAACACAGTGTGATACAGCCTGTAACTAAATAAATCATAACACAGCGTGATACAGCCTGTAACTAAATAAATCATAACACAGTGTGACACAGCCTGTAACTAAATAAAACATAACACAGTGTGATACAGTTGATATACAAAGTGCAGTGCTTGATTTATTAGACCTCACAAGATTAAGTTATATATATGCATTCATGGTGCCTCCCCCGATATCTGGGGGCCTACAAATGCTTCTCGGCAATTATGATGGTGATATAGTTAATAGATGGGAGCTCCAGCAGGATAACAGGTAGAAAAGTGGTTTTATTTAAATAATTTAAAAAAAAGCAATGGTCCCATGAGTTTCTTCCCAATTTGGGACTTCCACAGGGACTAATATTTAAAACACTATTTAAAATCTAATGTAATGATTGTTCATTTTACGTTTGTTTTCAGATATTGAGCATGGTAAAGTGATGTGCAAAGTTTTATTGGTGTGGAGCTCTGTGATGCACTTTAGTTTTCTCATACTTTACGTGATGGGTATTTTTTTACATACGTCTTACAAGTCTCTATAGGAACACGTGATGTAAAACTCGCATTGACTAAAAAAAAGCAGTAAAAACACAATACTAAGGGGGTTGGGGTGACACCATTGTAGCGGAACGCCAATATTAAATCCACAAATTCCACTGGTTCAGGAAGTAATCCACAGTCAAGCGCTGGAAAAAGCAAGGCAATATCCCAAATCTCCCAGTAACCGGACGACAGTCACAGTTCTGAGAGTCAACTGAGGTCTTTATTTTCAGCTCCACAATTTATACAAGTCCCCATGCAAGGGGTTTCCTGAGTCCCATCCCAGGGGCATTCCCAGAGGGGACTACATGGGGAACTTACTGTACAGGGCATTTCTCCCATCAGGCACTGCTGCACGAGAGGGATCCTCCCACAGGAATGTACCGTTAAGTGGATTATCCCTCCGTGCAGCAGAAACGACAATTTACATTAAAATCCATAACTTTTCGAATATGCAGTTCATTTAAATGAATGGATGTTCGGTAAATAGCTGGGGTCTGAGCGCATCATTCGTGAGATTACCGCTCAGATCCCAGCTAAACCAACCGAACGCCGCACGAAAAACATTCATTAAAATACATGTTCAAAATACCGATTGCCTCCCAGGGAACAAAATACCGAACGGCCCAGAACTCCCGAACGGCCTGGAAGCTCAGCGGTGTTCACGCCGTCGAGTAGCCGTTTTTAGTACCATACGCTCAACGACCAAACACCGCTGAGGGAACAAAGGATCCAGGATGGCCAACCGCCGCATGGTCGGTAGTCGAACGGCGGCCACCTGGGAGAGCCTCTAATTACCGATTGCAACATTGTTGCAATCGGTTAACAAGTGCCACACGCCTCTAAGTGTGTGGGCTACTACATGGGGTATTTTCGTTTCACGAACGGCCCGCAAAAGTGCCGTTCGTGAAACGAAAGAAAATACAGTACATACAGCTATCTGCATTCGGCAGATAGCCAATACGGCAAATACACGTTAATTACAACCAGCATCCATTCTACATAGTTAAGCACATATCCCACAACCATGCAGGCAACCCTTGAAGGCACAGTCTCTTTATATTGTCCAAGTGGCTATGTTTGCCACAACCATTAGTTAGCACATTGGGTGACACCAACCCTAGTGATGTCACTGTGTATCAATTTCTAAAAGTCTACAAAAATAGAGAGGGGTTTGGAAGGTGAATCAAGGGAAGGTCGCAGGGCAGTGAAGGGGTTACTTAGCCTGACACCTCCAAGCACCGATAACGAATTTATTTCACTAAAACTTCGGGTGGCTGCGGGTGGCTGAGGTCCCGGGCAAACTACGGCAGGTATATCGGTAATAGCACATAGAATTATGCTGATCTTCGGTTAGTTTGCAGGAGATCTCTGCTAGATACTCACCTAATCTATGCTGCTCTTCATTTGTTCATTGTTTGCGAGTATTTCCCACATTCTGGTGGGTTTTTTTGATTTATCTTTTTTATTTTACTCACGTTCCCAACCACACACTTGGGTTTATTTTGGTAAATGTGTGTATTTGTCTTCCACTCACTTTTTAAATATTAAATTATTAAAAAAGTTACGTTTTAGGACTCTTTCTTGTTACAGGACAACGCTCTGTTTTTTTAATTTATAAATGTGGAGCAATCACCAGGAACATTTTATTGTACACTGTCCTATAGTGAGTCGTTATTCTCATATATTTACCCCTGTTATATCAGCCCATATCTTTATATCACACAGTGTGATCATTTGCTGCCCCATAGTGAGCTGTTATATCAGCCCATATCTTTATATCACACAGTGTGATCATTTGCTACCCCATAGTGAGCTGTTATATCAGCCCATATCTTTATATCACACAGTGTGATCATTTGCAGCCCCATAGTGAGCTGTTATATCAGCCCATATCTTTATATCACACAGTGTGATCATTTGCTGCCCCATAGTGAGCTGTTATATCAGACCATATCTTTATATCACACAGTGTGATCATTTGCTGCCCCATAGTGAGCTGTTATATCAGCCCATATCTTTATATCACACAGTGTGATCATTTGCTGCCCCATAGTGAGCTGTTATATCAGACCATATCTTTATATCACACCGTGTGATCATTTGCAGCCCCATAGTGAGCTGTTATATCAGACCATATCTTTCTATCACTCTGTGTGATCATTTGCTGCCCCATAGTGAGCTGTTATATCAGCCCATATCTTTCTATCACACAGTGTGATCATTTGCAGCCCCATAGTGAGCTGTTATATCAGCCCATATCTTTATATCACACAGTGTGATCATTTGCTGCCCCATAGTGAGCTGCTATATCAGACCATATCTTTATATCACACAGTGTGATCATTTGCTGCCCCATAGTGAGCTGTTATATCATCCCATATCTTTATATCACACAGTGTGATCATTTGCAGCCCCATAGTGAGCTGTTATATCAGCCCATATCTTTATATCACACAGTGTGATCATTTGCAGACCCATAGTGAGCTGTTATATCAGCCCATATCTTTCTATCACACAGTGTGATCATTTGCTGCCCCATAGTGAGCTGTTATATCAGCCCATATCTTTATATCACACAGTGTGATCATTTGCTGCCCCATAGTGAGCTGTTATATCAGACCATATCTTTATATCACACAGTGTGATCATTTGCAGCCCCATAGTGAGCTGTTATATCAGCCCATATCTTTATATCACACAGTGTGATCATTTGCTGCCCCATAGTGAGCTGTTATATCAGCCCATATCTTTCTATCACTCTGTGTGATCATTTGCTGCCCCATAGTGAGCTGTTATATCAGCCCATATCTTTATATCACACAGTGTGATCATTTGCAGCCCCATAGTGAGCTGTTATATCAGCCCATATCTTTCTATCACACAGTGTGATCATTTGCTGCCCCATAGTGAGCTGTTATATCAGCCCATATCTTTATATCACACAGTGTGATCATTTGCTGCCCCATAGTGAGCTGTTATATCATCCCATATCTTTATATCACTCTGTGTGATCATTTGCTGCCCCATAGTGAGCTGTTATATCAGCCCATATCTTTATATCACACAGTGTGATCATTTGCTGCCCCATAGTGAGCTGTTATATCAGACCATATCTTTATATCACACAGTGTGATCATTTGCTGCCCCATAGTGAGCTGTTATATCAGCCCATATCTTTATATCACACAGTGTGATCATTTGCAGCCCCATAGTGAGCTGTTATATCAGCCCATATCTTTATATCACACAGTGTGATCATTTGCTGCCCCATAGTGAGCTGTTATATCAGACCATATCTTTATATCACACAGTGTGATCATTTGCAGCCCCATAGTGAGCTGTTATATCAGACCATATCTTTCTATCACACAGTGTGATCATTTGCTGTTGTGCCCATGATTATCTTTGCTCACTGTCTCCTTTGTGTTTCCCCCCGACCATTGTTTCTATGCCAGTGCCGCGATGGGCCATATACGCCTTAGCCGGTGTGGCTCTTTTCTTGCTCCTCCTGATTTTCATCTGCTGTCTTTGTTGCTGCTGTAAACGGAAGAACAAACAAAAAAAGAAAGAGAAGATTAATCTCGGCAGCGTGAAGGGCAGCGTCACAACCAGTCTGGTGAGTATCCCAATAATCCCAATAAATGTCAGTTATGCCAGTCACTGCCATGGTGGATCCAGCCTGGGCTGCATGTGCGGTCAGCCAGATTCCATGACTAGTATTAATACATAGTATTACCGGGCATCTCAAATGTATCTGTCCCCATAGAATTATTCTAGAATAACTATATTGCCTTAATATGGGATTTCATTGGATCTAAATCAAGCACTGTAGATTTTCACTCTGTATATTTATTGGGATAAGCACATTTTCCTGTGCATCCAGTGCTAACATATGACATCATCAGTGCTCTGGTGACATTATTAAACCTTTATATCAGGAACCAGCACTTACCCTGACTGTCTGCGTCAATCCATTGATGGGAGCAAATGGGTCTGTGGTAATTAAATATTAATTACACTTTTATTAGCGAGATCTCTAGATTTCAAAACACGCATTGTTGTAGAAAAAAGAGGTGAAGACCTTTACACCTCGCTGATTGACCACTTGATGTTTTTTAGGTTCAGCCAGATATAGAAGGATTGGGTGGATCAGCAGAAAATGCCTATCGGGGCCGCCTGCAGTACTCTCTGGAATATAACTTTCAGAGGGAGGAGGTAAGAACAAACTAAATTGAAGTGATTTCACTATACATAGTACAAGAACTGTGGCGAAACCAACCTCGCCACTATGCACTGGAGAAGCCTGGTTGCCAGCCTCCTGCCATCATTTCAATTTCAAGGTATTCAGCAAACCTTTACTTGTGTACGAGTCCATTTGCAATTAGATTTATTTTCTTGCAATATGTCTAGAATGATTTGTAACTATTAATTTATTTTCTGATTTGTTTGATTATTTACTTTTATGTTCAGCTATATTTAATATTTTACATTTTTTATGGTCCAGAGGTTAAATAATGAGTTGTGAGTCGTTTAAGCAGATTGTTAACTTTGAGTCAGTTTCTTTTATTCCAAGATACATGTAGCCATACACAAATACATATATATAGTAATAATCAAAATTATTCAACCCCTTTTAAAAATCAGTTTTATTGTCAAAATGTCCAGACTTTCAGCAATTAACAAATCAAACAACAATTGAAATAGCTCAACACGAATGCTCCAAGTGGTTTCCTCAAATTCAACGGAAAATGCAACGTATAAAGACTTCTCAGTTTTCAATGTTGAATCAATTTTTTTTGTCCAATTATTTTTTATTATAATTTTACAGAAAACCAATAATATGCATTCAACAGCATTTTGATTACAACTGTACTAGTTTAATAACAGCAATTTGAAGATGGAGTAGATAAACAATTGATAGAATTTTTGGAGATGCCCACATTTCGACCATATGTCAGTTTGGCAGAAGTTCGGTACTGAAAAACTGAAATAGAACAGACAAACCAAAAGGGAGTAAAAATTGGCCAGTCAGTGAACTGCTAAATATATGCAAAATGTATACATAATATCATGTATATATCTTGCAGTACACTGATTGGAGAATTTATCTGAATTTGGTTCACAGATCGAGTGAGAAAAATTAACCAAGAGCTGTAAAAATATATATATACACGAGAAACAAAGGAGATAGTCGTGAAAGCAGAGAGTTACCCAATATGGTTAAAACCTAATTGTTTATTGTCTATTAAACGTTAACTACTCTGCTTTAATATGCAAAATGAGGTTTTAATGGGTAACCATCTGGTTTCAGGATTAGGTCCTATGTTTCTCAAGCATTCATTCAGGGCTTACCAACTTTTCTTTGTCCTGAAATTATTTTGGGATTAGCTCTATTACACTTTTTTGTTTAGTAAAAAAAACTATATTTGCAAATATTCGGTTCCCAAATTGGCTGATGTCAGCAAACGAGGACCTATTTAATAAATTTAAAAAATGCTATTACAGGTCTAGAAAGACTTGAGAGATATAACTTTGGCCAGGAAAACATTCATGGAGCAGTTTGGAAGGGACTGTAATTTGCTATGATATGCTACATAGTTCTACAATGACTTTTGGTATGGAGAGATGGTGTTGTTAGCACAATCTTTGGAAGACATAACTAAATTAGTTTGGCATTAGGAAATCTGATTCATTTATGAAAGAGAAGATGGTTGTACATTTCCATGATAACAGTCCATGTAAGTTGACATTGGAAAATCTATTCCTGCCTATTATCCTGTGAAGTCACTGTTGGATCCATGTTTGCACAGGTCACGGTGGTGTTGAAGCAAGCAGCAGCACTGAAAGCAATGGACAGTGGGGGGACATCAGATCCATATGTCACAGTATACCTGACTAACGACTCTCGCAAGAAGAATGAGACTAAAGTACATCGTAAGACACTCAACCCGGTCTTCAATGAGGCTTTTACATTTAAGGTACGTTGGGATACATAGACTACGCACAACTATGAGTTGTCACAAAAAAATTCTACATGAAATGAGATGAGAATTATATACTAAGTAATGCTAAGAAAATCTTGGAATTGTATAAATTGTGCTTGTTACCATTAAATACTGTACAGCTTCTGCATAACAAGGGCACAAGGCACTGGAGGAAAGTCCCCTCAAACATACTGCTGTACCCCTGACAATTGTATGCAAAAAAAATAATATGAAAACATACACACAGTCTTTAACACATATACACAATGCACTTAAACATATAGTTTAATCTCTTACTCCACACATATCAAACTTGCGGCTCACTAAGAGTTTCTTTGTGGCCCAGCCAATCAGTGGGCGCAACAATCACTTCTCAGACTGACAAGTGATTTGTGCGCCCGCCTAAGCCTGCGCTCCCGGCACATTCCAGGCAGCATGCCGCGCCATAAGGGAACCGCACACACTGTACACTGAGAGGGGGAGCGCCTCCCCCTACCGCTCTGTGTAGGAGCAGCGTTTGTCACGTGACTACCCAGCACTCAGTCTGACATCACGCACCACGCTAGACAACGCACGCCGCCAGAGACTGAGATGCCCTCCTCTCCTGCTATGTCAGGTGAGAAACAGCAGGGAAGGGGGCCATCTATCTACAGGGCGGAGCCAGCACTACCCTCACCTTGTACGAATAGGGAAAGAGATACTTTAAATGAATGGGTGGGGGAAGACATGGATGGAAGGGGGGGAATGGAGATTTGGAAGGGAGGGAGAGGTGTGGGGGGAGAGATATGGAAGGAGGAGAGATGGGGAGAGATATGGAAGGAGGAGAGATGGGGGGACATGGAAGGAGGAGAGATGGGGGGAGATATGGAAGGGAGGAGATGCCGTGGGGGGAGATATGGAAGGGAGGGGGGAGAGATATGGAAGGGAGGAAGAGATGTGGAAAGGGGGAATGTGAGGGAGAGATATGGAAGGGAGGGAGACATGAATGGAAGGTAGGAGAGAAACATGGAGGGAAACAGACATAGATGGAAGGGGGGAAGAAGAGACATGGTGGAAAGGGGGGGTTGAAGCGAGTGGAGTGGAGTGTGCAGCTATACCTTACTCTGCCTGGAGTAGTAGAGGGACTAGGCAGCGAGTGGACAGTGCGGCTACCTACCTGGCTGAGAATGCAGTTTGCAGAAGGACTGAGGGAGTTGAGCAGACACTTCAGGCAGTGGCATTACTACCGAGATAGTAAGTAATTTGCAGTGAAGGTTTTGAGTGAATTTTATAAATTTACCCAAGATTACATATTGTTTGCATGGGTATTATACAAGTCATTATAGTTTGTGTTGGTCTAGGTCAAACTCTTTTTTTTTTTTTTTTTTTGCGGTCCACATAAACTAAAGCCTTGTTGCGTTTGATATGCTTGTCGTACACACATACACAATATCTCTCACTTAAACATACAATTTCATCTCTTACATACATACACTATATCTCTCACACATAGTTTAATCTTTAACACACACACATACACTATATCTCTCACTTACACATCCAGTTTAATCTTTAACACACATACACTATATACTTACACATCCAGTTTACAAATACACAATGCACTTACACATACAGTTTATTCTCTTACACACATACACAATATCTCTCACTTACACATACAGTTTAAAATCTCACACATGCACAATATCTCTCACTTACACATACAGTTTAAAATCTCACACATGCACAATATATCTCACTTACACATGCCCATGGATCCTCTCTCACACATACACGAAAAAACTATACTGATACACTGTGCTGTCCAGATTGCAACGTTAGTGTGACAAACTCCCCTTTCCAAGTGAGTTCGAGTTCCTGGAGGAGCCTGCTTGCCAGCCTCCTGCCCACAGACTATGGACCCTGTAAAATGTGATGTAAAAGTCTCCGTTCATGTATTTGGACTATATGGTTTGGGAACCGAACAGCCGCACAGACCGGAGACCACCCTGGAGCTTGTTAAGCCCAATTGCTACTTTGTAACAATTTCCACCTCAGTGTTCTAAGTGTTCATCTGGGTGGCTGCAATTCCTATGGCCGACCACAAGGTGGCGGGCATCTTGTTCGCATGAACGCAGGCAACGGTGTTTGGTCGTCGAGGTCATGGAACTATTTTTGGATACTGAAACTCCCGAACACCGCTTGACTTCCAGGATTGCCTGCGTTCCGTTCGACAACACTTAGAAAGACACTGTTCGGTGGAAACATTCCCACGAACAAGGGGAACAAGTTCCAGGGTAAGACTATTGACTATGTTCGGTAGCTTGTTCATTTTTAAACTACCAAACTAAAATGACTTCCAGGAAATTCCTGAACCCAAAAGTACCCTAAAAATACATAAAAACCCCATAAAAGGTAACTCAGATCTGAGTGATTTTTGGATATGTTGGTCACCCAGATCAGGGCTACCAGTGGATGTAACTTTTATGGGGACTTTATGTATTTTTATGGTACTTTTGGGGTGTTTGGGAAAAAGTGTGTTTTTTCTGTGCTTGGAGATAATTGGATTAGATTAGTACAGTTCCTGATCCAATTATCTCCCAGGCACAGAGGAGGGTTTATCTGATTATGTATGGGAGTGTCCTGGATCTGTGTGTGGTTGGTTTTTGGGTAGATAGTGTTGAATGGTGTGGAAATAGATAATGAGGTATGCTGTAAAAACAAAGGGAAATAACAAAAACCTAGTGCAATATCATAAGGTACAGTTAAATGCTAAATGTGTAATCTTTAGTCTTGTACTCACAAGGAAAGAGACAATAGTGTTAGGCTCAATATGAATGCCTGTCTGAATATCTGAAGGGACCCCACTCCCTGTTTGTACACCTGCCGCTGGTTCGTCCTCTGGTTCTCTTAACATATCCTCTTAGGCTGTGATAGAGTGGTAAAAATCCTTTTAATGGTAAATAAAACACTTGGATAAAACAGAAATAAAAATAATAATTATAAAGTCTACGTGTCGGTAGCAATACGCGTTTCGCCTCTCAAACAGGCTTTCTCAGTTGCTTATAGTCTTCCCGGATGAATGGTTTCTTATATGCCGTCTATGATTGCAGATTGAGAGCACCCGGTTTCTTCTCCTTCTATTGCGTTTTGCCGGACAAGGTTCAGGAGTTCCACGCGGAAGAAAACACCAAACGCACACTCTTGTTGGTAGCGTTTGTTCGTATGAACCATACGAACAAACCTACCAAATGGCACTCTTCTGACATGTGTGGGGAAGAAGCAGGTGTTCGTCAAAGTTCAGCAGTGTTCGGGAGTTTCAGTGTCCGATTTCAGTTCCACGCGATCGATGCCCAAACACCGCTTCCTGCATTCTCACGAAAAAGATGGCCACCAACACAGTTCCGACGCGTTTGTGCATATGAACGGCAGCCATCCAGCAGCACAATGAGAACACATGACAATTGAAGTGTCAGGAAAGGTTACCAGGGATTAACAAGCACCGAGGTGGTCCGCAGTTCGTGAGTTGGTTCAATTCCCGAACAGTACATATACATCCCACGAACTAAGTATTTCTACCAGCTTTTTCTATGGCCCCCTTTTCTGGGCAGGAGGCTAGCCTTCACACTCCTCCAAGAGCCCATGGCAAACGTGTAGGCAAGGGGGCGTTAGTCACAGGTCCTAAGGACTCCACAAACCAAATATGTCAAGAAGTAGTCCATTCATATTTAATGGACACTAGAGGCACCAAGATCACTTAATCTCATTGAAGTGGTCTGAATGCAGTATTCCTGTTCCCTGAACCCTTTCAGTTTTAAATAAACAACAATGTTTACATTGCAGGGTTAAGGCTCACCAGACAGCCATTAGAGGTGCTTCCTTCAATTTCACAGAGTTTTCTTTACATGAGCTCAGCTAGCATCAAACAAAACCCCATAGGAAACCACTGAGTCAATGATTTCCTAAGGGGAAGGCCTAATACTTGTGTGGTGCTGACTGCTCATGTGTATTAGGTTCCCGAATCGGTTGATGTCAGCGTAGGAGGGGTCGGAGGGGTTGACCCAGCACTGAGCTACCTCGACCCTGGAATCAGGTAAGTGAATTAAAGGTTTTTTTTATTCCTAACACTAAAGTGTTCCTTTAATCAGTATGCTGCTCCCAACCTCTGTGGGTAGTTACATTAACCCATTAACAGACAGCATGTTTCGCTAACTCGTGTAAGAGAAATACATCAATCATGAAAGCAAGGGTGGTAAACGCAGAGGCAAGGTTATTCGCTACTGTAAATGGAACATTTTAGGCTGTTTAGTTAAAACCGCTCACGTAAGGAACATTTAACGGAGGCATAAGATATTTTGTATTCAGTTTTCTGATCTTGTAATTATTTCTAACTGCTACAATCAGATTTACTTCATGTTTGGTATTTTTCCAATCCTAGGTGCTGAAATCAGACGTACCTGACACAGCGGTTGTGCTGCAGGTTTTCGACTTCAACCGGTTCTCAAAACATGATGTTATAGGAGAGGTGCGTTTGCCTTTGTGGGAGATGGACCTTCATCATATCATTGAGGACTGGAAGGAATTGAGCCAAGCTGGAAAGACAGAGGTAAGAATGTATCAAGACCTATTGATCAAAACCCCTCACAAAAAAGCATTCAGTTTCTCACACACTTGCTGAGCATCAGGCCTCAAACAACCACAAGGTGAACATACGTTTAATAATGTGCATTCGGTGAATACCTGGCTGAGAACAATAGTTGTAGGCAATAATTGCAAAAGAAAAATCATACTGCTAAATCCCCAATCACCAAGTCTAAGCATGAGCCCTACACCCTATAACCACCAGGTCAAACCTTATCACCCAGCACTCCTTGCTGAACTCAACCTTCTTTTAACTTAACACTAATCACTAACACTATAACCCTTGTCTAACCCTAACTTCTGACTATAACTCAAATAACCCCATCTTATCCCTAACCTCTAATCCTAACTCTAATAACCAGAAGTCTCATTTTATCCATGGAATGATATCAAACCAAGCTTGTACTACACACCTTGAAATGTAATCTATTACACGTACTCTTAACACCAGTTTTGGACTTGTAATGTTAATATTGAGAATGTGCCATCATGCCCATTAGCGTGTGGATGACAAAGGTTTTTAAAACATATGTCCAAACAAAACTGAAATTACAAGTAGTATTTAAAGGTTAGGGGTGTCTGGGGCTGGACCCCTAATTGGGGTCCAGAAAACCCCCAGATTTCTTTAATGGCAATTATAAAGCACAGTTTGGTAATGGTATTGCTGTAGGTGCTGTGTTTTGATAAAGTAGGTGAAGGGTTAATACAAATGTGACAATTCCACCTGACACCAGTGAAATAAAAAAATTAAAAAAAAAATATATATATATATATCTCTTTACTTACATGGTTACATAGTTACATAGCTGAAAAGAGAAGTGCGTCCATCAAGTTCAGCCTTCTTCACATATGTTTTTTGCTGTTGATCCAAAAGAAGGCAAAAAACCCAGTCTGAAGCGCTTCCAATTTTGCAACAAACTAGGAAAAAATTCCTTCTTGACCCCAAAATAGCAGTCAGATATCTCCTTGGATCAAGCAGTTATTACCCCACTAATTAAAAATTATATCCCTGAATGTTATGTTTTTGCAAGTATTTATCCAATTGAAGTTTAAACAGCTGTATGGACTCTGATAAAACCACCTCTTCAGGCAGAGAATTCCATATCCTTATTGCTCTTACTGTAAAAAAAAAAAAAAACCCTTTTCTTTGCCTTAGATGAAATCTCCTTTCTTCCAACCTAAATGTGTGACCTCGTGTCCTATGTATAGCCCTGTTTATGAATAGATTTCCAGATAATGGTTTGTACTGGCCCCGAATATATTTGTATAATGTTATCATATCCCCTCTGAAGCGCCGTTTTTCCAAAGAGATTTAATATTTTTAACCTTTCTTTGTAACTAAAATGCTCCATTCCTTTTATCAATTTTGTAGCTTGTCTCTGCACTTTTTCTAGTGCCATGATATCCTTCTTTAAAACAGGTGCCCAAAATTGCACAGCATATTAAAGGTGTGGTCTTACCGTCTTACCGTTTTAAAGAGGCAAAATTATATTTTCATCCCGAGAATTTATGCCCCTATTTATACATGACAAAACCTTACTGGCCTTAGCAACTGCAGATTGACATTGCATATTGCTGCCTAATTTGTTGTCTATAACAATTCCCAAATCCTTCTCGTGTGTGGTTATCCCTAATTCACTACCATTTAGGGTGTAAGTTGCTTGTGCATTCTTGACCCCGAAGTGCATAACTTTGCATTTCTCTATGTTAAATTTCATCTGCCATTTTAGTGCCCAGTCCCCCGATCTATCCAAATCTCTCTGCAGCAAAGCAATATCCTGCTCACATTTTATTACTTTACAAAGTTTTGTGTCATCTGCAAACACTGAAACATGGCTTTCAATGCCTATTTCAAGATCATTTATAAATATGTTAAATAGAAGCGGTCCTAATACAGAACCCTGAGGGACACCACTTACCACTTTTGTCCAGCCTGAAAATTTACCATTAATGACAACTCGTTGTACTCTATCCTTAAACCAATGTTCTACCCAAGAACAAGAATAATCATCTAGACCAATTTCTTTTAATTTGACGACTAAACTATTGTGAGGAACCGTATCAAATGCCTTGGCAAAGTCCAAGTAGATCACATCCACTGCAACAACTTGATCTAGACTTCTACTTACTTCTTTGTAGAATGCAATTAGGTTAGTTTGACATGACCTATGTTTCATAAAACCATGCTGATTATTGCTAATAACGTTTTTCACAATGAACATTATCCTTTAAAAGCCCTTTAAATATTTTTCCAGTCACAGAAGTTAAGCTCATAGGTCTACAATTTCCAGGCAAGGATTTTGAACCCTTTTTAACATCTGCCTTCCTCCAATCCTCCGGTACGATACCTGAAACAAAAGAATCTTGAACAATTAAATACAGAGGTTCACTTATTTCCCCACTAGGCTCCTTAAGTACTCATGGGTGAATACAGTCAGGCCCCAGAGCTTTATTTACATTAATTTTCTTTAACTGCTGTAGCACTTTGTCTCGAGTCATTCAATCACAAGTTATCTGCAAATTTTTTGCAGCAATCATTTGCATATCGCTTGCTATAGGATCCTCATTAATATATACTGCCTTTTCCTGATCTTCATTAGCTATCAAACCCATCTCTGTTTCCAGTGTACCTACACTTTCATTTTTTTGTTTTTTTTAGCATTGATGTACTTGAAAAAAATTTGGGGGTTGGTTTTGCATTCTTTGGCTATCAATTTGTCATTTTCTAGTTTAGCCACTTTAATTGCCTTTTTGCAAACATTATTGGCTTCCTTATATCTTTTATAGGATGCCTCTGATTTGTCCAATTTAAATGCTTTAAATGCCCTTTTCTTATTTGTAATATCTTGTTTTACTTCTCTACTAAGCCACATTGGTTTTAATTTGTTTATTTTATATTTATTACCCAATGGTACATACTGAGAAATGTACCTTTCTAATATTTGTTTGAATAGTTTCCATTTATCCTCAGTGTTTTTTTTTTTATAACTTATAGGTATACAGCCTTCCAGGGTTACCTCCCAGATGGTAACCAACTACAGGAGAAATGTATATACACACAACATTTTTGGGATCTTGCTGATAAACCTATAAACACAAATATAACATAGTGTAATATTGTTAAATAAGTGACAAATGCAAATTATCGGTTGTCATCACAAAATAAAGATGGTAAAAGCACCTTATGGGTGCCACCCACGATGTCAAAAGGGGGCTACAGTTCCTCCTTCAGATTTCTCTCCGGACTGTTCTTTAGAATCACCAAAGCGATTTTCCAGAGTATGAAAAAGACCCCATTCTACATTTTAGATTTGGAGTATGTCCCAGTAAAGACCTCATTCTGCTGTAGAACTGTATATATTACATTTGGAGTATGTTCCACTAAAGACCCCACTCTGTTGTAGAATTGTATATATTAGATTTGGAGTATGTTCCACTAAAGACCCCACTCTGTTGTAGAATTGTATATATTAGATATGGAATATGTTCCAATAAATACCAAATTCTGCTGTAGAACAGTATGTATTAGATTTGGAGTATGTTCCACTAAAGACCCCACTCTGTTGTAGAACTGTAACAGGATCCAGGAATCATGTAATTATGAGCATAGAGTATACACACACACATGTTATATGTAAACGTGAGCCAGATGTTTCATATTTTCCTTCTACTCTACCCCTCTCCCCTTCCATTTACAGCAAGAGCGACTGGGGGAAATCTGTGTATCTTTGAGATATGTCCCCAGTAATGGAAAACTCACTGTTGTTATCTTGGAAGCCAAGAAACTCAAGAAGATGGATTCAGATGGATTTTCGGGTTAGTTGGGATGGTGGGATGTATGTGAAAAGGCTTCCCATTTACTTATTTTTCTGGATATCTTTTTGGTTTTTTTCTCAGGGTGTGACTTTAACTCATTATGCTGTATTTGCTAGTTTGGTAAATATTCCGTACATGTCAATATGTGCATCAATATTACTTGACTCATTTTATCCGCATGTTGTGATTACTTTGTAGCGTATACGTCTTTCAAGTTATTTTGTGTAAATGTAGGGACCAAGGACAACTTTATCTCATGGATCTTCTTTCTGAAGTCGCAGTCATATAGATAAAAGAGAAATGTTTCAATATTATCAGGTTATTTACTATAGTGAGTATTTAAAGTGAATTTTCAATTGAAGCCAGAGTAGCCAAAATGAAAGCAGCCTGAATTAGAGAATTGTTTTCCAGTTTAGCTGTTTGACCTTACATATGAAATTCACCTGGAACTCTCATTTTATTAAATAACCGTATAATGTCAATGCTCTATAGTTAACAACTATGTGTAGGTGTGAAGAATAAAATGAAATGTGGATATTCACACCTCCTTATACTCCAGCCTTCCCCATCAGTCATACGCTCTGTCCTTTGCACGAGGCCTTCAGTACAGAGAGAGCAGACAGAGGGGAGGAGACATGAAACGTTTCTTGATTATAGGCACTTTTTGCCCTGTCTGTGCCTGGACTGGAACGGGATGTAATTTGCTAAATTGTGAATATAAAATGTTGAAGAAAGTGGAGTATCATTAACAAAGTTAACATGAGTAATAAATGCTTTTTAATGTTCTATCAACTGGTGTAATATTTAGAAATGTGACAGTTTCCCTTTAAGGAAATGTTTTATTAACAACTAAGTGCAAAACACAAACATTAACAAATAACACTTGTCATGGCTAGAGTTTGCACAAACACTCCTCAGATGTGCTGAATCAATGGAAGAACGAAATGATTCGTTATGCAAATCTGAATAACATGATTTGTTCTTCCATAGGTTGACAGGAATTTAATTCATTCAGCGGAGCTAAAAGGGACACTTGTCCAAATATATTCACAAACACTATTTAATGATGTGGTCTGATTTCATAGAAATGTGTTATTCCGTATTTTTCACAATAGCACAATTAAAGGGACACTCCAGATCCCTAAAGCACTTTAACTTTCTGAAAAGCTTAGTGTGAAGAGTGTGTCCTCTTTTTTTTCATTTTGCAGAAATTGCAGATTTCAATAGAAGTTGGGACATTTATAAATTAACTTGTTTACACCCCAATGGCCGCCAATCAAACACACGGTCCTGTTACTTCCTGGTTTGGTTAGTTTAGTGGAGATAAACTCACGAGGCAGCAATTGCCCAGAGCACCTGCCTTACAAAGACTCCTCATTGAGCTGTATAGGGAAGTATGTGATTGGACAGCCACAGAAAGTCTGGGCTGGATTAAAAGGGAAGGGCTTGAAAAGGCTATTAACAAGAGAACTGCAGGTTTTGCAAGCTGTTTTTAGATATTCCTAAATGAAAACATGCAGAATTAAACCGTGTTATTTCAAACATATTTTTGGGTAGGGAAGTGTCCCTTTAAATTTAAATTTGAGGGTTTTTTTTGTCAGTGAAATAGTTTGGCTTGGTTTGGAAAATAAGAAAGAACAATCATTATGCAACTTTTTTGTGTAGCTGATTAAAAAAAAATATTTTGTTAACTGTGCCGACTAGTGCTTGCATTGTTGAGCACAGATTGACTGTTTATAGATGGAGGGAGCAGCACCTAGGGTGGTCCTCAGGAGTATGTCAAACATGGAATGAAAACACAAACATTAAGACCATATAGTAAATTAAAAAAAAGAAATGCACTTGCAATATGAAGAGCTTCTAGTAGGCTCTACTTAAAAGCTCCTGGGCGGTATGATCCCCGCCTTTTGATATGGTGTGTGTTTGGGTCCGATGGAGGATGGTCCAATGTTTATAAAATATGAAAAGAACAATTGCCAATAGAGTGTAGCATGCAAGTACACATAGATGTGGCTTATATAGTATTTAGAAATGCACTCACATTCTATAGAGCCCTAAGTAGCTCCAAACAACTAACGTGGAGTGGTATAATCGTCACTCTATGGATGTATCGTGTGATGATGATCCTCACTATGACAACATGGAAATAAAAGGAGATACAATATACTTTCTGTTGTAGGAAAGTGAGAACTATAATGTATCAGACGTGCTCTGTCTGAGCTCCTGCTCCAGGGCCCGAAAATTGGAGCAATCTGGAGGCCAACCGCGCCACAACGGTGACTACGTGGGGATAATGCCCAAGACCCGGCACGGCACTGACAGTAACCCGACAAGGGTCCGGAGCTCACTGGAGCTTGAGCCGGGACAAGACAGCCACTCTCCCAGGTCTCCGGCCGGCGTCTCGCTTCCCCTCTCCCCCTCTGAACCAGGGGGGGGGGGGGTCATCCCAGTCTTCAAAGGCACCACACATCACACTAAATCGGGCCCAAACAACCGCCCTGGCATCAAAAATCCACTGGGCAAAGCTCCACAAGATGGCCACCACATGCCAGCCGGGTGCGCGAAAAGCCAGTAAGATCGAGCTGTTCAAGGAGAAGCACACCCAGCACCATCAGACCACCATGATAGCTCGCCCCAGGGTTATGCTGGCAGACTACACTGGACAAACCAAGGTACAGGTCAGGGGCATCAAGCAGGGAGAAATGGGGTATACACAAAGCTGAACAAACCATATAAAGCACTGAACAACCATATAAAGCACTCCCCCAGAGGCCAATAGACCCTAGAACTGCCTGCCCAGATGAAACAGGCCAGAGGGACAGAAACACCAAGCCACTCACCCTAAACCCAGCCCGAAATAACCCATACCACCACCCTGGACCAAAGCCACCACAACCACCGACACAGACCAACGAAACGGCGCAGGAAGACACCACCGGGGCACAAGAGGCACCTACCAAGCACCGGAGTGGGTTGACACTACAGACAGGGTACCCAGAGACTGCACCTCAGGATATCCAAGGCACAGGCTTGATTTCACGACAACTCTGAAAGGCACGCCTGATAGACGCACATAACTAGAAGCTCAAATGAACTAACACGAATATGATAAGCTTGTCCCTGGACTTCAAGCTGAGTGTTTAACCTGCTTACCCAGCTGACCGTGCCTGAAACTACACACGGACGGCTAAGCTTAAAGGACCACTCTAGGCACCCAGACCACTTCAGCTTAATGAAGTGGTCTGGGTGCCAGGTCCATCTAGGGTTAACCCATTGTTTTATAAACAGCAGTTTCAGAGAAACTGCTATGTTTATGAATGGGTTAAGCCTTCCCCCTATTCCCTCTAGTGGCTGTCTCATTGACAGCCGCTAGAGGCGCTTGCGTGCTTCTCACTGTGATTTTTTTTTTTTGCGTGCGCATTCAGCCGGCGGGGCGTAACGGAGGAGGAGGAGAGCTCTCCGCCCAGCGCTGGAAAAAGTTTTACCCCTTTCCAGAGCCGGGCGGGAGGGGGTCCCTGAGGGTGGGGGCACCCTCAGGGCACTATAGTGCCAGGAAAACGAGTATGTTTTCCTGGCAATATAGCGGTCCTTTAACATGCTCACTGCATTTCATTCCATTTTCTCACCTCACTCTCAGTCAAAGCGTAAAATGATTACTGTCTAACGTAAATCTGCATAGGGAGTGTGAGGAGTAGTCTCTCCGATAGTCTCACCACCCTAACTAAGCTACTAATCTCATAAAAGCGACTGTACACATGCTTTAGTTTAACACAGTGACTTCACAGGAAATAGCCAGATAATAAAGCAACGACACTCAACATAAATACTATTCTTAAACTACGGTTACCAATCGACAAAGTAATTCATTAAGACAAATAAAGTTACCCAGCCTGTACTTAGCTTGTAGAGAGACAGAACCAGTCTATCTGCACTCCATTCTGTCCCTCTGTATTTCTAGTTAAAATTCATAACTTCATATTAAGATCTGGGTGGGAGCCTGCAATGACGTGTGTGTGGGAGTAGATACTTGTTACTATGGTTACTGAATGTGGACAGTAATTCCTTAGAAGGACATTCCATATCAGAATGTTTGTAGATTCTGGTGGCATTCTCAGACATACCATCATGTTCCAACTACCCATAAACTGGATATTTGGCCAATTTGTGTATCCATATTGTCACAGCAACTACATGTGACTAACTGTAGCCAGTGGGTGCATTAAAGTTAACATTTTAGACCATGTCCAGTAGAAATGTAGGAATATAAATATGTATACAATTTCAAACATTTGTAATTTAAAGATTTTGGGAAAAGCTGAAAAATCTAATGAAAAATGTGTTCAAATAAATGGTACGCCATTTTATCTAAACAGAAGAACTTGATTTGACGAGTCTGAGAATTTCATTTCCAGGGTGTGATCAGTTATAATGTTCTGTTTTTACAGATCCATATGTGAAGGTGCAGCTAGCGCTAAATAAAAAGAAGTGGAAGAGGAAAAGGACAGGCGTGAAGAAGAACACTTTAAATCCATATTTCAATGAAGCCTTTACCTTTGATGTCACACTGGAGCAAATTCAGGTTTGTTTGTTTATTAATTCACGAATATAAGTATAGAGAGATAAATAAGCCATTCTCTCTTAAAAAAAAACGAACAAAAAATAAATCTTTAATTTTATTTTGAATAAAACATAAATGAACATAAAGAAATAGTGTACACAGGGTCGATGCAAGGATTTTTGTCTGCAGAGATGAAGAGGCTCTTACACACACACAATCACTGGCTGTTACACACACACACACACACACACACACAATCACTGGCTGTTACACACACACACACACACACACACAATCACTGGCTGTTACACACACACACACACACACACACAATCACTGGCTGTTACACACACACACACACACACAATCACTGGCTGTTACACACACACACAAACACATTTGGTTGCTACACACCCACACACTCACTGGTTTTTACACACACACACACTGGTTTTTACACACACACACACACACACACACACACACACATTTGGTTGTTACACACACAAACACACACACACACACACACACACATTTGGTTGTTACACACACAAACACACATTTGGTTGCTACACACCCACACACTCACTGGCTGTTACACACACACACACACATTTGGTTGTTACACACACACACTGGTTCTTACACACACACACATTTTGTTGTTACACAGTTACACACACTCACTGGCTGTTTTACACACACACACATACTCTCACACACACACTCACTGACTGTTACACACACACACACACACATTTGGTTGTTACACAGTTACACACACACTGGTTGTTACACACTCACTAGCTCTTACACACACACACACACACACTCACTGGCTCCTACACACACACACACACTCACTGGCTCTTACACACACACACACACACACACTCACTGGCTGTTACACACTCACTAGCTCTTACACACACACACACAGACACACTCACTAGCTCTTACACACACACAGACACACACTCACTGGTCGTTACACACACACACACTCTTGCTGGCTGTTACACACACTCACTGGCTCTTACACACACTCACACTCACTGGTCATTACACTCACACTCACTAGCTCTTACACACACACACACTCACATATCTGTGTTGTTACACACACACACACACACACACACACACTCTCACTGGCTGTTAAGGCTACACACAGCTGCCACACTCACTGGTCGTTACACACACACACACACTCACTGGCTCTTACACACACTGGTTGTTACACACACACACACTGGTCATTACACTCACACTCACTGGCTCTTACACACACACACACACACACACTCACTGGTCGTTACACACACACACACTCACTGGCTCTTACACTCACACTCACTGGCTGTTACACACACACAGACACACTCACTGGTCATTACACTCACACTGACTGGCTCTTACACACACACACACACACACACACTCACACTAGCTCTTACACACACAGACACACACTCACTGGTCGTTACACACACACACACTCTTGCTGGCTGTTACACACACAGACACACTCACTACACACACACACACTCACTGGTCGTTACACACACACACACTCACTGGCTCTTACACTCACACTCACTGGCTGTTACACACACACAGACACACTCACTGGTCTCTTACACACACACACACACACACACACACTCACTGGTCATTACACTCACACTCACTGGCTCTTACACACACTCACTGGTCGTTACACACACACACACACACACACACTGGCACTTACACTCACACTCACTGGCTCTTACACACACACACACACTCGCTGGCTGTTACAGACACACTTACGGTTTCTTATAATTTTTCCACACCAGGTGGTGCTGCCCTTCTCTCTCCCATAGCACTCAGAGGGTATGGGAGCATCGAGGAGCGGCCGTGGCATCGCTTTTGGAGCTGAAGGCCGATGGGATACATGACATCATATCCCAGGGGTTCTTCTGTTCCAAAAGCTCCTGTACCCTCTAAGGCTGCATGCTTTATTCCTTCACATAACGATACACCAGCAACACAGTACAACAGCCGGATAAATTATTCACTTGGGCATTCAGCATGGTGACCAGCAGGAGATGGGTACTCTGTGTTCCCACCTCCCACTGGTCATCCGGACATTTTTGCACCCCCCGGGCGGCCACCTGTGCTGTTATATGGTTACACAGAAGCATATTGATTCCAAGGCTAAAACAAATAAACAAAGTCACTATTTTTTGTATTTTGGGTGAGTACTTATAATGTATGGTTTTGTTAAAGAAACACTATAGGCATTTTATCTCAATGCAGTAGACTGGGTGCCATGTTCCCCCCATTAAACCTGCAGTTTATAACCTTCTCAGCACTGACGGTTCACCTAAAAGGTGACTAGGACTCTATAGACCTGTCAGGAATACAAATGTTATACAAACGCTATAGTGTTCCTTTAATGCTCCCAAAATAGCTTTGATATTCTTATGCTTTTCTTTCCTCCAGAACGTGGATCTGATAATCTCAGTATGGGATCACGATAAAGTCAACAAGAACGAGCAGATTGGAAAGGTGCATTTAGGTTGTCGAGCCTCGGGCAATGCCTTACGACACTGGTCAGACATGCTGGCACACCCGAGACGCCCCATGGCACAGTGGCACAATTTGCAACCAGCAGAGGAAGTGGACAAGACTCTAGCCCTGAAATCCAATTTCAAGATCCCCCTCCCTCAAGCACTCCAGCACTCCTGATTCTGAGATCTTAATAAACGTCCCGAGAATTCTCATCTGACCTTCTCTGTTAGATGACTTCAAAACGTTATGAATGATTGCTGCCTCTATTATGCCTTTCTGTAAAAGGTCCATTTAAATCATTTCTAGACCTTAATGTGGATTTCAATCTATATTTTTTTTTTTATGAATCAGCAAGTAATCTCTTCTCCTGTTAATTGTATTACAAAATGATGGAACACATTTATCAAATAATGATATAAGGAAATTCTTGACAAACGGTTTACGTGGACAAAAACTAAAGAACTTTTATTTTCCTGGACAATCCATAACTTTTATTGTATTAAAACAACTGTAAATGGTTCAAGCCAACAATTTTGTTGGGTTGAAGTTACTACTAACTGAAAATACAGTGTATAACAGCTAATATTGTAACATTATAAATTATTTATTTAGAAAGTATTTTAACAGGTTTGGGGAATGCGACTGATACAGTGACACATGGAAAAACGTATTTACAGTAATTGTTTGATTATAAATACAGAATGCCAGATCTGTTCCTAGATTTTAAACTGGATTCAAGCTGTGTGGAAGCACTGTTTCTTTGTTGTAATTGAGAATAGTGAGTAAACGTGGATGAGAGGTTTAAGGAATTAATATGAATATATATCTCAGGTAGGGAGGGCATGTGACACACTAAGCATTAAAGGTTACTTGCTTCATCCCAGTAATGAGGCCAACTAGTCCTGGTCTGCTAGAGATTAGTGGGAGTTACACTACTGATCGATACCTGCCACCATTTTAATGATTGCAGCTGAAATAACAACCAGCTGGGACTATAACTCCCACTTATCTCATGCAGCACCCTAACACTGGCTATGAACCTGAACCTAAAAATACAATGTTATTTGCAGTGGTGAAACATGTATTAGGGGGAAATAATGTCATCTCAGGGTTCTGAAGACATTTATAAAACACTCAACCTTAGACACTATATTCACACACGTATAAATAAAAATATAATCACTAACAGGAATCATAGTCTTGCTCACGGTAAATTGATTTAAAAAGTCAATAAGGAGTTGTGGTGCGTCAATCCTCTCGTATTTCTGCATTAAGGTTTAGGATATCACATCAGAAAATTAGCAATCACTTATAATTGCTGCACATTAATTTAAATACATTCAAACAAATAAAAGAAAATAGATCCTATACTGTATGCAATAATGAATGTCATTTTACCTATGTCATATTGCATACATTTTAGCCAATGATTGTTTCACTATGTTTGTATGTCTGCTTGTGCAACATCATATACTGAACCAGAGTATATTCAAAATATCATTTTTGTAAAATCCAATATATTTATTTTTCATTTTTAAATTGTATTGCAAAAGGAATATACCATTTAACTCGTTGTTGTGATTAAGTTTATATGTTTATAGGGTTGCTTTAAGTGGCACATAATCCGGGTCTGCCTATACGCAGTGGCGTAACCACCACTCATCACTCCAGGGGGCCCGGATGCAGCTGCGACCCCCGCAACTGTGGTTCACCTTAACTTTAGAGCCGGTGCATGCCCACACTGGCCCAGGACCCGTAGTTGCTGGGTGACCCACAAGAGGGGAGCACTGTGCTGCTCCTCCTGTCGCTGTGTGTAGCGTGGCTAAGTGGACTGCAGTCTGACAGGAATTGCTTGCTGAGAGAGAGCTTCCTGTCAGACCGGACCTGCTACCATGATGAGCAGGTATAAGAGGGGGGACATGAAGGGGCTGGGGAGGAAAGGGAATTAAACATATGGAGGGGCTGGAGGAGAAATGAGACACAAGGATGGTTTGGGGGAATGAAATACATGGAGAGGCTGGAGGGGAATGAGACACATGGAGGGGCTAGGGGGATAAGACACATGGAGGAGGCTGGGGGAATTATACATGGAGGGCTAGGGGATAAGACACATGGATAGAGCTGGGGGAACACACACATGGAGGGCTAGGGGGGATAAGACACATGGAGGCTGGAGGGAGGAATGAGACACATGGAGGGTTGGGGGGATGAGACACACATGGAGGGGCTAGGAGGGATAAGACACATGGAGGGGCTGGAGGGAATGGAAACACATGGAGGCTGGGGGAAAGGAGATTACATGGAGGCTGGGGGGAAAGGAGACACATGGAGCGGCTGTGGGGAATGAGACACATGGAGGGGCAGGGGGGAATGAGACACATGGAGAGGCTGGGGGGGGAATGAGACACATGGAGCGGCTGGGGGGGGAATGAGACACATGGAGCGGCTGTGGGGAAATGAGACACATGGAGTGGCTGTAGAATGAGACACATGGAGGGGCTGTAGAATGAGACACATTGGGGGACCCGGTGGTTTCTAGTTATGCTTCTGTCTATACATATTCATATAGCACCTTAAAACCTGTCTATACATTGTGTTCATGCTTTTTAAATCTGTTCAGATTTTTTTTAAATTAATAAAACATTTCTATATAATCTTTTCATTTTCTTAGGAATGCACAGTTTTCTGAAAGAGTTTCAAATAAACATTTTATTATTCCTAGTGGTGTGTTGGAGTTACTGAGAAATGTGCAGATTCTGATTCGATGCTGATATCACATGCTCTGCGTAGAGTTCTTATTTTGTTTTTGTAAATATATTTTTTATCGGCAAAATTGTAGAGAAAAACAATCATTTCAAGGTTTAAGAAAAACATGTATAGATAAATGGAGTAATATCGTTATATGTGAGATTCACAGATCTCGCGGTTTATAGTGCGGTGTAAGACGCGGTCTCAAATCTATCATAAATAAAGTACAAATTTAACAGAAATATATTGAACATTCACACGAAAATATTCAAATATGTCAAATATTTTAACACTAAAAACACTTAGGTCAGAAAACTAGTCTCTGGACCATTTAGAGTGAAATGCAGATACAATACAGTCAATCCCTCAGCACAGGATGTAGTGCTTTGCCCACTAGTCAAAATATCCCGTATATCGTAGGGAATTATCCCGAGGCAGGCAGGTAAGAGAGAGGGAGAGCAAGAAAAAAGACTCCCTTTCAGGTAAGTCGAGTTGTAGGTGTTTGGGGATTCCCTGTCCCCCGCCCCAACAGCTAAGAGCGCAGGGACCCCACCATGTGGTCATTAATGTAGGGAATCACAAGAAAGACAGGAGAAGCTATAGTCTATTTCAAAATGATTTTGGAAGTCCGCGGATTCTCTGGTAAGTATCCAGTGAGTCCAGATAATCAAGTATGTCTGAGAGCGTCGTGTGATGTGAACAATAATGGAGCGTAGCGGCTCCGTTGGTTTTATTTCCGATAGAGAATAAAATCAGGCTCTTGGCTACATTTAAAATTCTGAAGGTCATTGACTTTTTGCATATAGAGGAGCGGGTTTTGGTGTGATGTAACAGAAGTGGAGGCGGGAGAAGGGGGAGGTTCATCAATAAATTTCAGTAGTGTATTCCAAAAGATGCGAGTCAAGGAGCAGTCCCATCATATGTGTAGACATGCACCCACCCCTTGTCTGTCTTTCCAACACCTGCCATCAATAAATCAGTCAACCACATGCATCAGCTGGAGGTTTTATACCAAAATGTAAGTAATTTATAGGCGGTCTCAAAAGATCCAGAGGAAATGCACAATGTTGCGTGAATCTCTCTCTCAGGCTCTCCACCCACCTCTCCACTCAGGGGGCAGTCTCCTCCCATTCAGTAGCATGGAATACAGTGGGTCTGGGTCCACACATATGGTCTCAAATGGGATGAGTTACCTCAACAGGAGAGGTCTTTATGGGATGGAGTTGAAAAATATTACCAACTGTCTGTAGTGGAGCTGTTGCATAAAAGTCGGGTTTTTGCCACTCAGCAGTCCCCTCATTCAACCCTCCCCTCCTAAAAACAAATGTCTAATTTGAGGGCACTGTTAGGGATGCTGTTTAGTAGAAGGAGCCCAAAATACAAAAAAGGCCATAAGCATAAGATCAGGTTCGCAGTACAATAGGGTCAAACGAAAAAGTCAGGAAAACCAAAAGGTTAGGACAGGCGGCATAGGAAAGGAATCAGGCAAGGGTCAAATATCAGAAATACAACAGGACAAGCACTGAAGGTTTGAACACCACAGGAGCACAGTATAACTGAGTAATGAATTTAGTAGGAGTTTAAATAGGAAAAAAAAGCATGTCCACTTACTGTAACTCCACTTCACACCCTCTTTGATAGTTCCACCCTTTCTCTCATTAAGAAGGCATTGTTTCGGCAATTGTTTCGGCACGCGTGCGTCACAGGGCCCTCCTGCTCTGCCCCTCTGACATGGCTGACCGCATAGTGCAGGAGGACGTACTCCAACACGGTGCCTCCATTCAGAGAGAAGGAGACATGTCATGGGAGCGAGACGAGAGGTAAGGTTTACAGAGGAATAGGGGCCTTACAGTCACCCAACAACCCTCTGAAGGAAGCCGCCTGGCAACTAAAATGGAGCTTTGCTTAAAGAACGACTATTGTCAATGTAACGGAGATCCAGTACCCAGAGTGGTATCTCGTAGTGATTCTCTCCCAAATCCCTCGAGGGGAATAGTGAATATAGCTCCTTCTTAACCAAACATCAGATGAGACTTGATAAAAGGTAAAATAGCTGACATTTATTGAAACGAGCACAGGATTATATACCAAGACCCCCAGCGTGGGATCTCTATTGAACACACAGTAAGCCCGCCCAGGTGCCTTTGTATCTGGGAGATAATTGTTTCAGCGCCTGTTAAACTTATTATCTCTTGGATACAGAGAGCGCAACACAGAATAACCCAAAAAACACCCACAAAACATCCATATTATATTATCCCCGGATAGGTCTGTGAAAATTGCGCCCAGATCTATAGGGTATTGTCCATATGCCACGGGGTTAAAGTTCTGACTTGCTGCTAAGAAAGTTTTGCCAGAAAAAAGTTCCATGCTGTGGGCGTTGCATACATGTCTTTTAACAGGAGCTCCAGCGACTTGAGGCAGGAAGGCTCACAACCAAAACAGTCACTTGCAAACTCTACCAATCCCCAATCTATACTTAAATACCAACTTTTAGTAGCAAGGATGGTCATAAATAGAAAGCTCACTTGGCAAACCTGCCAGAGAAGTCCTAATAACCTGATATAAGTTAACTTGGCTTACACTCTGCACCGAATCAAACTCTCTAAAAAGACAGACATGGGACATTTTATAAAACCCTACATCCTGTACTCAGTTTAACGCTTGTTTTATCTTGTTTTATCTAACACGTGAAGGCTAGTAAACGTCATTAAACTCTGCAAATAAACTGGTTTTAGTAGAATAAAACAGTCTTCCAGAGGCCTTGATGAAACCTTATGGCAGCGGAAACTCGAATTCAGACAGGTGGCTAAGACAGAGTTGTTTTTCTATCTTTCCTTTGGCCCAATCAATCCTAGCTATATCTACTGCTTGACGGAACAGTGACAGAAGGAACGGAACACAACTGGAGTCGGCCTGTGAGTGACAGGGACAGGAAGATTAGCCTAAGGAGCTGTATTACATGATGTGCAACAGGTGATAGGAAAAAATGAGCTCTTCAGGCATATAAACGTTCATTATGTTCTATGTCCAGCAGAGGGCAGCAATGTACCACCTCTTGGGGACTAATTTTGGGTCCTCTCTAGGGAGCAAGCAATGAATGTTTGCAGACATTTCAGGGCAGAGGTGTGTTTATGTGTAGTAATTAAATAAAAGATAATGGCCACACTTTCACGGCAGCTGGCGGTGTCAGTTTATAGCGCTATCAAATTTCCTCCATTAATAAGGACAATAGAATAAAACATAAAAAGTGAACCTACTGAGTTTTTTTCACTAAACAGTGAATTGTGGTGAATTGAAAAAGCAAAGATGGGACAAAATGTATTACGAAAAACTTTCTCCAATTTGGATATTTTAACAAGTTGGTTATTTCGCTCTCAGTTTTATTGTCAAATTCAAACAATGCGCAGTTAGTGAATAAATGTTTTGACTAATCGCTACTAAACGCTGAAATCTGACTTAAATATACAGTTTAGTGAATAAAGGTTTTTCACTAAAATCAGAATTATAGCGAAATGAAATACAAATGGCAAAAATGAGGCTAAACTAGGCGAGTTTGCGAATGTTTCCAGATTAGCTCTTTTCAACTAAATATTGCGAGTTTAGTGAATAAACTGACATTACACACCCCGTAATCCTGTCATATAAATACTTCATACGGGTCATGTTTTAAAGAGGAAATCTGGTAACCCTACACCCTACACCAAAGCGAAGACGTATAGCTAAGGTATTTCCGAGTAAGGAATGTCCATATACAAGACTTATCGCAGGTCTCGACTATCAGCCTTGCAGTCGGCTGTTTTGGGTTTTCTTTTAGACATTTTTATCTTATTTTTTTTTTTTAAGTTAAAGAGGTAATATGCAGAGTATTGAATTACCAAGGAAATCTGTCTTGGGAATCTGGGGTAGATTAAGCGCCAGAGGCTGGGGCGGGGAATAACAAGTTGTGGTAATAAATGTATTGAGACAATATTACTTTGCCAGTCTCCTTACTGCGGAATAAATGGTACCCACATCCATATCCATGGGGCAAAATAGCCTGGGTTTCCTGCAGGTCTCTAGCACTAATGTGATGTCAGCTGGACTCCAGCACACTATGGGTTAAAATGCCTTGAGATTATGTGCAGAAGTAGAATCTGAGTATTTGTGTCTCTCCCTGTGCTATTGGATAGAGGGAGTTTTCATGTCCTTACTGAGGCAGAAAGTAACTCCCCAGGGCTCCTCCCCAGTACATAATTACCCCCCTTAACTAGCAGCCTTTTCAGTCCTACCCCTGCTTCATTCAGAGGGCTCCGTCCACAAGGGTCAGGTAAGAGAATAGCCAATGGAAGATATTCCCCCACGTCCAAAGTGACCATAGTGCGTGTCTATCTATAGAGGACTATAAAGCTCTAGAATAGGGTAAGCCATCAGCCAACACTGGTTTAGGACTACAACTCTCAAATGCTCTTCCAGCCTGTAGAGCCCAGTGACATCATGAATAGCTTCCAGTATCTCATAATACATACCTGTATCTCTCCACCTAAGCCACACAGCACCCTCTTCATCAACTAGTTCTGGCTGAGGACGATGGGAGTTAGGCCCAATAGAGGTTCAATATTTTCCTTTCAGGTATACTGGACCTTTATTAGGTACAGTGGGCAAAATATATCAAGGAAAAACTGTGATGTAACATTCTAGATGTTGATTGAATGAGGACGCTTAATATTAATGTGACACCTTTTGCATTCACATGCTCTAAACTTTAGGAATCAAATGTCTCTAATGTATATAAATATATATATATATATATATATATATATATATAAACACACACACATAATATAATAATAAATAATAATCTGAACCCTGCTAGACTAACATTAAACATAGAATGTATGTATGTCAGCCTCCCGTTTCTGTGTCCTGTGAGTCAGTGAATCTGATATTGTAATTAGAACAAAGAGTTGGCATCCGTCCAGACTGAATGTTCATATATTGGCACATTGTTATATTATGCATAGTGAGGATATATTGGCACATTGTTATATTATGCATAGTGAGGATATATTGGCACATTGTTATATTAAGCATAGTGAGGATATATTGGCACATTGTTATATTATGGATAGTGAGGATATATTGACACATTGTTATATTATGCATAGTGAGGACACATATATATTATGCATAGTGAGGATATATTGACACATTGTTATATTATGCATAGTGAGGATATATTGGCACATTGTTATATTATGCATAGTGAGGATATATTGACACATTGTTATATTATGCATAGTGAGGATATATTGACACATTGATATATTATGGATAGTGAGGATATATTGACACATTGTTATATTATACATAGTGAGGATATATTGGCACATTGATATATTATGGATAGTGAGGATACATTTTTATTTATTTATTACTGGTATTTATAAAGCGCCAACCTATCCCACATTGAAACAGATATTAACACTCGTTTGACCCATTCTCTGCATCACTATAGATTGCTGCATATTTTGTTGATTAATATAAAGACAGTGCTGTAGGTTCACTCTGATTCCTTAGAAGACTGGCAATGCATCATGGGTATTGTAGTTCAGAAACCTGTGGGGTGCCCTGTTTAGTCACCATGGACATTGTATGGGGCTTTCTCTGTGCATTAATTTCTAATAAAAATGATGGCGTCCTAAGGACTATTTATAAGGATGGAGTGATCTGCCTGTGTTGTGTACATTGTGAAGACGCTAGATTGTAGATCAAATGAACAAAAGGGGGATCTTCAGTTACTGTAGAACTACAAACACCCATAATTCCCATGATTTGCAGAAACCATCATGGTACTTGTAGTTCCCCAATAGCTGAGGGTCTACCTATGGGGCAGCCCTATTGAAGATACTTCACAGCATGTGATAATTGGTATTCTTGCATAGTACAGGGCGTTCTTTATTTTGGGGCATGAAATAAGACCCCTACAGATAGGCTCAGACTAGATTTAAGAAGCCAAGTAAATAAATACTTGGTATGTTCACCTGTGCCCTCTTTATAGGATGGCGGCTGCTAATGAAAAATGGTGGGATAGGGTGGGTGAGGGGGCCGAGAAGGGCGAGAAACAGCTGACTTTCCTTAAAGGTTTCTGAAGATATTTTGGGAAAGTCTTACAAAGCTTCTCATACATCTATCAGGATCGGGTGACGGATGAGGGGGCAGGTGTCCAGTCTTGACTACCCCTGCCAAGGTCTATTTAGAGGATGGGAAGTGATTGAGAAGGCATGGGTTACCAAGGAGTACAGAGGGATTCTTTGTAGGATACCCCAATCAGTACCGAGCAGGAACACTTGCTGAATTTGGGATTAAGATCTTGCCAGCTGCGTATGTGACCACTTGGTATCAGTTTTAATAATGGGTTTAGTGGGGTTATGTTTAAAACATATTTAATGTGCAAATAATATTAAAGCTGGCTATTGTGTTTAATTTACAGGTATCACATAAACCGCCAAAATGGGTGAAGAGTGAGTACAATCATTGATTCCTTCCTGTTTATATATATATCTATGTAATATCTTATTCATTAAAACCACATGATCTAAAAGTGAATAATCATTAGAAACATGCCCCTGTGTTTGCCTCTGTTTTTTCCCAACAGTAGATGTTTAAAAAACAATTTCTATCATGTTTTAACTTCTGTCTGCCTAAATACTATGTTTGTTTTTGTCGTCTGTCATTGTTTTGCTTGTCCTCGTTGTATATTTGCATAAATCGTGTAATACGATAGCTGGGCCATCCTTGGAACATACATTGTTCTCTTTAATTTATATATATTTTCTCTCTTTTCTCTCTATGTTCAACGATCAGCGACGTAAGTTTCTTTCTCATAACAGCAAGCGGGAGGCAATCTGGGGTCACTGTTATGGGGGTCTTTTTATTATTATTCACTAACATTTTTTGAGTTGACAATTGACGGGTGAAAATTAGTTGTATAAAGTCCAACTCGGCTATTATGTCAGACATTTTACTGGTTGACTGTGAACGTCTAACATGAAAACCAAAATCTAGAATTTAGCTGGAACAAGTATTCATATTAATGAGTGCTAGTGAAGAGATTTGGGGAAATAGCTCAATGGAAAATCCCTTGGTTGAAGTAGCAGTTCGGAGCCCATGGTGGCATGTTTGAATTTATTTAGTTGGGTATCATTACTAACCTCTATTAAATGTTTCTTCATTTAACTTAATGAATAGAACAGACCCCCAAATGTAAGGAGCCATAAAAGTTGGGAGGGTGGTCAGCAACATGGGAATGTGAAAGCTCATATACATATATTGTTTTTCTTATATTCTGCAGAAAAAATGCAAACTGTCCAACACTCGCAAACTGCACCTGAAGGTAAGAGAAGACCTTATCATGCAAATCTGGAACTTTTAGTACCTAGCCACACAAGTACCGCGCGTGCATACACACAGTACTTTGCCCATTGCTCATACACTATTGTTTTAACCCCTTTAGTGCCCATCTTTCTAGCATCATAAGGGTTAACTTCAATAAATCCTACCCTGAATGACACAAAAGTACCCCATGCAAGGTGACCGAGAAAGCAAGATGGTAATGTGGTACATTATGAAATCGCAGGCATGCACATCGCATTGTACCGTGGTGTGCATATATATAATGCTGCAATCTAAACTTTACCGAAATACTTATTTCTCTTAAGATCTCTGTATCTTTGAACACATAACAAGCTAGCCTGAATTTATTTAAAAAGGGCCAATTTAGACGTAAAGAGGGGACAAGGAGGACAATTTGGTTCCGTATAAGAATCTATACCTGAGCACACACCTATGCACACAGTTCTAATAGCGCTCACTAACATGCAGACACTGCTTATACCCACAGACAGTGAGTATACTCACAAGCACAAGGCTTGCATACTGTTTAACACTGCGACATTCAGGGCCCGCAGTGCTGCTTCCACTCTATCCGACTCACACCTGACAATTCTCTAACCATTATTACCACAACCCACACTGTGTTTCTCCTGTGTACAGAGCTTGATGCTCCAGGTTGCCAAAGCAGCTCTAGAAAAAGAAGAATCAGATACAGCCGCAGAGAAAGAGAGCTATCTGGCTGAGCATTGTCCTCCCTTGAGTCTGCCACACTCTCTGCAAGATCTGCAGGTACTCACACATACATGTACGTCTCACAGCATGGAGTGGAAAACATTAGTCGTATTGATATTAGATAAATACAGGAGGACAGCTAACAGCTAGTAGTATTTTGTTATCACACTACTGGAGAGAAATAGCATTTGGTATTTACATGGCTTTTTTATTATATACATTTTATTTATTTTAAACTGTGCATTAATTACATTCCGTATTTTGCTGTCCGACACTCTACAAGAGCCACAAAGTGTGGACTACCAGCCGTTGTAAACCTAGATATTCCATCATGTTCTTCTGGAACATTTTTGTCCCCAAATGTTTTTTTTAGAAGCAGTGAGGTCTTGTGAAACAGCTGTCTCATTGTCTCATCTGCATTGAATCTCCCAATCTTCCGTTAGTGTTCTTAATATAGCTTATATTTAGTGGACAGTCAGTCATTACGGCACACTACGCAATTCATGAATGCAATAGATAGTTGGCATGGTACTGCACAAGAAAATATTATTGTTTGTAAGTAAATGTGCATCTGAACCTGATTTTCAACTTTCTTGATTGTTACGTTCTATCTATCCAGGAATTTTGCAAAAAGTTGCATGCCAAGATTGATGTGGTTGATGAGGAGAGATATGACATGGAGGTCAAAGTTCAGAAGAGCTCCAAGGAGGTGAGCAACATGAACAATTCAACTTCAAGATAGCTGTATGGAGGTTTGCAAGTCAGACCTATCATGGGGTCAGCAAGCACTTCACTCCTTTGTTAAAAAGCCCACAGAAATAGAAGTTTGGGGGCCTCCCACTCAGACCTACAGTTGTACCTTTGAAAGGCTTCCTGTTAAATATATGCTTCCCTTACAGACTTAAATCATCATTCCATTTGCCTTCTACAGTGGAATTAGACATTCATGGTTCTTCTGTATGTCTTTCTTTTTTTAAGCAACTCTCACATCCACTTATACAAGACTTCATTTTGTTGGCTTTAAGAGTTACGCATCATATAACTCCCTCTTGATATCATACTTGTATCATACAGAAACAATACGCATAAATTATTCCACTGACCATATGCTACATCTTTAGATTTTTCAATTTCTCTGAATATTTAGCTTCTCCTTTTTTCTCAATCTATAACAAACTACTTTATTTCTATCAAGTACTACTTATCCTGTATTACCCGTAAATGATGTCTGAGCCCATTTCATTTACTACGCAGCTGGAAGACCTCAACCAAAAGATCTTTGACCTGAGGGGTAAATTCAAGAGGCCCGCACTGAGACGTGTGCGTATGTCAGCTGATGCCATGCTTCGCGCTTTGCTTGGTTCCAAGCACAAAGTCAACATGGAACTTCGTGCCAATCTCAAGCAGGTCAAGAAAGAGGACACCGACAAGGTAAGGACTAAAGATATACTAAATCACATCAATAATGTAATTGACACTGAGACAAGGCATTAAATGAATGAATGCAGAAATATATTTCAGTGACAAACTTAATTATTTCTCTGAACTCCGTATTTGTCACAAAAAGGACCTCTTCTATTTCCAAGTTTCGAACCACTAAAGAAAAATTCAATCATTGTAATGATTTTTTTTTTTTTAAATAAAATTTTATCATAGAAATATTTCACACACCACTGTCAGCAGAGGATAAATACCATTATTTTTATTACATTTACCAGGAGAAAGATCTTCGTGATGTTGGTGACTGGCGTAAGAACATTGAGGAGAAATCTGGTATGGAAGGCAGAAAGAAGATGTTCGAGTCTGAGGCTTAAGGACCGAACTAGACCAAGACTATCTTCAACCCCTTTGCTGCCAATAGATGCTCATCTAACCAAATCAAAGAAAATCCATCTGGCAATATGGGGTTAACCCCCTCTGCTCTTCAGTTTACTTAGGCCTTCAACAGCTAAGGGTTTTGTGAAGTCTTACCTCCACCCCACACCCTACTCCTGCTGTTTCTCAGACATTACACCACGTCACACCCCCAGGGAATGTCTTAAAGTATGTTTATGGACTCTGGGGGGGGACTCTGGTTTATGGGTCCCCTCTGTTTTAGCCAAGTCTGGTTCTTCAGAAGATGTGTTATGTGGACGTGAAAACTTAACTGTGTAAATAAAGCTTGTGACGTCCTTTATGATTGGTGATACCTGAAGTGGAGGTGACGTCACTGTCCTTTTCTTCTGTCTTGCAAGTGCAGTCTCATCCTTCCTTTCATTCCCCCTATCTATGCAGCAGTCAGGTCTTACTCATTATTGAGGGGCATATGCATTTGTTATGAGGATAGTTTCACTCCCTGGACGGGAAGTAACATGCAGAGGAATCTGGACAGGCAGTAACATTGGACAAAGACGTACCACTAATTTGAAGAGCTGTGTTACCCAATGAGAAGCAAGTCTCAAAGCATTCATATTCTTTATACGACATCAACATAACAAGAGAGCGTCTAAGTAATCACAGACTAGAAGGGGGTTATTTACCAGAGTGGGAAGTATTGGAATTTCAAATTTAGGCTGAAGTATTTAAAACAAAAACAGATGAATTGGAGAATTGTCCCTTTTCTGCTCTTTTAACCCAGAAATATCGACAATTCACACATTAGTGAATAAGCCATGTCACTACCACTCATTCCAGAGACATAATGATGGGTTCTTACATTTCTAGCATTCTCAAAAATAATAAAATTAAAAAGTCAGCTTTTTTCACTGCTCAGAGCGACATTTCCAAGGTCCCTTACAATTATGGATCCTCGTGAGTTTGATGTTCCATTTGAGTAAAGTCACCAACAATCCGGTTCCTGTGAGATTTGTGAAAGTGGAGTTAAGTGATCACTAACTGAGCTTGGTCAGACTAGGGAATCAAGTTATGTCTGGGCTACGATTATGTTTTAGTTTGGCTATCAAATGTGGCTAGGGATAAGATCAATTAAAGGTAAAACATATATAAGAACTCATTTATAGAGAAAGTCACATATGGAAAAAATATTCACTAGCCCACCAGCCTCAACCTTTTTTTAATTTTTGTAAAGTATCGTATTCAATCTGTTAGACATTTGCCCATCAAGCTCAGTTCTTCTGAATGACCGTATTTGGTCTATTGATCCAAAACACACAGATCTCTTGCAGATAACTGGAATGTTGCTTAGTTAGTGAAAATTATATTTTATTCTCTATATTCCATGTATCTGCCATAGTCCAGTGTTACCTGTTTCGATGGTGGTTTGTTGTTTGGCAACTTGTGAACACCAGACCATGACTGCCTTGCTGCCTTAAAGGTAAGATTTCTTTAAAACACATAACTTAATATTTACTACTGAGACCAGAGAAGAGTCTCCCAAAGGATTAGTGAACTCGTCTCTTACAACACTTGGACAATTTGAACCGAGGAGACTTCAGTCAATAAAAGACAAACAAAGAAAAGGAAAAAGTCTAGGGTCACATCGAGTTTGGTCTGCCTGTCAGGGTCACGTTTCTTACATTGTATAAAATATTACATGCATTCATGTGCACGGTGATTGTTTAACAAACTCCCCAGGCTCACTTAAAAGGACGCCACCGTACAGCAGGGAAAGTTTCAGCATTTTGGGAAATAATTACCATAAAATCGGTTTTCTGGGGGCAAGTTTTATATTTACTGTTAATCCACTGTTTTCATAATCCACTTGTTATAAGACAACGTCACATACTTGTGGTCTAGTGGCATTCTCATAAGAAAACAATCCCAGATTAAAACGTCTTGAACACAGGTAATAATATCGAATTTCATATTAAAAAACATAAAGCAATACTTTGCATACTTACCTGGTGATAATTCCTATTACTGTTTCCATTGCCGGGCAAATAAATACTAAAGATCTGTCAGGTGGAAAGGGTCATGTTGGGGGGTCAAGCTGGATAGATAACGGAGTGACGAATGTCTCTCCATTTGGACGATGATGTCCAACTACTGTTACAAAGCGTAGGAGCAAGGCAGTAGCGGAGGGTGGGTGTTACAATAGTATAGCGCCCATAGAACGCTGGGGAGGGGAAATGTATATAATAATTGTGTAACTTATCTTTAAAGTTTAAGTCAAACCTGATATGACACATTTCACCTTAAAGAAACAATGAGCACCATAATGACTACATCCCACTGTCATGTGTCAAACCAGTTTAAAACATCCCACAATATGAATTCCATTTTACGGTTTCCACTGTGATTCGTGCAGATTTAGCACTTTCTCCCTAAATATTTTCAGTTTTACCTCAATAAATATTGCAAACAGGTTGTGACCATAGATAAAATCTATTTGCATCTCAAGTCTAGCAATTGTGTTATTGCAGAATGATTAACCCTTTCTGTTTCTTCAGGGTAATCCCATGCACATTCTAATTTATGAGTTCCATTAGAAAACGATATAATGTATCTGCATGTAATTAACACTTTTCTTTAAGTATTAATTACTCAGATGTCTTAATACCTGACTTATCTCTCCGACGCCCCTTCATACACAGCATCCTTTTACAAGCACCCGGTTTACCTGCCTAAACGTTGTACCTTTTGGGGTACTGATATAACGATCACGGCAAAGACAGGACGCTATAGAAAACGAACAAGATGCATCTGTAATTATAAAGCCCAAAATATACTATTATTATTATTATTTTATTATTTATATAGCGCCATCAGGTTCCGCTGTACAATGGGATGAATATCATACGTAAATAAAGCATAAGATCGAGACAGAAACCTCACAATCGAGTAGAAGGGAGTGAAATAAAGCAAAAGGATGTCGTGAGCATGCGTGAGACATTTCGGGGGAGCATGGGAGACCACATGTATGTGAATCAGAAATCTCAATGATGACATTCACACAATCTAAGCTAAAGAAGTTTGATTTATTAAACTCCAAACTGAAGTCCGTTGATCGCCTAGTTGCCAAATGTAGATAAATATAGCTGGTTTGGAGAATCTCTCCCCTGCTTGGCTATTGGCTACTAAACGTAGAATTCGATTACAATGTGCAGTTATTGAGAGTGAATTTCAAATTTCCAAATGAAAAAATCCTCTCCAAGTCAGCGATAGTTTGAGGTCCCCTGTTGCGGCCCAGAAGGTGAGCTTCACACTGTATTAAATAACTTTGTAAGGTGTCAGGAAAACGCAATTAACTGCGGTGGGCGTCATTCGAAAAGTGTCCAAATATAAGAATGAAATCATGATGAAGGGATCAGCAATGTCTTTCTTTTCCTAATGAGACGGTTACAAAGTAATATAGGAATTACACAACCCCCACTATTTTCACTGCCGAATAAATAATGGGTATATATATGAAAATGAATGAAAAGAAACAATATAAATGAGACGACTGAATCCCTACATAGAAAACAATTCTTCTCACAACTGGAGACACCACAAATACAGTATTAACACAAATGGACACATCTTACTGTAGTGGTTATGGTGTCAAGCCCCTCCTTTTTACCAAAACATTATATTGGTGACGGCAAAAGGGCCAGCCTTTGGGTATTACAAGAACCCATTTGTTTTTAACAAACTGCTTGAAAATGGTTAAACTGCAGATAAAGGAAATGCAATCAGCTGGTTTTTTTTGGCCATAACCACAAGAATTAGGTGACGTGGTTAATGTGGCTGCAGTGTCCATTTCAGAGGGATCTGAAAATGCATAAAATGAGAGTTCTGTTGCATAGATTGTATCTAGCCAAATAGCTTCCAAAGGAGATTAAAGAGTTTATTTTAAAATTAACACAGGTTCCCTATCCCCTCCCCTTGTCAGCCACGTGTTGTTGTACACATGTTACCTATCCCCCCGTCAGCCACGTGTTTGTTGTACACAGGTTCCCTATCCCCTCCCCTTGTCAGCCACATGTTGTTGTACACAGGTTCCCTATCCCCTCCCCTTGTCAGCCACGTGTTGTTGTACACATGTTACCTATCCCCCCGTCAGCCACGTGTTTGTTGTACACAGGTTCCCTATCCCCTCCCCTTGTCAGCCACATGTGTTGTACACAGGTTCCCTATCCCCTCCCCTTGTCAGCCACGTGTTGTTGTACACATGTTCCCTATCCCCCCTTGTCAGCCACGTCACAGGTATCCCCCCCTTGTCAGCCTGTTGTTGTACCCCTATCCCCCTTGTCTGTTGTCCTATCCCCTTGTCAGCCACGTGTTGTTGTACACAGGTTCCCTATCCCCCTTGTCAGCCACATGTTTGTTATGGTTCCCTATCCCCTTGTCAGCCACGTGTTGTTGTACACATGTCCCATACCCCCCGTCAGCCACGTATTTGTTGTACACAGGTTCCCTATCTCCCCCCCTTGTCAGCCATGTGTTTGTTGTACACAGGTTCTCTACCCCCTCACCCCCCTTGTCAGCCACATGTTTGTTCCCTATCCCCCCCTTGTCAGCCACATGTTTGTTGTACACAGGTTCTCTAACCCCACCCCCCCCCTTGTCAGCCACGTGTTTGTTGTACACATGTTCCCTATCGCCCCCCTTGTCAGCCACATGTTTGTTGTACATAGGGTGCTCAACCATCACCTTCTGTAGTGTGCCTTTGGTTTTCAGATATATGTTAACCTCACACAACAAGAATTTGATAGGATTTGTCATTAACATGCTCAAATTAATAGCTTTAGGACTGGGTTCCCACCCAGAGGTGACAAAACCTACTTTACTGAGCTACTGGCAATCAGACCATACGGTACCTAGGCAAGAAATAATGGGGAACTTTGTTCATTAAAGGGACCCTTTAGGCACTATAACCATTTCATGTCATTGAATTGGCTATAGTGCCTGGAGTCCTCGGTGTAGAACCATTTTCAAACAGTTTAAAGCGGAATGAGGGCCATCCACAACTCAGCCTCCCTTGGAAGTATGGCTAAGGCAGAGATTGCATTCTTTCATACCATACCAACAATGAGCAGCGGTGATGGGCTGGGGGCGTGCAGCTGACACGTTAAACTAATCACCACTGCCCATTAGCCCAATCAGTACAGAGGGATGGGCTGCTGGGGTCTCTTGTTTAGAATCAAACCACTCAATAATGCGAAGGACGGTGGCAGGGTACCACAGACACTATAAACACTTCAAAGAGATTAAATGTTCCCAACACCATGTGTATGTTCTGGAGCATTTGTAATGTAAAAATATCTCTCTTACCACATCTGCTCGCTTCTGCCTCTTGAAAAGAAATAATTTTTGAAAAATGATTGTATCCATTATTAATATTACCACTCATTTTTCTTAGGAAAGCCATGAAACTGCAGTCTGACTTCTTACAATAGGGGGCCGTATTTTCTGCCTTCCTGTGGAGGAGAGAAATGAATGTGGATGTCTCTGTGGCTATACAAGCTCGTGTTTAAGCGTATGTTTAAGGGAAACTGTCATGCTTTACCTGGCCCTCCACTCCCCCGCAGTGATCTCATGCCCACCTCCAGTCTGCCTGCACTCCTCCACCATTTGGTGATGAGCTGCCCTGCTAGGGGACACTTCCTCCATGACGCCGATGTTGCCAGGATATCACTCTGTTCCTATACTCCTTAGCCAGCACGATTGCATTGGCCAGAGAGTTACCATAGCAACCACAGCACATGCACTGTGGTTACCATGGGAGGAGAGCAGAGGAATCTGCTGTTGGAGGTCTCCACTGCTCTCCTTGTCCTTCACGTTCTCCTCATTCAGGGTCTGCTGAGAAATTCAGAGACATATGGAGAAAAAAAATAATTTTAATCATTCCCCACCCCCCCCCCAATCTATAAATTTCCTTGCAAAACCGCTAGCACAATGTATAGAAGGAATTTTAAGCTCTTTTAAAAGAACTAAAGTCAATCGGGACGTGACAGGTTCCCTAATGGATTATTCACCAACATGAAAGCCCACCACAATATACCCACAAAACTTTGTAAAGAGGGAGACTTTTATTGCAATGGCTGTGGCCAGAGGCCGGGTTATTAAGGACATTTAAATGACGATAAGAGTTTATTTTATTTTGTCCTCAGTAACAGGGGGATTTAGACTTTCAGAAATAGAAGCAATGCCTCTTTAAGGCACAGAGTAGGTATAGCAGGCAGGAAAATACACATCTCTGGGGCCCAATACACATCTCTGGGGCCCAACACACATCTCTGGGGCCCAACACACATCTCTGGGGCCCAATAGACATCTCCAAGCCTACAGACACAGAACTCACAGGCAGCCCTACTGCCCTCCAAAAAGTTCTGTTTCTAGATCACGGATTTGGATCACGTGAGAGATTCCATAAACACACCTCTTGCTCTCTCTGTCTGCAATTAAACAAACACGTCAAGCACCATAACCACAACAGTGCGCTGTGCTGGTTACAGTAGCAGGAGTCCCCTGGCGCCCCCTATTGTAAGAAGTCAGACTGTTTTAGACTTTGGGTCGGGAGAGCTGTTGAAGCTGAATGGCCTGTACTCGGCATGTCTCAGGAAGTGCTCACATTGCTGTTACTGAGACCATTTCCCTGGAACAGCGGGTCCTAAACCCCAAATCAAGGATTGCTGTGAAGTATGAGTCAGGGGAGGGGAGAGTAGGCCAGAAACAATTTCGTACAGAGTAGGGAGGGATGCAATCAGTGTGAGAAGGAGGGAGGGGAGACACAAGCTTCCCCTTAAAGGCTCTGTGCACGCTGATGCCAAATGTAAAATATGCATTAGGCAATACAAAGTTCTGGGCTTCCCAAGTCACAGGTGCTGTTAGTGTAACTAGCCCCTGGCACACAAATGCCAATGCACATCCTAACTCCTACCTTTAAAAAGCAGTAGTGGTCATAGTGTTTGGAGCAGGGGTCAAGTCCTTGGGAATAAAGTGTGGGAACTCACCCAAGATCCACCCCCCCCCCCCAAAAAAATATATACACTTGTATGCATATATAAACATAGAAACATAGAATGTGACGACAGATAAGAACCATTCGGCCCATCTAGTCTGCCCAATTTTCTAAATACTTTCATTAGTCCCTGGCCTTATATTATAGTTAGGATAGCCTTATGTCTATCCCACGCATGCTTAAACTCCTTTACTGTGTTAATCTCTACCACTTCAGCTGGAAGGCTATTCCATGCATCCACTACCCTCTCAGTAAAGTAATACTTCCTGATATTATTTTTAAACCTTTGTCCCTCTAATTTAAGACTATGTCCTCTTGTTGTGGTAGTTTTTCTTCTTTTAAATATGGTCTCCTCCTTTACTTCGTTGATTCCCTTTATATATTTAAATGTTTCTATCATATCCCCCCTGTCTCGTCTTTCCTCTAGCTATACATGTTAAGATCCTTTAACCTTTCCTGGTAAGTTTTATCCTACAATCCATGAACCAGTTTAGTAGCAACTGTGCACACACACTGACAGGTGCACAAACACACTCAGACACACACATACACTCACAGACACACACACACACACACACTCATAAACACACAGATATACACAGATACACACTCACAAACACTAACAGACGTACACACACACACACTCACAGACACACACACTAACAGACACAACAAACATACACTCACACATAGACTCACAGACACACATAACTTATTATTACTTTATAAAATGTAAAAATGTCCACCCAGCCTCCCTACTTGGAGAGCTGGCGTGGACCTGTCCCTGGGGTCCAGTGGGGCTTCAGTGAGGCGGGCACCTGTCTCCCTGTCAGACGCGGCGAGGGAGCTGTGTCCTCTCTGCTCTGCTCCCTCTCGCCGCGCTGGCTGACTACTGAAGCTTGGAGCAGAGCAGAGAGAACACTGCTCATGTCTGACAGGGAGACAGGCGCCCGCCGGGGGGGTCCATCAGGCCACATCTGGGGCCCTCCCATGACAGGGGGTACACCGGGGGTATTTGGGAGCGGCATTTTTTGCCGCCCCCTGAGTGCCTGCAGGAGCAATGGTAACGGTGTTCCTGCACTTTTTTTACAGCAGGCAATTCCTGCAGGATTCGAGCCCTGGTTTGGAGTAAACCTTTAAGGCACAAATAAAATGGATGTTAATTTAAAAATGCATTGTTGTCTGCATTTCTTGGCAACCACCGCTTTTCACTACTCCAAGAAAACACCATTTAAAATCTGTGTAAATAGACATTTTACTGTGCCTGTAGTTAACTCTTGCAGGGTCGTAGGAAACCATTTATATTTTTATTATTTTTATTTTTATTATTTATATAGCGCTAGCTTATTCCGCAGCGCTTTACAATAAAAGGGGAATTTACCAAATGAGACAATAACAAAATGTAACAGGAACAATAGGTAGCTGAGGACCTGCTCAAACGAGCTTACAGTCTAGAGGAGGTGGGGTATAAACACAATAGGAAGGGTACTGAGGGAGACAGCAAATAGACATGGTGGGAAAGTAGCAGAACTGGAGGTGAGAGTGGAGTGTGGCCCTATAGGAGAAAGCGAGAGGAAGGTTTGGGGGAGAAGTTACTCTGGGAAGCCATAAGCAATCCTGAAAAGATGCGTTTTGAGGGACTTCTTAAAGGATTGAAGACTAGGGGAGAGTCTGACAGGGGTAGGCAGGCTGTTCCAAAAGAAAGGAGCCGCCCGTGAGAAGTCTTGCAGGCGTGAATTTGCAGTAAGGGTGCGAGCAGCAGACAGGAGAAGGTCACCAGTAGAACAGAGAGACCTATGAATCAGTGAAGGAATGTAAGAGGGGCTAGAGTTGGTTAGAGCTTTATAGGTAAAGGTTAGTATTTTAAATTGACACCTGTAGGATACAGGAAGCCAGTGTAAGGATCGACAGAGGGGTGAGGTGTGAGAGGAGCAAAAGGAGAGAAAGATCAGCCTGGCTGCAGCATTCACCACAAATTGTAGGGGGGCAGTACGGGTTCTGGGGAGACCAATTAGGAGAGAATTACAGTAATCGATGTGAGAGATTACTAGAGCATTAACAACGTCATCTTGCGTAAGAAAGGGGTGTATGCGGGCAATGTTTTTAAGTTGTAATCGAAAGGTTTTAGCAACAGACTGAACATGAGGTGCAAAGGTGAGGCCAAGATCAAAAGTGACACCAAGACAGCGAGCTTGAAAGGATGGGGTGAGGCAGGTACCGTTAACCTGCAGGGAGAGTGAAAGAGGAGGCTCAGTGTTAGGAGGAGGAAAGACAAGGAGCTCAGTTTTAGAGAGATTAAGTTTCAGAAAGCGGGAGGACATCCAATCAGAGATGGAAGAAAGGCAATTGGTGACACAGTTGTAGGACAGCAGGGGAGAAGTCAGGGGAGGGGAGATATATCTGGGTGTTGTCAGAGTACAGGTGGTAGTGGAATCCAAATGAATGAATGAGTTCGCCAAGTGTGCATACTTTGTGTATCTGCGTGTGTGTTACAGTGTGTGTGTGTGACAGTGTGTGTGAGCATAATCTCAGCATTCAAACGCCAACACAACTCACAAATACACCCCTGTATTCAAACTTCAACCAAACACACCTCTGTGTTAAACACCAAAATCCTATATAAACACACCCCTGCATTCAAAAACCAACACTACACATAAATGCATGCTTGCATTCCAACCCCAACAAACACACAAACACTGCTCAGTGCTACATACAACCCTGCAAGGATGGGAAAATGCTAGAGCCCACCCTTGCAACAATGGGACCAAAAACAATGATTGCACCAGGTCCCCCTATACTTTAGTTTTGCCACTGCATTAGGGTGGAGGTCATGCTTGCATGCCAGGGAGTGGCGGGGGGCAGGGTCCAGACGGCCCAGGCAAATGCTTGCCCTGGGTCCAATTAATATTAAAAACGGCCCTGTAGCCGACAGAGAATTTATCCAGATCGGCTCATTTGACTCTGAATTTTGAAATCCACTTTGAATTCATCTTGAATTCTCATTTTAGTGAATAACATTTTCACTTTTTAATGAATGATTCTGGCGAAGAATCAAATAGAACACTTCAAATAATAAATTCCAGTAATAATAATAATAATAATAATAATAATAATAATGATAATAATAATAATAATAATAATAATAATAATAATAATATTTGAGCTGCTAAAAGAGCAGAATGGCAGAAGGGATTCTGGTTGGGCTATTATTGGCCTTCCATGTGGAATTTTCTTGTCAATTCTCTACAATTCCCAATTCAGTGAATACAAACTTGTGTGTTGTATACTACAAAGCCTCTTTTAATGTGTTCTGTTACAGTTTTCCAAAGCAATAAGTTCATGAAAGCAGCCATATTCTTTGTATACTAGGCTGAAGCTGCACTATGTATCTAGAAATGATTCCATGTAGAATAGACTTCATTTACTCCTCTAAAAGTCTACTGAATCACTGAACTGATAAAAGTGGACTTTACAAAATATCTATATTTTACTCATAGATTTTGCTATCTGGGCACCTCATTCCAATCTGAGTAAAAATGTTTAAATCGACTTCTTTCTCTGCTTTGGTATGTAAGAAATAATGATAGATTGTTCTGATAATTCTACAAAAACTGCTCACGTTGTTTATCTTCTACAGTTTTTAAGATTCTCTTTGCAATAGGAAATACAGAAGTGAGCAATTTTGCCTGTAAACCACATCCTGAAATTCACCAAAAATGGGGGAGGGAGTGTGGCCACCCCGATGACACATTGCAGCTCGTGAAGAACCCTAAGTTGTTGCAAAGAATTAGAAAAGAATAGAGGGAGCAGATACACATAGCACAACTACGGCAGGTGTCGGACAGGTGATTCGTACAATTCAGAAGTAGAAAGACGAGACCAGTTAGGAGGTAACCAAATGACAATACGCCACACAGGCCAACGTAAAACTCGTGAAACCAATGATACACACAGTCATAGACAGAACAGGAAGTGACTCCACACATCAGTACGTTAAAACATAGGACATTTAGAACCTTTCACACACTTCAAGAGAAGACGTTCATAAAACCAAACTTTTAGAAAACTGATATCGGGGGGAAAAAAGCTTTGAGTGTCAGAAAAAAAAAAAAAACACTCGCCAACACCCATCTTTCTCATCTGGACTCCACTAAAGCACGACGTCCACGCACAGTCTGCCCCACCCTTGGAGTACCAGAGAATTACACGCATAAAGTGACACTTCAGTGATAGGACAAGATGTCGGACAATGAAGAAATCCAGACAGATGAGGGGAACGAGGCACAGACACTGGAAGAGAGCTTGGAGGAGACACAGAGGTAAGTCATGTATAAATACATCAACCTATATCAAAATATAGGTAGATTTTCATTATGTAGAACCATTTCTCTTTACAACATTGATTAAATGCATTTTATAAATATAGATTTTGAACAGTCTTTGGTTAACTTTATCATCCCAGATGTTTTAAAACTGCATTTCCCATGATACAGTGCTAGCCTAAACAGATTTCTCAAAATACCTGGTGGGCTGTGTTTATTCATCATTAGCCTCTGGTATGATGTAGGTTAATATTGGAGAGTTCTCGTTTCACAGCAACTCAGATTTTGTTACTTGGTCATAACTAAAAAGATTGCACAAAATCTCTGATTTATGTCATTTAGTACAAACAACACTGTCCTAAAACGATTCTCCACACATCTGGTATATGTGCTATCCAGCCTTGTGTAAGGATCTTGGCCAAATGTACTGCAAATGCTTTCAATCAAGCCCAATGGTTAATATATTGGATTACAGAATGACGGTTACACCATCAAGCAGTCCAGGGAGAGGCTGTGACTCAATCATTAAGCAGAGATGATTAGTGGTAGTCTTAAAGGGACAGTAATACTTAATAGTGAAATGTATTAATTTATATGTAAATGCTTGGCTTTCCTACCATGCTCTTATTCTGAAAGTGAAGACAGATTTATGTGAGTATGTGCTGAAATATTGCATTCATGTTTTATCTATTAAAGCCCTTAATCAGTTTTTGTTAAAAAAAATTAACCTGTAAAACCCTAGTTTTGGGTTAACCCTATTCAGAGCAACATTAACCAGAAGGCAATTTTAGGTGGCTGCCTCAGCCCAGGGGTCAGACAGAGGTCCCTGAACCATGAATTTACCTGGTCCCATTAACCACCCCAATGGGAAGATTGAAGAAGGGGCCCCAAACTGGTAACCTGTCTTGGACCCCCGGTGGAAAAAAAATGCCCTATTGAGCAATATGGAGAAGGTGTCCCCCGTCGCTTGCATTACAGCTTAAAATGAAAGAAGTTTTATTCAGCTGAATCCAGCACTGGGCAAAGCTCCCTGCACTGATATTCCACACCCCCTCCGACATCACTGTGGCCATGTGCTCATCGGGAATCCTGTGATTGGTCGGCTTCTCCGGCTCAGCGCTCAAGCGCATGTTCTTGGCGGTAAGGGGAGGGTTAAAAAAAATATATATACTGAGGGCAATGGAAGAAGATTTGTACGTCTGTTGTCAGTGTGCCGTGCGTAGTGACGACAGACACAGAATTGACATTGGCAGTGCCAACAAGCCCCCAGCACACAATTACAAATATATCAAACACTGCACATCCAGAATCAGACTACCATGACCACTTCAAAACACTGTAATGGTTCCCGTGGTTGGAGTAACCATTTCATTCTTTTCATGGAAGGCACTATGATCACTCTATGACCCCTAGACATGGCAGGGTCTATCCCAGGACTATCAAACTTTCTACCGCAGATTAGATCACTTTAGTTCGTCTTAATTTTCTTTATCTCGGGCTGATACAATACTACTATGAGAGTCACTGTATTCACGGTCATCTGAATAGAAACCGCACTGAGCAGAATGGTTTCCTGCTATCTTCAAATGGATCTGATTGCTGCTGAGAGGTTCATTTGAAGATATCTTGAACCAATTACAATCAAATTGCAACTGAACTACAACTACATGGCAGCCGTGCTTTCCTGAATTCACTTAAAAAGGGCGATTGACGAGAAGCAGATACCGGGTATGTCTGGCTTGCAGCAACTATAGTATTGATAACACGTGAGTGTTTAATCTGAATTCCTGTGCACTGTAAACAGTATCCCACTAGCAGGGTTACTCCTCAGAAAAAGGGAGAATTGAAGGTGAATTCAAAATGTATTTCAAATATAAGGCGAAACTGGAAGCATAGTTGAGTTAGAGAATGTATCCTGTTTGGTTATTTCAACCTTAAAGTGGAACTATGCATAAACTGTAAAGACCCCAGACAGTGACATTTCCGCTGGGGGTACGGTGGCCAGAGGGGGGCAGGGAAAGGTGAGCTCTCTTTACCTGAACCTGTCCCTCGTGGTGCCAGGAGCCAATTCTGCATGCGCAGAGGTCTACAGAGGAACTCACAAGGCCACGGGATCCTCCATAGATAGAACCAATTCCCTGCAGCCGTCACTGGTGACATTTCTTGACGGTGGTAGCTCCGTCCAGTGTTTAGAAGCAGCAGACATAGTTGTCCCTACATTGGCTCAGTATGTCTTTTAACCAAGATATGAGTATTATACGCATATTCTATTGAGATTTTATAGATTTAAATTTGAAATTCACTTTGAGTTCTCACCTTAGTGAATAACCCCGAGAGTATAAAATTGTTCCATTTAAACTTTGTAAACCGTGTTTTTCATAAGAATAAATAAGAAAATTGATATTTTGATGTTGAGTTAGGAACCTTCAGTGGCTCACATTTATACTGCTATGAAGTTTCTATAAAGACTATGGGTTCCAAGGGAGCAGCAACATTAGAAGTATATCCTTTTGATTTTACCAAGCAGTGTTAATGGGTCACTCCAACCAACAATCAGTGTATTCGTCTTTACGCTGGTTTTTAAATTGATCATCTCAACCAATCCAATGCAAACACCACATTCCCCATTAACTCAGCTCTATATAATTTGCTATCCGACTTCTCCTTCAAGCCTCATGTTTAGTCTATCGCGAAATCCTGCCGCTTCCATCTCAAAAACATTGCAAGCATCCGCCCCTACTTAACGCCAGATGCGACTAAGGTGTTGGTCCATTCCACTGTCCTTTCTCACCTTGACTACTGTAATCCGCTTCTCAGTGGTCTTACGTGCTCCCAACTTGCGCCGTTACAGTCCATAATGAATGCGGCGGCGAGGCTCATCTTCCTGTCCGCCGGCACCTCCCATGCCTCACCCATCTGTCAGTCCCTACATTGGCTTCCTATAAAATATAGAGCTCAATTTAAAAATCTGGTTCTTGCTTTCAAATGTCTATATAATGCTGTTCCCACCTATCTATCTTCCCTTATACACAAGTATGTCCAGTCTAGGCCCTTACGATCTGCTGAAGACGTACGTCTATCTTCTGTCTGTACTCCCACCTCTGATGCTAGCCTTCAAGATTTCTCGAGGGCTGCACCGTTCCTGTGGAACTCACTCCCCTCCTCCGTTAGATGCTCACCCAGTCTCCACTCCTTCAAAAAATCATTAAAAACCCACTTCTTCATAAAAGCATATCAATTAAACTGTTAATAGCTCCCAACTGATTCCTCTCTTGCAACTGTCATTAGTCTAATACTATCCTTACCTTTTGTGTCATTTTACCCCACTCCATCTAGCATTTAAACTCACTGAGCAGGGCCCTCAATCCCTCTGTTACTGTGTCACTATACCCCACTCCCTCTAACATGTAAACTCACTGAGCAGGGTCCTTAATCCCTCTGTTACTGTGTCACCATACCCCACTCCCTCAACATGTAAGCTCACTGAGCAGGGCCTCAATCCCTCTGTTACTGTCACTATATCCCACTCCCTCTAACATGTAAACTCACTGAGCAGGCCCTCAATCCCTCTGTTACTGTGTCACTATACCCCACTCCCTCTAACATGTAAACTCACTGAGCAGGGCTCTCAATCCCTCTGTTACTGTGTCACTATACCCCACTCCCTCTAACATGTAAACTCACTGAGCAGGGCCCTCAATCCCTCTGTTACTGTGTCACTATACCCCGCTCCCTCTAACATGTAAACTCACTGAGCAGGACCCTCAATCCCTCTGTTACTGTGTCACTATACCCCACTCCCTCTAACATGTAAACTCACTGATCAGGTCCCTCAATCCCTCTGTTACTGTGTCACTATACCCCACTCCCTCTAACATGTAAACTCACTGAGCAGGCCCTCAATCCCTCTGTTACTGTGTCACTATACCCCACTCCCTCTAACGTGTAAACTCACTGAGCAGGGCCTCCATCCCTCTGTTACTGTGTCACTATACCCCACTCCCTCTAACATGTAAACTCACTGAGCAGGCCCTCGATCCCTCTGTTACTGTGTCACTATACCCCACTCCCTCTAACATGTAAACTCACTGAGCAGGCCCTCAATCCCTCTGTTACTGTGTCACTATACCCCACTCCCTCTAACATGTAAACTCACTGAGCAGGGCCCTCAATACCTCTGTTACTGTGTGTCCAACTTGTCTGGTTACAACCACATGTTTGTTCGTCCACCCATTGTAAAGCTCTGTGGAATTTATTGGCGCTATATAAATAATAACATAATAATAATAATAATAATAATAATAATAATAATAGTAATGTGTTTATGTGGTTTGTTCTCCAAACTGGAAACTGGAAATTGTTATTTTTGGACAAAATATAAAAAAAATTAAATTTAATTTTTACTTTTCAACAGTTCACAATTTGAGGAATATTGTTTGTTTAGAATCCACCCTGAATTAGACAATGATACATTTTGTTTTATCACACAGCATTTTCTGTTTTTGCATTCTATGACTGGAGGTTCAATAAGAGCCACTTTATCGGCAGGGCTTTGTCAGAGTGCTGGATCCATCTCACGTGGTCCCCAGAAACCGCTCCTGAGAACAAAATGAGCAATGAGTGTCTGCAGTACGGTGAAGCCCTGCTCTTCGGTGAAAGAGTCAGTTTGTGGGAGGATCACAGGTCAACGCCTGCACTGACGAAATACTCATTTTACACACACACGCTGTTGATGCTTTTTGTCAGCGGTGTTGCAGAATGGCAGAACAGATTTCGTTAGTTCTTTCCCAATAGATCACACTTAGCAAATTGGGTTTCTTATTTTATGGGTATCAGTGTAAATATACTCTATTGCCAAAAATGGCTTCCTCACACTGTTTTAAGATTTAAAATCAAAATAGCCGAAATTGAGTAATTCTCAAAGTCGGCTGCATTGGCCTTAGATGTGAAATTCTCACTTTCTATAATCCTATTCAAGTAAGGACGCTATGCTAGATTTTACCTTATAGCTCTAATTAAGTTAAGGGGAACCAGTGACCTGACATCCCTTCTCTCAATCTGTTTTGTGTCGTTTTAGGAAGTTGGTTCACTGAGTGAAATCTGTCTGCGAGTAGTACCCTATCTGTCCCAAACTTTAACATACCTCCCAACATTTCAAATGGACAAAAAAAAAGGACACCTCAACTTCAGGAGTTTGATTGGGGTGTGTGGCCAGGGCGGGGCTGTTCTGAGACATTTTAGGTGACTTACTAATAACAATTTTATTGCTGTGGGGCTCTGTTATACACTCAGACACATTACTGGGAGTATTATTGCTGTGGAGCTCTGTTATACACTCAGACACATTACTGGGAATATTATTGCTGTGGAGCTCTGTTATACACTCAGACACATTACTGGGAATATTATTGCTGTGGAGCTCTGTTATACACTCAGACACATTACTGGGAGTATTATTGCTGTGGAGCTCTGTTATACACCCAGACACATTACTGGGAATATTATTGCTGTGGAGCTCTGTTATACACTCAGACACATTACTGGGAGTATTATTGCTGTGGAGCTCTGTTATACACACAGACATTACTGGGAGTGTTATTACTGTGGGGCTCTGTTATACACTGAGACATTACTGGGAGTATTATTGCTGTGGAGCTCTGTTATACACTCAGACACATTACTGTGGGGCTCTGTTATACACTCAGGCACATTACTGGGAGGTTTATTACCATGGAGCTCTGTTATACACATTACTGGGAGTATTATTGCTGTGGAGTTCTGTTATACACCCAGACACATTACTGGGAGTATTATGGCTGTGGAGCTCTGTTATACACATTACTGGGAGTATTATTGCTGTGGAGTTCTGTTATACACTCAGACACATTACTGGGAGTATTATTGCTGTGGAGCTCTGTTATACACCCAGACACATTACTGGGAGTATTATGGCTGTGGAGCTCTGTTATACACATTACTGGGAGTATTATTGCTGTGGAGTTCTGTTATACACTCAGACACATTACTGGGAGTATTATTGCTGTGGAGCTCTGTTATACACTAAGACACATTACTGGGAGTATTATTGCTGTGGAGTTCTGTTATACACTCAGACACATTACTGGGAGTATTATTGCCATGGGGCTCTGTTATACACTCAGACACACCAATAAACTAGTGTTCCTAGAAAAGAGGGAAATTAGGATAGAAAAGGGGGACAGATGGATTTGGGCACATAATAGGGACTGTCCCTCCTAAATACGGACACAAAATATTGATATATTCTTTAGAGATATCAACTCATTAGCATTTTGCACCAGTTTTTGCCTTGATAAATGTAGTTCTATATGAATTTTGAAGTGAAAATGCTCATATACTGTTTGTTAAAGGACCACTATAGGCACCCAGACCACTTCAACTTAATGATGTGGTCTGGGTGCCAGGTCCACCTTTCTGCTGTACACATAGCATTTTCAGATAAACTGCTATGTTCACTTTAGGGTTAATCCAGCCTTTAGTGGCTGTCTCATTGATTTTCACAGTGAGAAGATGCCAGCGTCCATAGGAAAGCATTGAGATTGCAGCTCTTGCCGCGCATGCGCATTCAGACGATGACGGGGAAAGGAGGAGGAGAGTAAGTGTTTAACCCCTTCCTCTCCAACCAGCCCGGCAGGAGTGGGACCCTGAGGGCACAACCTAATCCCCGAGGCACACCTGTGAGTCCTGCAGGAACACGTGGGAACACCGTTCCCTCTGTTCCTGCAGGCACTCTGCTGCCCCCAAATGACCTCCTCCTCCCCCCGTGTTCCTCCTGTCATGGGGGGGGGAGCAAGAGGTGATGGACCCCCCCCAGTTAGGCGCCTATCTCCATACAACAAGCGGCGAGGGAGATGTGTGCTCTCTGCTTCCTCTCACTGCGCGCCGTTTGATGATGGCGGGAGACAGAATATGACGTCATATTCCAGCTCCCAGCTACAGCATACAGCCCGCGCGGTGAGAGGAAGCAGAGAGCACACAGCTCCCTCGCCGCTTGTTGTATGGAGATAGGCACCCGACCCACTGGACCCCAGGGACAAGTCCACGCTAGCTCTCCAGGTAGGACAATTTTTAATAAAAAAATAATTTGTGAATGTGTGTGTGTGTCTGTAAGTGTGTGTGTATGTCTGTGAATGTATGTGTGTGTCTGTAAGTGTGTGTCTGAGTATATGTACGCGTATATATATATATATATATATATATATATATATATTCACACAAGTGTATATAATTTTTTTGGGGGGGTGGGAATCTTGGGAGAGTTCCCCCACTTTATTCCCCAGGACTTGACCCCTGCCGGCAGGGGAGATCTCCGGATCTCCCTGTCGGCTCATGCAGAGCTGGCGCTATCTGAGTTCCGGCTCTGCTCTAAGCCTCCATGGGCCGGCGGGGAGATCAAAGATCTACCTCACCAGCCCACAGCAGCATGGAGGGAGGCAGGAGAGGACCCGGGGAGCTCTAGACAGAAGCTCCACCAGGTTCCTCTCGCGAGATCTGAGCGTTGCCGCGGCAGGCTAGAGTTCACTCTCCCTTGGACATCAAGGATCCTACTGGTGGAGCAAAGAACACTTTACACAATTTCCCCAGAAATTGTAGCTTTTCTAGTTTATTTATATAGCACATTTAATTGCAACGTTGTTGCCCAAAGTGCCTCACAGTTAATTAAACCATACATTTATAAAAACATTAGCAGGTGTTCAAAAGGCCCTGTCTATGACATCACTTGCTGCTGCAGCCTGACACAGGTCAGAGTATTTTGGCAGTTGCCATCTTCAAACGGTCGTATTTTAAAAACTATAACTCCTACAGTGAAGAGCTTTATATTGTGAGAATCACAAGACCCAGACCTACATTTTGATGCATAGTATGTCTCTGAAGTATTAAAAATGAAGGCACAGTGGCAGTTTAGAAATTGCACTTCAAATTTGAGCTTTGTAGAGTGAAGTTTCAATGAATGTCAATGGACAGCGTAAGTTGCAAACAAATGGTCATATTGTGAAAACCATCAGGACTACGGCTTAGCCGTTGACATGTTTAGTGGCAGCAGGGATAGCTGAACGTTTTGATATAAGATTTGTGTAGGTGGTCCTGAAAATAAGGGAGTGGTGGCAGTTTAGAAATCATGTCCTGATTTTTCAGCTTTTGCCAGCTCCCCCTCTAGTTTTGAACATTTTGCCATTCATTCCTATGGGACCAATTTCGCCACAAGAACGACGATATTCCGTGAACCATTCGGCGAAACGTTCCACAAAGTAATAACAATCCAATCGGGAACAATCCGCATGTTTCGGTATATTTCTGTCTATGTAGTGTAAAAACTGTGGGAGGAGTTAGGGTGGTAAATTTGGCTATAATAATAAATAATAATAATAACTAGAAAAGCTACAATTTCTGGGGAAATTGTGTGAAGTGTTCTTGCCTGCACCAGTAGTCTGTAACTGGAGTGGGCGGATTAACTGTTATCATTTATATAGCACATTTAATTGCAACGATGTTGCACAGTTACATTAAACCATACATTTATAAAAACATTAGCAGGTGTTCAAAAGGCCCTGTCTATGACATCACTTGCTGCTGCAGCATTGACAGGTTAGAGTATTTTGGTGGTTGCCATCTTCAAACGGTCGTATTTTAAAAACTATAACTCCTACAGTGAAGAGCTTTATATTGTGGGAATCACAAGACCCAGACCTACATTTTGATGCATAGTATGTCGCTGAAGTATTAAAAATGAAGGCACAGTCGCAGTTTAGAAATTGCCCTTCAAGTTTGAGCTGGCTTGAGTGAAGTTTCAATGAATGTCAATGGAAGGCGTGAGTTGCAAACAAATGGTCATATTGTGAAAACTATCAGGACTATGGCTTAGCCGTTGACATGTTTAGTGGCAGCAGGGATAGCTGAACGTTTTGATATAAGATTTGTGTAGGTGGGCCTGAAAATAAGGGAGTGGTGGCAGTTTAGAAATCATGTCCCGATTTTTCAGCTTTTGGCAGCTCCCACTCTAGCTTTGCCATTCATTCCTATGGGACAAATTGCGCCACAAAAACGACGATATTCCGTGAACCATTCGGCGAAACGCTCCACAAAGTAATAGCAATCCGATCGGGAACAATCTGCACGTTTTGGTAAATTTTGGTCTATGTAGTGTAAAAACTGTGGGAGGAGTTAGGGTGGCAAATTTTGCTATAATAATAAGAATAAGAATAATAATAATAATATATATGTGAGATAACATTAAGTGGTCTTGCTATGCAAGAACACTTAATAATAATAATAATAATAATAATATATGTGAGATAACATTAAGTGGTCTTGCTATGCAAGAACACTTAATGAAAGGCACCCGAACAAGCAGTGGTTCTGCCACAGTCTGTCTGTGTGTGTCTGGTGTGTGTGTCTGGTATGTGTCTGTCTGGTGTGTGTGTCTGGTATGTGTCTGTCTGGTGTGTGTGTGTCTGTATGTCGTGTCTGCCTGCCTGGTGTCTGTCTGTCTGGTGTGTCTGCCTGTCTGTCGTATCTGTCTGTCTGGTGTGTGTCTGTCTGGTGCGTGTGTCTGTCTCTCTTTGTCTACATGGGTATGTTTGTATGTGTATCTGAATGTTTGCCATTATGTGTGTCTGTGTATCTACATGTGTGTCTATATGTGTATCTGTTTGTCTGCATATGTGTCTGTATGTGTATTTTTTTTTGCACGTGTGTCTGTATGTGTATCTTTTTGTCTGCATGTGTATCTGCAAGTGTGTCAGTGTGTTCCCCTATGTATCTGCATGTGTGTCACTGTTTATGTTTGTTTGTCCACCCACTGTAAAGCGCTCAGGAATTTGTTGGCGCTATATAAATAATATCATAATAATAATAATAATAATAATAATATCTGTATGAGTGCCATTCTATGTATGTCCATCTGCATGTGTGTCTACATGTTTGTCTGTCTGTATGTGTGTCTGTGCATCTGTATGTGTGTCAGTGTTTGTATCTGTAGTAGTGTCATTCTGTGTATCTGAATGTGTGTCATTCTGTGTATCTGTGTATGTATCTGTATGTGTTATACAAATCAGGGGGGAGATGCATGTGGGGCCCCAGTGCACTTTTTGCACCGGGGCCCTGTGGTTTCTAGTTACGCCTCTGGATCATGCCATTGTACAGAACACTGGTGAGACCTCACTTGGAGTATTGTACGCAATACTGGAGACCATATCTTCAGAAGGATATTGATACCTTAGAGAGAGTTCAGAGAAGGACTACTAAACTGGTTCATGGATTGCGAGATAAAACTTACCAGGAAAGGTTAAAGGATCTTAACATGTATAGCTTGGAGGAAAGACGAGACAGGGGGGATATGATAGAAACATTTAAATATATAAAGGGAATCAACACAGTAAAGGAGGAGACTATATTTAAAAGAAGAAAAACTACCACAACAAGAGGACATAGTCTTAAATTAGAGGGACAAAGGTTTAAAAATAATATCAGGAAGTATTACTTTACTGAGAGGGTAGTGGATGCATGGAATAGCCTTCCAGCTGAAGTGGTAGAGGTTAACACAGTAAAGGAGTTTAAGCATGCGTGGGATGGGCATAAGGCTATCCTAACTATAAGATAAGGCCAGGTACTAATGAAAGTATTTAGAAAATTGGGCAGACTAGATGGGCCGAATGGTTCTTATCTGCCATCACATTCTATGTTTCTATGTTTTTTAGACCAGCCTCCATTCGCCTGTGTGCATTTCTCATTCATTTTTTTTTTTAAGTGAATGAGCGACAATGCTGCATGTTAAAGGGAAACGATAGTGCCAGGAATACAAAGTTGTTTTCCTAGCACTATAACTCCCAATAGTGCCCCCCTCCATCTCAATAAACTGCAGTAATTACCATTGCGGGGTTAAGGGACCTGGGACATTGCTCTCAGACTACGTCAATGAGATGAAGTGTCCTGGGTGCCTATAATGTCCCTTTAAAGGCTGAACGTGATGGACAAGTCTCTTTTTAGCTAGCTTCGTAACTATGTGTGAGCATCGGATTGCCACATCAATGGTTGATTTAAGTAAAAATCTTTAGAAATACACCATTTACTAGTGCTATATCTTGACTGATGCAGCCCCGAAGCATGCGTGAAATCTCGGCAGTATCCCATTGATTTCTTAGGACAAATGAGTGAGCAAAGGATTCTGGGATTTTGCAGCCACCAGGTTTGTGTTTAAAATCCCCGATTTATTATTGGTAATAAAAGTGGAGCAACAAGGGTTGTTATTTAACCAAATACAATGGGATAACGTATATTAAGAATAGGAAAATGTAATAGGATTCAAAATTGTCCTATAGCATTATTTTCTCTATAAAGTAGTATTTTAGTTACCTCTAGATATACATTGTATTTACCAACCAGGGTTCACTAAACTGAGAATTTAAAGTGAATTCGAAGTGAGTTGCAGAATTTAAGTTCCAAATAGTTAAACTGGAAACATTCTCTTCAGTTGTGCTTTTATTGTGGCTACTGTGGCCTTCAATCAGAAATTCTTACCTTAGTACATGGTCCTGTGTATTGATTGCTGTGTATGTTATGCAGGGCCAGTGGCCGATCCAGGGGGGAGGGGGCAAGGGGCAATTGCCCCCCCCAGAGATTCTCCTCTGCCGGGTAATGCAAGGCTGGCACCGTCCAAGTGCCGGCTGTGCAATGTGCCTGTGGACCGGAGGGGAGATCAGAGATCTCCCTCCCCAGTCCACAGGCACCGTGCTGGCAGCACGGTGTGAGGAACATATGGGCTGTACTGGGAGTGTGTGTGAGGAACATAGGGGCTGTACTGAGAGTGTATGTGAGGAACATAGGGGCTGTATTGAGAGTGCGTGTGAGGAACATAGGGGCTGTATTGAGAGTGCGTGTGAGGAACATAGGGGCTGTATTGAGAGTGTGTGAGGAACATAGGCTGCACTGAGAGTGTGTGTGAGGAACATAGGGGCTGTACTGAGAGTGTGTGTGAGGAACATAGGGGCTGTACTGAAAGTGTGTGTGTGAGGAACATAGGGGCTGTACTGAAAGTGTGTGTGTGAGGAACATAGGGACTGTACTGAAAATGTGTGTGTGAGGAACATAGGGGCTGTACTGAGAGTGTGTGAGGAACATAGGGACTGTACTGAGAGTGTGTGGCAGGAACATAGGCGCTGTACTGAGAGTGTGTGTGTGAGGAACATAGGGGCTGCACTGAGAGTGTGTGTGTGTGTGTGTGAGGAACATAGGGGCTGCACTGAGTGTGTGTGTGTGTGGGGAACATAGGGGCTGTACTGAGAGTGTGTGTGTGAGGAACATAGGGGCTGTACTGAGAGTGTGTGTGTGTGAGGAACATAGGGGCTGTACTGAGAGTGTGTGTGTGAGGAACATAGGGGCTGTACTGAGAGTGTGTGTGTGAGGAACATAGGGGCTGTACTGAGAGTGTGTGTGAGGAACTTAGGGGCTGTACTGAGAGTGTGTGTGAGGAACATAGGGGCTGTACTGAGAGTGTGTGTGAGGAACATAGGGGCTGCACTGAGAGTGTGTGTGAGGAACATAGGGGCTGTAGTGTGTATGGAAAGAAGAGGGGCTGTATTTACCTGTGAATGTATCAATCTGTCTGGAATTTACCTGTGAATGTATCTGTGAAGGAATAACCCCATAATTTTCGGCTCCTTTCGCAGAAACGGATTTATGTTAATTTTGTACGTTATTTGGTTCTGTTTCCGAACAAAGACAACCCCATTAGAATGTGGAACGTTGAGTATCTTGTACGAAAACCGCAACGGAACTAATTAATAGAATGCCCCACTGGGTGGCTGCAATTTAGTGCAAGCGAAAGCACGTGCTCAGGACAATGGATGGTGGCCATCTTGTCTCCCAAATGCAGGCAGCGGGACTTGGTCATCGAGTGCCTGGAACTCATTTCGGCCAGGCACTCCTGCAAACACCGGTCACCAGCTGAGTTTGAGGATTTCCCATTTTGTGCTAAAATTTTCTGTAGTTGGTTCCAGTTTAGTGAATTTTTTGTCTGTTTAATACAATGAATAAGGAGAATATTTGATAGAGTCCTAACCTCAACATTTGAGGAAAGGGATTTAGGGGTGATTATTTCTGATGAATTAAAGGTAGGCAGACAATGTAATAGAGCAGCAGGAAATGCTAGCAGAATGCTTGGTTGTATAGGGAGAGGTATTAGCAGTAGAAAGAGGGAAGTGCTCATGCCATTGTACAGAACACTGGTGAGACCTCACTTGGAGTATTGTACACAGTACTGGAGACCGTATCTTCAGAAGGATATTGATACCTTAGAGAGGGTTCAGAGAAGGGCTACTAAACTGGTTCATGGATTGCGGGATAAAACTTACCAGGAAAGGTTAAAGGATCTTAACATGTATAGTGTAGCGGATCGGCAGTATTAAATCCACGAATTCCACTGGTTCAGGAAGTAATCCACAGTCAAGTGCTGAAAAGCAAGGCAATATCCCAAGGTCTTTATTTGCATCTCCACAATTTATACAATTCCCCATGCAAGGGGTTTCCTGAGTTCCATCCCAGGGGCATTCCCAGAGTGGACTACATGGGGAACTTACATTACAGAGCCTTTCTCCCATCAGGCACTGCTGCACGAGAGGGATCCTCCCACTAGAATATACCGTTAAGTGGATTTTCCCTCCGTGCAGCAGAACCGGCAATTTATATTAAAATACACAACTTTTCGAATATTCAGTCTATTTGCACGAATGGACGTTCGGTAGATAGCTGGGGTCTGAGCGTGTCATTCGTGAGATTACCGCTCAGATCCCAGCTAAAACAACCGAACGCCGCATGAAAAACACATTCATTAAAATATATATTCAAAAGACCGATTGAAGTCTAGGGAACATAATACCGAACGGCCCGGAACTCCCGAACGGCCTGGAAGCTCAGCGGTGTTCACGCCGTCGAGTAGCCGTTTTTAGTACCATGCGCTCGACGACCAAACACCGCTGAGGGAACAAAGGATCCAAGATGGCCGACCGCCGCATGGTCGGTAGTCGAACGGCGGCCACCTAGGAGAGCCTCTAATTACCGATTGCAACATTGTTGCAATCGGTTAACAAGCGCCACGCGTCTCTAAGTGTGTGGGCTATACATGGTGGTTATTTCGGTTCACGAACGGCCCGCAAAGGTGCCATTCGTGAAACGAAATAAAATACAGCTATCTGCATTCGGCAGATAGCCAATACAGGAAACACACGGTATTACAGCCAGCATACATTATACTTAGTTAAATGCATATCCCCACAGACATACAGGCAACCCTTAAAGGCACAGTCTCTTTATATTGTCCAAGTGGCTAGGTTTGCCACATATAGCTTGTAGGAAAGACGAAACAGAGGGGATATGATAGAAACATTTAAATACATAAAGGGAATCAACACAGTAAAGGAGGAGACTATATTTAAAAGAAGAAAAACTACCACAACAAGAGGACATAGTCTTAAATTAGAGGGGCAAAAGGTTTAAAAATAATATCAGGAAGTATTACTTTACTGAGAGGGTAGTGGATGCATGGAATAGCCTTCAGCTGAAGTGGTAGAGGTTAACACAGTAAAGGAGTTTAAGCATGCGTGGGATAGGCATAAGGCTATCCTAACTATAAGATAAGGCTAGGGACTAATGAAAGTATTTAGAAAATTGGGCAGACTAGATGGGCCGAATGGTTCTTATCTGCCGTCACATTCTATGTTTCTATGTTTCTAGAAGAAAGCTTTACAACATGGAAGTACTAGACTGTGTACCTTTAACCCCTTAAGGACCAAACTTCTGGAATAAAAGGGAATCATGACATGTCACACGTCATGTGTCCTTAAGGGGTTAATCTGTAGCCTGTAAACCCCCCCCCCCCTCCGACTTGTTTTAGAACCCGCTAGCTGATGAATCTGGAGTTAGAAACTTTGTGAATTGCTATTTATGTTCCATCAGCCACTCGTTTCCCAAGAATAGGATGAGGACTGACAGTGTTTACTGCCCGTTGCGTACAGAACAGGGGGATCTTTAGAGATTACTTGCAGGGTTAAATATAGAGAGAATTGTTGAAAATTCCAAGCGTGTTTCAATTTAAGGCCAAACTACCTGAACCGGAACAGCTGAATTGGATAATTATTCCACTTTGAATACTTTTGCCTTTAATTTTAAATTCACTTTTAGTTAATGGCAATTCTCACTTAAGTAAATAACTATTCATTCAGAATGTATATTGGTTAAAGAACTGCAGGGTGTATGTGAAACATTAATATATCTGTGTATACTTAGTGTGCCATGAGGTATAAGCTACATACACTATTGTGGTATACACGGGAGGATGTCCTAAAATATTAATATATCTGTGTATACTTAGTGTGCCATGAGGTATAAGCTACGTACACTATTGTGGTATACACGGCAGGATGTCCTAAAATATTAATATATCTGTGTATATTTAGTGTGCCATGAGGTATAAGCTACATACACTATTGTGGTATACACGGCAGGTTGTCCTAAAATATTAATATATCTGTGTATATTTAGTGTGCCTTGAGGTATAAGCTACGTACACTATTGTGGTATACACGGCAGGATGTCCTAAAATATTAATATATCTGTGTATACTTAGTGTGCCATGAGGTATAAGCTACGTACACTATTGTGGTATACACATCAGGATGTCTGTGGGTGGCTTGAGATGAATAAACAGGACACAGAGATACATCTGGATACCCCCTGCCCCCTCCCCTCCTCCCCCCGAACTGACAATGCCACCATTAACCCTTTTAATAAGCATTTTGCAAGGTAGGTAGGTATACTGACAGAGTTATTCACCACAGTGTGAATTGTAGGGACTTTAATTTAAATTCCAACAGGGTTAGTCACTAAACAATACATATAAGGAATCAAATCTAATTTGTAAACCTAAGGCTAAACTACCTGATTTGTCCAAAATCTCCAACTCCGCTCTAATCACAGCTCGGCTTTTTTAGTCTTCATTTTGCTGTTCGACTTTAAATTGCTAGTATTCGGGGTTTCTTGAATAACGCTGTAAATTTTAGACTAAAATAGCCAAATTAATTAAAAGGGCTAACATGGACTTTTTTTTTTTCACTTCACCAGTTTTGATTTCTCAACAATTGACACTTTTGTGAATATACCCATGTACGGCGCTACATAAATAAATAATAATAATGTACGGCTCCCATCATTGACCCATTGCTTGCCTCCTGCTCTGTCTTGAAAGACGATTTACTAAACCATAAATTGAAGAGAATTGGCAAAGGAAACAAAATGAACGATTTAAATTTTTTTTTTCCAAATCAGCTATTTTTCCAGTTTAGCTATTTTGGCATAAAATTCCCTGGTAGGTTCACACAATTCCAGAATTAGTGTATAACCCCATGTGTATGTAATGTATTGATGATCATAAACCGTCAGAATAATGAGTGTATTTACGGAGATTTAGTATTGTGGATATGATCCGGATATACTTTATATAACATTATCTATGGCAGTTTGCCATTCCAAGACGTCGCAATATTTCAGATATTTAAATTATTATTCTTCAGCTTATAACGGAGTTTCTAAGAGTCACAGCACCCTGATCCTATTTAATTCCTATACTTAGTAACGTCTCTCTCTGAGGTATGCATGGATTTTTTGGAAGGGGCAGTTTAAGGAGATGCTGAGGCATTGGGGACATCTGTGTTTGGCAGTGACAGACGGTGACACAAGTGTTGGCGGCAGTGGTAACTTGCCAGCTCTGCAGATCTGAACTTTGCGTCCTTACAAGGAGAGGGGACCAGGTGATAGGAGGTGGAGTTAGGAGATACTTAAATGTTTGACTTGATGGGTAAGATTCTAAAATTTCCTCCTGCGACCCATACTCTAACTGGTTTCTATGTTGTGGTACAGCTCAAAAAAGTCATAAACAAGCATAGATTGTAAGCTCTTCGGGTTAAGGATTCTATTCTAATGGAATGTCCATTATTATTATTTTATAACATTCTTGTTATCATTTTATTAATCTGTTAGGGTTTTTTTTCAGTGGAAGTACAATTATTTCTTAAACAGAAGTCAATAAATGGTTCAAAGATAAAATTAAAATCAATAAAAAAAACAAAAACCTTATTTTGGTGGTAGGGCTGTTTCTATTTATCTCTAAGTAACATACATAAATGATCTCACATAATTAAAATGCACTGAATGCAGCGATTTATCTGAGTCTGTTGAATGTGTCACAGCCAATAATAAGGCCTTGATTAAACGTGAAAAAGAAGCTGCCTTTCTGGGGAGAATTACCCCAGGAACGGTAAAAATATATCATATATGTTTTTTACAGTGCTTAGAACACAGTTTGGTGTATTTGCCCTTTTGGGAGAGGCTGGAGAAGGGGGGGGGGGGGTTCCTTTTCAGGATTACTTTATGTCACACACAGAGGGATGGCCATTTATCATGGACCAGTGATGACTCATGGGGCATGTTATAAAAGCCAATGCCATCAAACATCACACGTCAACTTTCCTTCTAGGCAGGACAGGGTTAAGAGGGTATTGCCGTTCTTTTCCCAAACAGATGGTAATGTTTAAAAAAGAATAAGGCACTAATACATCACTTTTGTTCAGAGCAGCTGTCCCAATCGACTGGGCTGGAGCAGAATAACTAAGTAGCTTCAGTCTCTCCTCTCAAGGAATTTCTGGGATATTTTGAAAATCCCCTTCTGTTTCTCTCCCCCCACCCCATCAGAAGAGAAATGCTCTGGGTGTTACAAACTAAATGAAAGAAAGCAGGTCTTTGGGAACATTTAAAATGTTTGGTGATGGATAGGTCCCCATCTAAAGAATTGCTCTTATATCTAATAAGGTGGCCTGCTTTACCATGTAGCCTGTTCCGAAACAACAAGTTGCCGTTGCCTTGAGAAGTAATTTGCAAAATGAACTTAAAAGAACAGATGCGATTTTTATTTCTTCAAATCTGTTACTTTGTTCAGTTTGGTAAATTGGTTCCCATGTTAATACCAAGTGTTCGGTTATCCCCCCCTCCCTAAGTATGTAAACATGCCGCGATAGGAGGTTATTATAAAGTGAGCGATCTTAGTAACTGGCGACAATGACATCGCTCTGTAATCGTCACATTCGCCACGTTATCCTGGACACATATTGAACACGTTGAACTCCTTTACTTCATTCAGCTGCTAAAGTGCTTTAGGGGTGGGTTAACCGCATGATACTGACGTTGTCTTATTGTACAAAAGTGCTGATTTCAAGAGAAATAAACCCTCTCGGTGATACCTCGTGATCATCAACCAAAGCAGACAGCTTCGCTCAAAGTGGAAGTAAGGGCTTCTAATAGCGATGCATTGTTTCAGAGTTTCTCTATGAGCAGATCACGCCTGTTGGAACGTATTCAGATCATTTTTTACAGAAGCCCAGAGAGGCAACTTATTTTTCAGTTAGATAAAATATACGCCTATCTGAGCTTCCGTATATTCTTTGTATTTTCCAGCATGCATTTGTTGTATAAATACACACAATTTGTGTTTACCTGATCTGTAGCCAGGAGATTAAGTCAGGATTGAGTCAGTTCTAGTAACTCACTTTATGTAGCAAGTTTCACTAGTAACTGACTTTCCTGGTGATTCTAACTTATACTGACATTGACTATCAGTCATCCGTAATGTCTAAACCTCATTAATCATATTATAACCACTGCCGCGTTAGTTTAATTAACTAGCAGAACGCTTAGTGTGACAGAAATAACTGACATCATATTGTAAAGCGCTACGGCATCTGTATATAAATGGCAATGATAATAATAATAATAATAATAATAATAATAATAATAATAATAATAGTGAGTGTGAGCATAGTTTTTGCCACATTCAATGTGTTTGTCCTGACACGCATCACCCGCACAGACTGACAGACAGAACAAGAAATGTGTTCGCTTGCAGAATGTAGAAGCGATTCAAACGATATCAAGGAATATTGCAGTATGTTAATGCTACATACTGCTGGGAAGCACTTTTCATGTGCTGCGAGTAACCCTGGAGAATATTTCCAAACCAGTTATTTTAGCCCCTGTTTTGCAAATCGTTAAATTGCTAAAATTTATAGTGTAGTGAATAATCTTGTTATTGTGACTCTTAATGTTGTAAGTGGCATTTTGAATAAATATGTTATGGCAAGTGCAGTCGCTATGGAATCTGATGGCACTATATAAATAATAAAATAATAATAGGGTTTCTGGGTGCAGTGTCAGTGTGGTATTATAGTGTCTGTGGGTGCAGTGTCAGTGTGGTATTATAGTGTGTGTGTGTAGTGTCAGTGTGGTATTATAGTGTGGGTGTGCAGTGTCAGTGTGGTATTATAGTGTTTCTGGGTGCAGTGTCAGTGTGGTATTACAGTGTTTCTGGGTGCAGTGTCAGTGTGGTATTATAGTGTGTGTGTGTAGTGTCAGTGTGGTATTATAGTGTTTCTGGGTGCAGTGTTAGTGTGGTATTATAGTGATTGTGAGTGCAGTGTCAGTGTGGTATTATAGTGTTTCTGGGTGCAGTGTCAGTGTGGTATTATAGTGATTGTGGGTGCAGTGTCAGTGTGGTATTATAGTGTTTCTGGGTGCAGTGTCAGTGTGGCATTAGAGTGTCTGTGGGTGCAGTGTCAGTGTGGTATTATAGTGTGTGTGTAGTGTCAGTGTGGTATTATAGTGTTTCTGGGTGCAGTGTCAGTGTGGTATTATAGTGATTGTGTGTGCAGTGTCAGTGTGGTATTATAGTGTTTCTGGGTGCAGTGTCAGTGTGGCATTAGAGTGTCTGTGGGTGCAGTGTCAGTGTGGTATTATAGTGTCTGTGGGTGCAGTGTCAGTGTGGTATTATAGTGTTTGTGGGTGCAGTGTCAGTGTGGTATTATAGTGTTTCTGGGTGCAATGTCAGTGTGGTATTACAGTGTTTCTGTGTGCAGTGTCAGTGTGGTATTATAGTGTTTTTGTGTGCAGTGTCAGTGTGGTATTATAGTGTTTCTGGGTGCAGTGTCAGTGTGGTATTATAGTGTTTGTGTGTGCTTTGTCAGTGTGGCATAGTTTTTGTGTGTGCAGTGTCAGTGTGGTATTATGGTACCATTTAGTTACAGTTTGACTTCTTGCCTGGGTTCACTGTGCACCTCAGAATATCAGATAAGAACTCAAACCATTAGTAAAAGGGCAGCGTTCCTTTAATTCAACATTTCATAGCATTTCCCTGACTATACTGTCAGCCAAAACCCCCTAATCAGTTCTAAGTCTCCAGGGATTAGTCCAGGCGCAGCCAAAGATGTGCTGATGGTTGCCTACCCTGGCTCAGACACGTAATTCTAGTAAAGTGCCAAATTAAACTAAACGTATAATCGTCAGTAGTCAAGCTCAGACTAGAAGTGAGCGTCAGAAGGGTTTTCAAATCTGCCGTTTTAGTCTAAATTACACAATTAATTTTTTGAAATTTACTACAATCTGATGTTTAGGGAATAAATCCGTAAGTATCTCTATGACCATTCCATTTAGTAAACATTCCGTTTATTTTTATAACAATGTCCTCTGAGTTTTATAACACTAGCCTGGTTTTGAAGACCCCTTTAATCTGCTCATTCTGATATGGTGCAGATACAACATTTCACCACTTGGTGGAGCTCTTTGTTAATCCGTTCTCTTCTTCCTTCGGTGCCTCAGTAGGTAGGTACCACATGTCTGGCATGGCAGGGGTTAATGATGGGTTGGGGGGGGTGGGGGGGAAGTAAGCAAGATTCTGTCATAGTAAGTTTAACAACATACCAATAGAGTTGTGGTGGGGATAAAAACCCCTTCCACCTTAAAGGGAATGAATACATAATTAAACACAAATCTGCACATACCAGTCATAAGGCTTCACTTTAACAGTGCTCTCACTACTGCAAGGGATTCTGGGTAGGAGTTCAAGAAGCGCGTGCTGGATCCAGTATACGTCACATACTGGTGGGTCGCCGCAGGGGAGCCTCACTCCATCGGCTGACTGTCAGCCAGAAGGACAGAATTCACTGTGTCTTCGAACACTAATGCTGACAGCCTCAGACCAACAGCAGTTCAGGACTTTCAGAGCCAGCTTTGTACTCTCCCTTTCTTTCTAATCCACTGGAATAAAATATCCTAGAGACTGCGAGCCCGTCCTAGAGACTGCGAGCCCGTCCTAGAGACTGCGAGCTGGTCTTATACACCGTGAGTTCGTCCTACAGAATGTAAGTTCCTCCTATAGACTGCGAGCCCGTCCTAGAGACTGCGAGCTGGTCTTATACACCGTGAGTTCGTCCTACAGAATGTAAGTTCCTCCTATAGACTGTGAGCTGGTCCTATAGAGCTCCTTCTATAGACTGTAAGCTGGTCCTATAGACTGATCTCCTCCTATACACTGTGAGCTCCTCCTATACACTGTAAGCTCCTCCTATACACTGTGAGTTTGTCCTATAGACTGTAAGCTCCTCCTATAGACTGTAAGCTTGTCCTATAGACTGTAAGCTTGTCCTATAGAGCTCCTTCTATAGACTGTGAGCTGGTCCTACATACTGTAAGACCCTCCTATAGACTGTAATCTAGTCCTATAGACTGTGAGCTCATCCTATAGACTGTAAGCTCCTCCCATAGACTGTAAACTGGTCCTATAGACTGTAAGCTACTCATATAGACTGTAAGCTCCTCCTATAGAATGTAAGCTGGTTTGAGCAGGGTCCTCTTCAACCTATCGTTCCTGTAAGTTTTCTTGTAATTATCCTATTTATAGTTAAATCCCCCCTTTCATGATATTGTAAAGCGCTACGGAATATGATGGCGCTATATAAATGGCGATAATAATAATAATAATAATAATAATAATAATAATAATAATAATAATAATAATAATAATAATCTACAGGACTGGACTTTTAGCAGATTCAGTGGGAACCATCACTCCTACTATAGGGACGTATTGGATCTCCAAAACAGACTGAATTGCTTTGTTATCAAGTATTGTCACATTTACTTTATATGTCACATTGCGTATTTGTATATACAGCATAGATTTTATACTTTCTATTTTCATTGCACTTTTTAAATTGTGTTAAAACAAAGTTATTTCAGTTAGCGCTTCAGAAAAGCTGTTGTCTTTATGAAGCTGCATTAGACTAGCAATATTACGAGCTAATGCCATGCGGTAAATTAGAATTGATTTAACCTAAACAGCGTTTTTGCATTCCATACGTTGATACTAATGTGTACGATTATTTGTATTGCCTCTCGGCAATTTCATTTATATATTATTTTTGGGATAATTATTCGCTTGGATGAATCGCAGATCTGATTTCCTTCCAGGGAATCACAGGCAGCATTAAAAAAGCCTTATGTTTTATTAGCATTTGGGCTTAAAATAGGGACTGCCCCTCCTAAAATAGGGACACTTGGGAGATATGAATCACCTGAAAGGTACAGGTCGTGGATGGTGAACAATCGGAGCCTATGGAATGTCAATCACACAGGGTTCGGTACTAAAACAGTAAAGAATTGTCAGAAAATGAGTGTCAATTTCACATGGAAATAGAAAGAAGCCACACTGGAGTTACACATAGATATATACATTTAGGTTTTTTAATTCAACTATTTTGGCCTACATTTTCTAATTGATTTGGAATTCTTGCTGTAGTGAATAGGTCTGACATGGAGATGATGTGTGATAAGAACCCCAGAAGATAACGATAATTAGATATAAATGAATCAGGGCCGATGACCTTAGGGCGTATCTCAAGCAGAAATCACAGCTGGACGATCATGTCCTAAGGATCCATCTACTCTGGGACAGACAGACACATTGCTTGGAAATCAAAGCATATTTTAGAATATGAAAATAACAGTAATATCGCCTCTAGGGAAACCCTTACATAACTCTTTATGGTTGATTATTACAGCAAACAATATTTATTTATAAAATATTTTACCAGGAAAGATACATTGAGATTTCTTTCGTTTTCAAGTATGTCCTGGGTTCACAAACATTGCATTGTTACATTAGGGTACAACATTACAAAAATACAATTTACAAACTATAGATATATATATAGATATAGATATATATACACACACACACACACACACACACACACACACACACACACGATCGGTGCATTCTGGGCTGAGGTATATGGCCATAGATCTCTTAAAAGATATTAGATTGAATGAAGATTTGACTGTGTCCCTGAGGTTATTCCATAATTATAGTGCGCTGTAGGAAAAGGATAATCGAGACACTTTATTTTTGTATTGCGGTATGCTAAATATCGGGCTAGTACTGGATTGGAGGTTATAGGAGGTGGGAACAGCCAAGGAGAGCATTGTACTCAGGTAGGGCGGGAGCTTCCCAGAAATGCTCTTATGCACAAGGCTGGAAAGATGAAGGGTGCGTCGGGATTCCAGCGACAGCCAATATATTTTGTCATTATCTATACAACACACATATAGGAATTTATCAAAGGGTCTTCAAGGCATTTAAATATTTAATAATCCTGTGCCCTGAGCCAGCCTCTTCCTCTAGCATAGAAGCAGCTATCTTAAATTAGCCTCCCCCCCTCCCCCCCCAGTATGTAAAATAAGAGACTGCCCTGTCTATCTGTTGTATATCAGCTTTATATAGCGCTTCTGTTAGGAAAAAAACTGCTCTGAAATGTGTTGTGTCAGCTTGTTAGTTAGGGTAGACGATGAATGTTTTATAAACAATGTATGATATGGCATATTAATAATAATAAATCTATTATTCAATTCAGAATTTAGAAAACCCTAAATTTACCAGTACAAACATCTAAATGTGTCCCTATTTAGAAAGGAAAGTCACAATTCTGTCTATTATATCATAATGTCCCTCTTTTCTAGGAGCTCCATATTGTTGGTGTGTCTGAGTGTATAACAGAGCTCCACAGCAATAATACTCCCAGTAATGTGTCTGAGTGTATAACAATTGTGGCAAACCCTGCCACTAAAATACTAACTATTCTGTGCGAATGAACATTGGAATTATTACAAGCGAATGGCTAATCCACGAACGGACTATAATGCTATTCATGCGGTTCTGTATGCGAATGCCCTGAAACTACCGAACGAGAGACCACCCCGGGTTGGTCGTGTGTCTCCTATTAACCAAAGATACAATGTTGCGAAGTGTATTAAGTGCAAGTGTGTGTGGCTGCCATTTCGCCTACCTAACACGTGGTGGCGGCCATCTTACGCACGAACAGCAGTACTTGGTCGAACACCTGGAACTCAAAATGTGTCTGAGTGTATAACAGAGCTCCACAGTAATAATACTCCCAGTAATGTGTCTGAGTGTATAACAGAGCTCCACATCAATAATACTCCCAGTAATGTGTCTGAGTGTATAACAGAGCTCCACATCAATAATACTCCCAGTAATGTGTCTGTGTGTATAACAGAGCTCCACAGTAATACTGCCAATGTGTCTGGTTTAAAGCGCCAATAGAGGGACCCTGTGAGGGTGGGGGCCTACAGATGCTATAGTGTCAGGAAAACGAGTTTGTTTTCCTGACACTATAGTGATCCTTTAATATTTTTCCAATGCGCCCCAAGTCAAAACAAAGTTCTAGGTTGTATGTCTGTACAGTGTATACTGGTGGTATAGTGTTTAAATGAAGGGCTGCTTGTATATCATTTTAGTGTTCTTATACAGAGGTGTGTTTGTATGTAATGTTGGCTTTTAAATGCTGGTGTATATTTGTGCGTAGTGTTTGAGTGCAGGGGTGTGTTTGTATGTTGTGCTGATGCTTGATTGTATGTACATACACTACCACATACATGTATAATTACACAGATAACCGATTATATGTACACACACACACACACACACACACACACACACTAAGGCAAGATACATATAATTACACTGACACACAAATTCACATAGACACTGACACATACACACACATTGACACAGAATGAAAACGATGACAAACACACAGATGCGCATCTTGACACACAGATATGCACGCACAAACAGATACACAACCTGACACAGATACACAAACCAATACACAATCAGGGACATGAATACTATATGTAGGAATACAGATTTGCATTCCTAGTGCTATGGTGTTCCTTTACATGACTGCACTATTACAGGCCATAGAAAAACTATCTAGATAAATCGTGGTATGTAGAATAGGGTGAGACCTCTGGACCCCTCACTCCAAGAACCATGTGATTCACAGCCTAAGGAACCCTCTCCACATTAAATGATTATCTCCAAATCCCAAAAACCATCGCTCTGTGTGGCTATGTACCACTTTCCAAGAATTTGTTTATTTTCCAGACCTATGAATGAGCTCCAAATCTACTTCTGTAATCTTAAACAAAATATATAGTGCGTTTAGATTTATAAACACCACGCTGTGCGGCTCTTGTTGCTGAGTGAAAAATGTCAAATAGCATAATACACAAAGTGTACAGTAAAACCACACACCAGCCTGGCTTTCCGTGAGTCGATTATTTACGTTCCTTTCTGTTTAGTTAACATGTACTATCGCACAAAACTACAGTAGAGGAGAAACACTTGGTGCTCATTGTCTGTCAGCTGTAAAACCACAAATCTGGCGTTTTCTAGCAGTCTTCACTACATTCTGCACAATTTTAAACAGTTCCCCTATGTGTTGAGTGTGTGCTGAGCAATGTTATGTGCCATCCTGGCGAGCAATGATTTGTGGACTGTCTTAAAGGGATATTGCAAGTTAAATGTGCTAGAATGAATTTATCAAGAGCAGCACACCTGACTAAATACACCTATAACTCTTACAATTTCCACTAATTTAACCCTGGTGGGTCGAAATTCACCCTTGGAGTGTGTATTATGGTGTGCAGTGACTCCCTAGTCCACAAGAAATATACTACTATTTTAATACTCCCCATCCCAAATCAAAACTAATAATCACTGTTTAGTAGATACACCCCAAATGAAAACATTCAGTGAATCATACATTTTTATATGTAAAAACAGATTGCAAAAATGTCTGTTCTCTTGTCTGCAGCCTTTGCAAGCCCTCCCCTTCTAACCCCACCCATACTTTCTGTGACTGTCCAATCACAGACCACCCAATGCAGCTCAATGAGAAGTCTTTGCAAGGCAGGTGCTCTGGACAATAGCAGCATCTTGAGTTATCTTCATTGAGCTAACCAAACCAGAAAGTAACTGGACCGACTGTCTCACAATTAGAGGGTGTAACCAGGTTAAATTATAAAAGTGTCAGTTTCTATTGAAATCAGCACTTTTTGTAAAATGTAAAAGAGGACACTCTTCACACAAAGTACGTCAGAAAATGTAAATGCTTAAGAGATATGAAGTGTCCCTTCAAGGGCATAGTGTGCAGTATTAAAGGGAAACAAACTTGTTTGCCTCGCACTATATCTTCCCCATCTGTCAAGGGGCTCCCCCTCTCTCTCACCTCCCCGTGGTGAACTTTTGCTAGGACAATGAGACAGGAGCCAGGCCAATGAGACAGTGTGGACAGGAGCTAGAACAATGAGACAGGAGCCAGGCCAATGAGACAGTGTGGACAGGACAATGAGACAGGCCAATGAGACAGGAGCCAGGCCAATGAGACAGTGTGGACAGGAGCTAGGACAATGAGACAGGAGCCAATCCAATGAGACAGTGTGGACAGGAGCTAGGACAATGAGACAGGAGCCAATCCAATGAGACAGTGTGGACAGGAGCCAGGCCAATGAGACAGGAGCCAATCCAATGAGACAGTGTGGACAGGAGCCAGGCCAATGAGACAGGAGCCAATCCAATGAGACAGTGTGGACAGGAGCCAGGCAAATGAGACAGTGTGGACAGGAGCCAGGACAATGAGACGAAGTGCGGACAGGAGCCCAGGCCCAGCCAGGGGGCAAGGAGCCAGGCCAATGAGACCAGTGTGGACAGGAGCCAGGCCAATGAGGGCAGTGCGGACAGGAGCCAGGCCAATGAGACAGTGCGGACAGAGCCAGGACATATGAAGACAGGAGCCAATCCAATGGGGCAGTGTGGACAGGAGCCAGGCCAATGAGACAGCTAGTCGCGGACGAACCAGGCCAGCCAGAGACAGGAGCCAGGCCATGAGACAGTGCGGACAGAGCCAGGCCAATGGGAACAGTGTGGACAGGAGCCCGGGTTGAGACAGAGGCAATCCCAGCCAGAGACAGTGTGGACAGGAGCCAGGCCAGTAGAGACGGAGTGCGGACAGGAGCCAGGCCAATGAGACAGTGCGGACAGAGGCCAGGCCAATGAGACAGGAGCCAATCCCAGCCAGAAGACGGTGGACAGGAGCCAGGCCAGGGCAGTGCGGGGACAGGAACCAGGCCAATGAGACGAGGCCAGGCCAATGAGACAGTGTGGACAGGAGCCAGGCCAATGAGACAGTGCGGACAGGAGCCAGGCCAATGAGACAGTGCGGACAGGAGCCAGGCCAATGAGACAGTGTGGACAGGAGCCAGGCCAATGAGACAGTGCGGACAGGAGCCAGGCCAATGAGACAGTGCGGACAGGAGCCAGGCCAATGAGACAGGAGCCAGGCCAATGAGACAGGAGCCAGGCCAATGAGACAGTGCGGACAGGAGCCAGGCCAATGAGACAGGAGCCAGGCCAATGAGACCGTGTGGACAGGAGCCAGCACCAGGGCCGGACTGGCCCACCGGGATACCGGGAAATTTCCCGGTGGGCCACGGCACCTGGGGGCTGCGCTGCCACATAGGTGGCACACTGAGAGGGGGCCAGCCGCGTTCCAGACTGAAGCCGGTCCGGCAGCACTCCAGTCACTAATGGTTGAAGGAAGACAACCCCTTCTACCATGCTCCCTCGTGGTTCCCACAATTCCCAGCACAGGAACCGTGAGAGAGCATGGTAGACAGGCTCCTCCTCCTTCAGCCATCAATGACACCAATGAGACAGTGTGGACAGGAGCCAGGACAATGAGACATGAGCCAGGACAATGAGACAGTGTGGGCAGGAGCCAGGACAATGAGAAAGAGTGGACAGGAGCCAGGACAATGAGAAAGAGTGGACAGGAGCCAGGACAATGAGAAGGTGTGGACAGGAGCCAGGACAATGAGAAGGTGTGGACAGGAGCCAGGACAATGAGAAGGTGTGGACAGGAGCCAGGACAATGAGAAGGTGTGGACAGGACAATGAGACAGAGTGGACAGGACAATGAGACAGAGTGAACAGGACCTAGGGCAATGAGACAGGAGACAAGAGCTAGAAAAATGAGACAGGAGCCAGGACAATGAGACAGTGTGGACAGGAGCTAGGACAATGAGACAGTGTGAACAGGAGCTAGGACAATGAGACAGTGTGGACAGGAGCTAGGACAATGAGACAGTGTGGACAGGAGCTAGGACAATGAGACAGTGTGGACAGGAGCTAGGACAACGAGACAGTGTGGACAGGAGCTAGGAAAATGTGACAGGGGCCAGGACAAAGAGACAGTGTGGACAGGAGCCAGGACAATGAGATAAGATGTAGTGAAGATAAGACAATAAGGCGAGAAGGGGGGGGGTAACAGATACAATGAAACCATCCAAGAAGCAGACTGTTGCTGTGATACAGGGACTCCCCCTGAGATTAGGAGAGGGGGCGAGATTCAAACAGAGACATATTGTCACCCCCTCCCCTTCCCCAAACACAGGGCAAGGGAGGGTCCAGCTTCCTCTTACCTCATATCATCTCCCCCTGACTTCCCAGCACAAGAGGAGGGGGAGAGCAGGACTGTGAAACAAAAGGAGGGCAGCTGCTTAAACTTCCTGCAAAGTGGAAAGACAAGGAAATCGATAGGAGAGAAACTAGCAGGGTTTATAAAGGGAAGGTGTGGGAGAGGTAGATACACAGGGCTGGAGGGGGAGGGGAGAGGTAGGTAGATACACAGGGCTGGAGGGGGGAAGGGGAGGGTAGGTAGATACACAGGGCTGGAGGGGGAGGGGAGAGGTAGGTAGATACACAGGGCTGGAGGGGGGAAGGGGAGGGTAGGTAGATACACAGGGCTGGAGGGGGGAGGGGAGGGGGTAGGGTAGGGTAGGGTAGGGTAGGTATACACAGGGCTGGAGGGGGAAGGGGAGGGTAGGTAGATACACAGGGCTGGAGGGGGGAGAGTAGGTGAAGAGCAGAGTGTGCAACAATGTCCACCTCAATCCTGAGAAGGAATTCCAGCAAGAAGAGTTTGCAGAACATACTGAGGTAAGAAAGGATGGGGAATGAATGAGTGAGAAAGTAGGGGGTAAAAACCAGGGGGTGGTAGAGGGGGGCACAGCAAGGGGCCAGAAGGCAGGTAGACCAGGGAGAGAATAGAGCTGTGCTGTGAGTGTGAATGATGGATGGATCCAGCTGTGAATGGTACTGAGAGGGTCAGCCTGGGCTGTGAATGGTACTGAGAGGGTCAGCCTGGGCTGTGAATGGTACTGAGAGGGTCAGTCTGGGCTGTGGATGGTACTGAGAGGGTCAGTCTGGGCTGTGAATGGTACTGAGAGGGCCAGCCTGGGCTGTGAATGGCACTGAGAGGGTCAGCCTGGGCTGTGAATGGCACTGAGAGGGTCAGTCTGGGCTGTGAATGGCACTGAGAGGGTCAGCCTGGGCTGTGAATGGTACTGAGAGGGTCAGCCTGGGCTGTGAATGGTACTGAGAGGGTCAGCCTGGGCTGTGAATGGCACTGAGAGGGTCAGCCTGGGCTGTGAATGGCACTGAGAGGGTCAGCCTGGGCTGTGGATGGCACTGAGAGGGTCAGCCTGGGCTGTGAATGGCACTGAGAGGTTCAGCCTGGGCTGTGGATGGCACTGAGAGGGTCAGCCTGGGCTGTGAATGGCACTGAGAGGTTCAGCCTGGGCTGTGAATGGCACTGAGAGGGTCAGCCTGGGCTGTGAATGGCACTGAGAGGGTCAGCCTGGGCTGTGGATGGCACTGAGAGGGTCAGCCTGGGCTGTGAATGGCACTGAGAGGGTCAGCCTGGGCTGTGGATGGCACTGAGAGGGTCAGCCTGGGCTGTGGATGGCACTGAGAGGGTCAGCCTGGGCTGTGAATGGCACTGAGAGGTTCAGCCTGGGCTGTGAATGGCACTGAGAGGGTCAGCCTGGGCTGTGAATGGCACTGAGAGGGTCAGCCTGGGCTGTGAATGGCACTGAGAGGGTCAGCCTGGGCTGTGGATGGCACTGAGAGGGTCAGCCTGGGCTGTGGATGGCACTGAGAGGGTCAGCCTGGGCTGTGAATGGCACTGAGAGGGTCAGCCTGGGCTGTGAATGGCACTGAGAGGGTCAGCCTGGGATGTGACTGGCACTGAGAGGGTCAGCCTGGGCTGTGAATGGCACTGAGAGGGTCAGCCTGGGATGTGACTGGTACGGAGAGGGACAGTCTGGGCTGTGAATGGTACTGAGGGGGTCAGCCTGGGAATGTGGTGTGTGGGGGGAGAGTCAGACTGGTACCCACTGAGCTAGAACAAATCTAAGGGCAATGTGTCTGTCTACAAAATGGGATTTTTTTTATTATTTATAAAACGCCAACACATTCTGCAGCGCTGTACAATGGGGAATAAATTGGAGTCAGATTGTTTGTTTATGATTCGCTGGTTTACTGTTACAAATAATGTCAGTATCTAATCCTTTTTACTGGATTAGGATTATTTGGAACAGATAGAACACGTTCCTAGAGCGGCTCATTTAATCTGGTTCATTTCTCAGGTTGGTTAGGGGAGGAATACATTGTATCTGGTTCTCTGTGATAGCAGCTGCACCCCAACAACAGATCAGGGGGGTCCCAACTGCTAATCAGGCTGACCATGCAGGATTAACCAAGATTTCGGTCAATATTTAACAATGGGATGAAGCACATTGTGTTGAAGACTTGCTGGAGTCCTTCGTTTACACTGTGAGGGATGTTACCATTTTCTTGTGATGGAGATTAGTAAAGTATTCACACCATCCATCAGTCAGTCTAGTTAGAGCAGGGTTTCAGACGTTCGTCTTCTAAACATTAAAAGAATGCCACTAATTACTGTACGTTATTATTATTATTATTATTATTATTATTATTATTATCGCCATTTATATAGTGCCAACAGATTCCGTAGCGCTTTACAAAATTATGAGAGGGGGGATTTAACTGTAAATAGGACAATTACAAGAAAACTTACAGGAACGATAGGTTCAAGAGGACCCTGCTCAAATAAGCTTACAGTCTATAGGACCAGTTTACAGTCTATAGGACCAGTTTACATTATATAGGACGAACTCACAGTCTCCTCTATTGGTTTTCAAAGTCCTGGTGACTGTCCCAGGGATATGGCTTAGGGCTCTTAGCAATGAGAAGGGCCACTACAAGCAATCTGCCCCCCGAGACTTTGAAACCTATGGAAACAGACAAGATCCCTTTTGGTACCCTAGGACTCAACATGGCAACTATAGAGTTAAAACAATCCTTTATGTTTTACTTTATAAAGATATTGCATTAAAAATGGAAAATAAAGTCAAATAAAAATAGATATTTCGTTAAATAGGCAGATGCCCATTTAGTGATGTGAAAGCATATCTTTCATTGAGTGTAAGTGACATCAAGAGCAGTTCCTCTAATCCAAGGGTTCTCAACCCAGTCCTCAAGGTGTCTAAAGTGCTTCCCCCCCCCCAAAAAAAAAAAACACATTAGACACAGCAGGGTAATCCCTAAATCCTGGACAGTTTGGGGGTCCTTGAGGACTGGGTTGAGAACCCCTGAGTCTAATCTTTTCGAGGTGAGCAGAACTGCGCTGTCAGGGGCCAGCAGCCATACTGTGATGGCTAGTTTACCCATAGCCAGTTACTGGTTAGTGAACCGGACTCTATGTTCCGATTGCCGCTTATTCCAGAAACTTCTCAAATGATTTAATATTATGAAAAATATTTTCCTAATTTGACTTTTTTATATATGAGATTTTTTACATTTAGAAATAATAATAAAATAAAAAATAGTAACTTCTATTGAACCTCCACTAAATAAAGTATCAGATCGTGCACAGCCTTGTGCTCTCATCCTGCGTGTTTAAAGGGGAATGATCATGAAGAAAATTACTTTTGATATAAAAAGATTGGGGGGTTTTGTTTTGTTTTTTTAAATGGATTTAAAAAAATAAAATAAATATTAAAAAAACAAGAAAAAACTATTCCTGTTACCTAGAGCCTGCTTACTTGTCTTGGGATGCAATCTGTACATATGGGTTAATGGTGGGGTAGATCTAATGAGGGAATACCAGTAACACATTAAACGTCATTAAATATCTGAACACAGGGTGAGGGGACATATGTCATACTGACTGGATTCCACACTAGTCAGCCTCCACAGGGTTGCACAAGGTGTCTGTTAGTGCACCCATTGTGCTGCGCTGTGGAGTTCGTTGGTGCTTTAGAAATAATAATAATAATAATAATAGTGTGTTGAGATTGGTGCAGTAGTGTATAGCAATTTGCTGGCGCTATATAAATAATATAATAATAGCACATTGTTGGCTAACCATTTGTGGATTCGTTTTTCCTAATGCATCATGGTAGACAGTCCAACATTGCTGCCCAGGCACAGTGTGACATTGTGAGTATAAAACGCTGAGTATTGTAATATTCCTAGTGCTTCGCATGAGAAGTGATTACGTGTCAGCTCTCCCTCTCAAGTTATTCTTTACGCCCCTGAGAGAAGATAATGAATCATCCTTTTGTGTCTGCAGAGCATTGACACTCATCCTTACTCCATCTCATCCCCTTTCCCTTTGTAAGATCTCCCGCAGTCATAATATAGACTTCTTTTGTAACCGTAGAAACTGTGGATGCAGAGCATCCTGTCTTGCTATTTGTATCTTGTATACTTGTATCCCCGGTCACTGCAGACTATTTCACCTCCCCTGTATTCCCGGTCACTGCAGAGTATTTCATCTCCCCTGTATCCCCGGTCACTGCAGAGTATTTCATCTCCCCTGTATCCCCGGTCACTGCAGAGTATTTCACCTCTCCTGTATCCCCGGTCACTGCAGAGTATTTCATCTCCCCTGTATCCCCGGTCACTGCAGAGTATTTCACCTCCCCTGTATCCCCGGTCACTGCAGAGTATTTCACCTCCCCTGTATCCCCGGTCACTGCAGAGTATTTCACCTCCCCTGTATCCCCGGTCACTGCAGAGTATTTCATCTCCCCTGTACCCCCAGTCACTGCAGTTCATTATTTTAAAAAGTTTAAGATCCGACTGCACCACTATTATGCTTAGTCTTTTGAACTGCCAATGCACAATTTATATAATCTTATTTAAATTGGTCCATTCTTCTTTACATACACACACACACACACACACACACTGGATCTGTCAGCGCTCGGGAAGGGGGTCACATGCCAGATGGTATTTAATAGCCAAATGTGGCGGTCTTCCAAGGTACCACCGCCACAGATACCCTTTTTCCAATAGAAAGGGCAAATAATTCCCACAGGCGCAATATCATTGATGTAGCATAACCCCCCACACACGAGCCAAAACGTAATGCTAGTAAAAGATTGTTTTATTGAGAAAAGATCGACGACCACGTCCTCCTGCTAGCGTTTCGGGAGACGAGATGGCCGCCATCCATTGTTCCAACCAAGAAACGGCGGCCACCCAGTGGAGAATTCTGTTAATTATTTCCTTCACGGTTTTCGTGCAGGTACATAATGTTCCACGTTCTAATGGGTCTCTGGGGTGGTCTCGGTTTGGGAACCAAACAAAATAAAACTGAGACAGGAGTCCAGACGAACAAAAATAGCCGAAATGTGATGGGGTATTCCTTCACACCAAGAATATGTTTTTTTTATTATTATTATTATTATTATTATTATTATTATTATTATTATTATACCTCAGAACACAAACATATTCCACAGCTCTGTACAATGGGTAAACAATGACACCTGCCACAGTACCTACCTACAGGAACAGTAGGTGGAGAGGGCACGGCTGGAATATGAGAGAGTGCAGATGGCTGCTTTATCCAATGGATAAATGTCCAGAACCCCATAAAGCGGCTTAGAAATGTATCTGAGCGTCCTGATTTGCTGTGTCACTTCCTGGTATATGAATACCACATGTAGATTGATAGAGCTGTCTGTACCACATGTACATTGATAGAGCTGTCTGTACCACATGTACATTGATAGAGCTGTGTGTACCACATGTACATTGATAGAGCTGTGTGTACCACATGTACATTGATAGAGCTGTGTGTACCACATGTACATTGATAGAGCTGTCTGTACCACATGTACCTTGATAGAGCTGTGTATACCACATGTACCTTGATAGAGCTGTGTGTACCACATATACATTGATAGAACTGTCTGTACCACATGTACATTGATAGAGCTGTCTGTACCACATGTACATTGATAGAGCTGTCTGTACCACATGTACATTGATAGAACTGTCTGTACCACATGTACATTGATAGAACTGTCTGTACCACATGTACATTGATAGAGCTGTCTGTACCACATGTACATTGATAGAGCTGTCTGTACCGCATGTACATTGATAGAGCTGTCTGTACCGCATGTACATTGATAGAGCTGTCTGTACCGCATGTACATTGATAGAGCTGTCTATACCACATGTACATTGATAGAGCTGTGTAGACAAGTGGACTGACCCAGTACAAGTCGTTCTGATGGGGTCTGATCACTAAACTCTGAAATTAAGGCCACAATAATTGGACTGCAAGCATTTTCCAAACCCAGTATTTTTTTTTACGCTGGGTAATTTTCCACAGTGATATTTACTATTATGTGACTGGAAATAGTTACTATTGGAGATACACAAACCGATGGGAAAAAACTCTTCAAAACATCTGTTAATACTGGGCGGAAATAATATACTCTGTATCCAGCTGACATTGTGCAATACATGGATACAATGTTTAACACACAACAGTGAGGGTCAAATACAGCTATCTGTTACTATACACAGCTATCTGTCACTATACACAGCTATCTGTCACTATACACAGCTATCTAACACTATACAGCTATCTGTCACTATACAGCTATCTGTCACTATACACAGCTATCTATTACTATACAGCTATCTGTCACTATACACAGCTTTCTATCACTGTACAACTATCTGTCACTATACACAGCTTTCTATCACTGTACAGCTATCTGTCACTATACACAGTTATCTGTAACTGTACACGGCTATCTGTCACTAGGTGGTTGAAAGACACTGTAATGGAGTGACAGCTACCCAATGCCCTGGGGTTCCGTGAGAACACAAATGGGGTTCTGCCAAAATTTCAGGAAACAAAATGGCTGCCACGACAAATAGGTGGGCCCGCCGGCGAAGGAGCTGAGCAGGGGAGAGTGCTCACTCGCCGCCTACCTTATTTATCGCAGCAGCCATTATCGCAGCACACACAGCAGTGATGCCGAAGCTGGAATATGACGTCACTCTGGCTCCAGCATCACTAAGAGGCGCGCAAGGGAGCTGAGCAGGAAGATGACTGCTCCCTCGCCGCCCGCACGCCAGCTACTCAGCCCAGCAGCCCCACTGGACCCCAGGGACTGCGCACCAGCCGCACAGTCCAGCAGCCCCACTGGACCCCAGGGACTGCACGCCAGCTGCACAGTCCAGCAGCCTCACTTCAAAAGAGACTCCATGCCAGCACCAAAGGTAGGGAGGCTGGGTGGAGTGAAATAAAATAAATAAATAAAGTGTGTCTGTTAAGGAGTTTATATTTGACACATAGATACATGCACACAGATACACACTGTGTGTAAGTGTGTGTATCTGTGTGATAGATTCATACACCCTGACACACAGATATACAAACACAGATACACACACTTTGACACACAGATACATACACACTGTGTGTCAAGGTGTGTGTATCTGTGTGCCAGTGTGTATCTGTGTGTCAGATACATACACACAGGCACATACAAACACAGATACACACACCTTGACACACACACACACACACACACACACAAAAAAAACAGTGCACATTTAAAAAAAATTTTTTTACCGGGGGAGGGGTGGGTTCCACGATGTCAAAGACACTATGTCAAAGGGTTCCACAGGAAAAATTAATTGGGAACCCCTGACCTAATGAATACTAAGACCAATTTCTCTGTGAAACACCAATACATATCACTTCCTTTCTGTCAGTATGTGATGAAAAGCAATCTGTGTGATTATAATTTACAGCTACCTGTCAGTGTATTATAACCAGCTACCTGTCAGTGTATTATAAACCCCTACCTGTCATTGCATGCTGCCCAACTGTTTCTCGATATTTCCTAAACTGAATGCTAGTTGTTGTGAGTTGACAGATGAGTTGTCTGAAGCCTGTTTTACCCTTTGCATGGTTTAGTCTAACGTTTACAACACTTATCCAGCCACAAATATTCTCCATAGCGCCCAATAGCCCTGGATCTGGTGGGGCAGTCCTGTTTTGTGATTCCTGTGCCACTATCCCACAAATGCTCTCTGTTATTTCACATATTCCTAAAGTTGGCATGGCTCTAGCAGACAGGGGAAAGAAGATTGAATAAAGAAAACATATTTGGATTAACTAAAAAGGAAGTGATTTATTACTGGTATTTATAAAGCGCCAACAGATTCCGCAGCGCTGTACAATATACACAGACAAATACAAGAGGTAGAGTGGGCCCTGCCCGTAAGATGATAACTAGCCGTTGAAGCTCTTTTATACAAAGTGCTTAGCTAGATGGCCCGTGAGCTTACAGTCTAAAGGATACAATGGGGATTTGAGACAAAAGGTAGCAGGGGAAAGTTGGAGGTGATGGCTTCAAGGGCAGCGGCTGATGGGGTGAAACTTTCAGTTGATGACATCACAGGGTGCAGTGGTGGTGTTACAAATCCAACTCACTCCATTGTTTAACAGGTCTGTCATTTTGTATATTTTACTCTTCATCATAGTCCCAATATTTATACTGCCCCCCAGAGGGAGTTTATTTATGTAATATGTGCAGAATATACACCAAGCGCTGGGACACTGTCACTCACACTCTGTATGATTCATTAAGTGTTTCTGTCTGCCCCACAGACTAACCACTCAGTGGAGTGTGGAGGACGAGGAGGAAGCGGCGAGAGAGCGTCGCCGGAGGGAGCGAGAAAGGCAACAACAGACAGGAGGTGACGAGCCATCCGAAGAAAACCTGTCTGAGGAAACCTTCACCAATAACCAGTGAGTGTGCAACGTTTGGGTCCTCACTCATACTCTCCATGCTCCTCACTCACACTCTCCATGCTCCTCACTCACTCTCTCCCCGCTCCTCACTCACTCTCTCCCCGCTCCTCACTCACTCTCTCCCCGCTCCTCACTCACACTCTCCCTGCTCCTCACTCACACTCTCCTCACTTCTCACTCTCCCCGCTCCTCACTCCTCACTCACCCTTTGCCCACTCCTCACTCCTCACTCACACTCTCCCTGCTCCTTACTCCTCACTCACCCTTTGCCCGCTCCTCACTCCTCACTCACACTCTCCCCGCTCTCACTCATTATATGAACCATAAAAATATAGGCTGTAGAAATACACTTCATGAGATGGAGGAGACCCTAATGAATACTACTGAATATTGTTGCTCTGTTTGATCATTATTAAAGAGAGAGATTGTGATGGACCACCTGGCACCCGAACTGGGTACCTCCATCAAGCTTGGGACAAAGGAGTGCTTCAGCCCTTGGCCATTGCAGCTTGACTGGGGTCTCTCCATCACTTCCCACCCTGGAACAGGGTCCTGGGTACAGCTTCAAGTGATTGTAGAGAGTATAGCTGACCCACCCAAACCCTAGCCCAGACTGAGTGTAACTGCTTTATTATGGCCAAGTTGCCTGCTTTTATACAAAGCCCCCAGCTGTTTCTGGGGTCTCCAAACAATACAATGCAAACCCCTCCCAAACGTCTACGAGCCTGGGAGATAATTGCATTAAAGACTGGTAAGCTAATTATCTCCCAGGAACAGAAAGGTAAACATAAAAATACCCCAAAACATCATAAAAACATATAATAACCCCACATATACATCCCCAGACAGCCCCGATCTGAGCGCCCAAGTTCTCAAAAAAGCACTCAGATACATGCAGTGTAGAGGAAACACCACCATGTTAAAGTGCTGACCGGCCACACATGTGGTCCTAGGCCCAAAATAGTTCCCAGTCGTTTGGTGCTTTTTCCGGTCAACTTTCGGGAGATCCTGCGGCCGCAATATGGGTGCCCCACCTGGCTCTTAGGTAGTGTTCCCTCCAAAAAGTGCCCCCACCCTGGCAGTTTGCAAAGTGGTTCCAAACCCCGGACCAAATTGTCCGGGAACCGATCATGCCGAAAACTGCTCCATAACATTCGCGACAAAGTACTGTTGAGGTGACCGGGGACCTAAAAAGGCATCATGCCGTAATTCGCTCCATAGCGGTCGCAGGCTAAGTATCGCTGAGGACCATTTGTGGGTTTTGTTCATGTGAACTGCCTCTAGAGAGCCAGCGTTTGGTTCCATTCGCATGAAGGGAAAGTGCTGAACCAGGGGGGGAAAGCTACTAATGGTGGTAACTCCCGAGCGGTGTCTCTGACCTGGACCATAGTCGGTGGGCAGGAGGCCTGGCAAACATCCGAGGAAAAGAGCGTTTGTCACAGATATTATATATAGAATGCTGATTGTATCGAATGAAAGACTGGTTATTCTGATGTTTGCCTATCCTAATATATAAGAACTATGTGTTTGTATTCCTGGGGCAGAGTGTCTCTCTCGGTTGGCTCCCTGTCAATGATTGTTATAAACCAAGGGTGGCCAAAAGGTTGATCTCCAGCCATTGCAGAACTTAAACGTCTTTGTAGCTGTACCAGTCATACGGTTAGTAAAGCATCATGGGAAATGTAGGTCTCCCATTAACGGAGATTTAATTCCTGGCCACCCCTGTAATAAACTTTGTCCTTTGCACCGGTTGCCATTTTTTGACTTTTTCTTATAGCATAATATAATTAACATTTAAATAATTAAAACATTAATTAGACTTTTCATAATATCAGAGGGCAAAAGTCTATTGTGAGCTTTTTCATGGGGCATGATATAAGAACTTCACGCCGTTAACACGGAACGGAGAGCCGCCAATCTGGGCCAGATGCGGGTAATAAAACAGTCTAACACGTTCGTGGGACCAGGATCACATTAGACCGAATTTAGATCTACCATATTTTATTCTGATCTTCATTCTTCTCATGCTTGAGCGGTTCCTTCTTCATTAACATTCACAAAATGAATTCACTGCCTCAAAGTATGTGTGTCCTCAGCACAGTTATCTACCATCTTCCTGGCCTTTGCTCATTTACCAGCTGAACATTTATAAAACATCACATGTATCAAACATTTCTATACTCTTATCATATCCCCTCTGAGGCGCCGTTTTTCCAAACTAAACAGATTTAATTTTTTTCATTACTTTGTTTTGTTAGCTTAAATATAAACATTTTATGAGGCAGTGGTATGCAATACAGAGCTTATGAAATATGTTTCAGTATTTTTTATTTATTTATTTATTATTTTTTACACAGAATATAGAGCACATGCTGGTGCCACAATTTAACAAATTAAGTGTCCCCTAAACTCCTCCTCCTCCCCCCAAGCTTCCTTTTATAGGATAAGGAGTGTATATATTTTATAGCATCCATTTAAAATCAATTATAAGTGAAACTATTAAAATTTAAACCTTTATTATGTCTTTTATTAAAATAAGTTTGTGATTACTCTGTTGCCTCTACCCCTATTTGCAGTGCGTCATTAAAACCGTCTGGTCCCTGGGAGAACGATGAAGATGAAGGCTTTAGTGACTGGTCTCAAAGGTTGGAGCAGAGAAAGCTGCGAGGGGCATGTCAGGTGCCCACCAATGAGAATGAGGAGCCCAGGACCCTGGAGGGTGAGGAACCTCAGGGAACTAGAGAATCAGGAGAACAAGAGAGTGATGATGCAAGGGTTCCAGATCAGAGGGTGGAGGAAGAAGAGGATGCATCTCGTTCTGAAGTGACAGAGGTAACTTTCTGTGTACATCCTCTATGGCATATTTGGGATCAGGAGTCCGGTTTGCCCCTATAATGCTGGAAGCCTAGAACACATTGCAGTCCACACGCCTGATAGCCAGCTGCTGGTTAAACACAAGCGATATGATAAAATGTCTGTATAGAGAAACTCAGCCTGTGTATTGGAAGGAGACAATCTGTCAGAGTGATTTACTAAAGTGAGAATTCAAAGTGAATTTTTAATTTAAGTCTAGAATAGTCAAATTCTCAGCTGTGCTATCAGTTCAGCTACTTTAACCTTGAAATTAAAATTCACTTTAAAATTCCCACTTTGGTGAATAACCATGTGGTTCTCTCGATAAATTGCGAACATATCACTTATAAAAGCAGCATTACTACGTGTAGAAATGAACGGACCTTAATGTCTCTTCTATTAAGTAATACTACGTTTAGATTAAAGGTGCTTGTGTACATATGGCCATCACACAGTGAGAACCAAATAAATCTATGGCCAATAATATGCCTAAAATCCAGGACTAGAAACCCTAGTGGAACCGGAGTTTATTATATAGCATTACAGGATTCTATACAGCATTGTGCATTCATTTGTCATTGAACTCTAACATGTCATCCATAGAGGATGGGTTTGCTTTTAAATCATGCATATCGAAGATAGCAGTAGTGATGGTAGTGTATGATAGTAGTGACACAGTAGCAGTAGTGATGGTAGTGTATGATAGTAGTGACACAGTAGCAGTAGTGATGGTAGTGTATGATAGTAGTGACACCGTAGCAGTAGTGATGGTAGTGTATGATAGTAGTGACACAGTAGCAGTATTGATGGTAGTGTATGATAGTAGTGACACCGTAGCAGTATTGATGGTAGTGTATGATAGTAGTGACACAGTAGCAGTATTGATGGTAGTGTATGATAGTAGTGACACAGTAGCAGTAGTGATGGTAGTGTATGATAGTAGTGACACAGTAGCAGTAGTGATGGTAGTGTATGATAGTAGTGACACCGTAGCAGTAGTGATGGTAGTGTATGATAGTAGTGACACAGTAGCAGTATTGATGGTAGTGTATGATAGTAGTGACACCGTAGCAGTATTGATGATAGTAGTGACACAGTAGCAGTATTGATGGTAGTGTATGATAGTAGTGACACAGTAGCAGTAGTGATGGTAGTGTATGATAGTAGTGACACAGTAGCAGTAGTGATGGTAGTGTATGATAGTAGTGACACAGTAGCAGTATTGATGGTAGTGTATGATAGTAGTGACACCGTAGCAGTAGTGATGGTAGTGTATGATAGTAGTGACACAGTAGCAGTATTGATGGTAGTGTATGATAGTAGTGACACCGTAGCAGTAGTGATGGTAGTTTATGATAGTAGTGACACCGTAGCAGTAGTGATGGTAGTTTATGATAGTAGTGACACAGTAGCAGTAGTGATGGTAGTGTATGATAGTAGTGACACAGTAGCAGTAGTGATGGTAGTTTATGATAATAGTGACACAGTAGCAGTAGTGATGGTAGTGTATGATAGTAGTGACACAGTAGCAGTAGTGATGGTAGTTTATGATAATAGTGACACAGTAGCAGTAGTGATGGTAGTGTATGATAGTAGTGACACAGTAGCAGTAGTGACACCGTAGCAGTAGTGATGGTAGTGTATGATAGTAGTGACACCGTAGCAGTAGTGATGGTAGTGTATGATAGTAGTGACACAGTAGCAGTAGTGATGGTAGTTTATGATAATAGTGACACAGTAGCAGTAGTGATGGTAGTGTATGATAGTAGTGACACAGTAGCAGTATTGATGGTAGTGTATGATAGTAGTGACACAGTAGCAGTAGTGATGGTAGTTTATGATAATAGTGACACAGTAGCAGTAGTGATGGTAGTTTATGATAATAGTGACACAGTAGCAGTAGTGATGGTAGTTTATGATAGTAGTGACACAGTAGCAGTAGTGACAGCAGTTTCTGACAATAGTGACACAGATAATTTTCATATCTTTTAACAGGTGAATGATGAGCCTGACCCTCGGACCTATGAGAGCTATAGCCCAGAGCCTTCTCCACAGGAGGTGCCGATTTCTTCCAGCCAATTGAGTGCAAGGTAGAGTTTCAACAACCCAAGAATTCTCACACCAAACAGACCATCTCCTGGAACAGATGACCTAGAAACATGTATAATTAACTGATAGCACACTGATAATAAATTCTGGGTGTAAGATAACGGATAACAAATCCTGGGCGTCGGATAACAAATCCTGGGCGTCGGATAACTGATAACAAGTCCTGGTTGTCAAAACACAACCCACCATCTGTTGTAGTAAGCAGTCATTGTTATTACTATTATTATTATTATTATTATTATTACCATTTATATAGCGCCAACAGATTTCGTAGCGATTTACAATATTATGAGAGGGGGGATTTAACTATAAATAGGACAATTACAAGAAAACTTACAGGAACGATAGATTGAAGAGTTGCTCAAAACAGTTTACAGTCTATAGGAGGAGCTCATAGAAACATAGAATGTGACGGCAGACAAGAACCATTCGGCCCATCTAGTCTGCCCAATTTTCTAAATACTTTCATTAGTCCCTGGCCTTATCTTATAGTTAGGATAGCCTTATGCCACGCATGCTTAAACTCCTTTACTGTGTTAACCTCTACCACTTCAGCTGGAAGGCTATTCCATGCATCCACTACCCTCTCAGTAAAGTAATACCTCCTGATATTATAAGATACGGTCTCCAGTACTGTGTACAATACTCCCAAGTGAGGTCTCACCAGTGTTCTGTACAATGGCATGAGCACTTCCCTCTTTCTACTGCTGATACCTCTCCCTATACAACCAAGCATTCTGCTAGCATTTCCTGCTGCTCTATTACATTGTCTGCCTACCTTTAAGTCATCAGAAATAATCACCCCTAAATCCCTTTCCTCATATGTTGAAGTTAGAACTCTGTCAAATATTCTGTACTTTACCCTTGGGTTTTTACGTCCAAGATGCATTATCTTGCACTTATCCACATTAAATGTCAGTTGCAACAATTCTGACCATTTTTCTAGTTTACCTAAATCATTTGTCATTTGGCTTATCCCTCCTGGAACATCAACCCTGTTACATATCTTAGTATCATCAGCAAAAAGACATACCTTACCATCAAGTCCTTCTGCAATATCACTAATAAAAATATTAAAGAGAATGGGTCCAAGTACAGAACCCTGAGGTACTCCACTGGTGACAAGTCCAAGCTTCGAATATACTCCATTGACTACAACCCTCTGTTGCCTGTCACTCAGCCACTGCCTTACCCATTCAACAATATTGGAATCCAAACTTAAAGATTGCAGTTTATTGATAAGCCTTCTATGTGCAACAGTGTCAAATGCCTTACTGAAATCTAGGTAAGCAATGTCTACTGCACCACCCTGATCTATAATTTTAGTTACACAATCAAAAAAATCAATAAGATTAGTTTGGCATGATCTCCCTGAAGTAAACCCATGTTGTCTCTGATCTTAAAATCCATGTGTTTTTAGATGTTCATCAATCCTATCCTTTAACATGGTTTCCATCACTTTCCCCACTACTGAAGTAAGGCTTACTGGCCTATAGTTGCCCAACTCCTCCCTATTACCTTTCTTGTAAATGGGCACAACATTCGCTAACTTCCAATCTTCTGGGACTACTCCTGTTAACAATGATTGGTTAAATAAATCTGTTAATGGTTTTGCTAGTACACCACTAAGCTCTTTTAATAGCTTTGGGTGTATTCCATCAGGTCCCATTGACTTATTTGTCTTTACTTTTGACAGTTGAAATAGAACCTCTTCCTCTGTAAACTCACGTGTAATAAATGACTCATTTATCCTTTTTCTCAACTGAGGTCCCTTTCCTTCATTTTCATCTGTAAATACAGAACAAAAATATTCATTGAGGCAGTCAGCTAGACCTTTATCCTCTTCTACATACCTTCCTTCTTTTGTTTTTAATCTAACTAATCCTTGTTTTACTTTTCTTTTCTCATTTATGTATCTAAAAAATGTTTTGTCCCCCTTTTTTTACTGACTGTGCTATTTTCTCTTCTGTGTGTGATTTGGAAGCTCTTTTAACTTGCTTATAGTCTATAGGAGGGGCTTACAGTCTATAGGAGGGGCTTACAGTCTATAGGATGAGCTCACAGTCTCTAGGACGAGCTCACAGTCTATAGGACGAGCTCACAGTCTATAGGACTAGCTTACAGTCTGTAGGAGGTGGGGTGTAAAACATATTAATCATGTAAGATATAGTTCAACCAACCTTGTGAACCCCTGATATAGATTATTTGGCCTATAAATAAAAACTTTAAGGACATCTGGCAACATGGAGCTTGTATGAGAAATACTATACTATTTATTAAAGGGAAACTTTGATTTCCCAGGATTTGTAATATTCGATTTATTCATCCTCTATTTAATAAATATGTGTTTGAGAGGTTCACACTGCCATATTTACCTCTAGAACTGAGCACCTCCATCATGGCTCCCTGATCACGTTTGTATCAGGGATATCATTCTTAATAGTTGATTGATCCAAGGTAATATGTGTTGAGAATGAATTATTTCCTAATTTGCTGTAAAATTGGAAGCGCTTCAGACTGGGTTTGTGCCTTCTTTAGATCAACAGCAAAAACAGATGTGAGAACGGCTCACCTTGACGCATGCGTGTTTCTTTTCCTCCTTTGTAACAATGTAAATACCCAAATACCCTTTTCTTTCAATGAATGTAGTGACATAAAAAATGGGAATCCTAGATAATGAGTAATTCTGGACCAAAGTTCTAAAAGTTAGCAGGAACATTCCATTGGTTTCCACAGTGACTGCTCCACTTTTAGAACTCTGCCTCAGAATGACTCTAGATACATAAATCCCGTTGTGTCTATTTCTCCTTCTTGAATTGGCTGTTCCTGGACTGAACTGGAATGTTATAGAAATTGTTAGATCTTTAATATACATTAAAAGAAAATGGAGCATGACATGAAACAATTAACACAAGGTATTTGTGATTTAGATTTCTTTATTCAGTGGCACAGTTTCCAGAAAAGTGATGATTGTCCTTTAAATGATTTCTTCGTTCAATGTATTTGTATTGCACTGTCAATTAAGAGACAATTAAAAGGGACACTATAGGCACCTAAACAACTTTAGCTTAATGACACAGTGTAAATCATGCCCCTGCAGT